ACTAATACTAACATGGGAGAATTTACTGCAATGCTTCCTTATGAAGGAAAGTTTTAATGTAGAACAAGGAAAGAGCAGAGTCTTGGGTATGCCAGTGTTCCTCCCATTGGGAGTCCCAATGTGAGCAGCCTTTTAAGGAAACTCAGAAACAGGAGACCTGTATGGCAACTTAGATGGAATATTGCAGGTCTCATTCCTCAAATGGCTGCTTGGAAGTTAGACTATAACTACTTCGACCAAAACTATCAGTCTTGCAGTTTGACTCTTTTCCAGGTGGAATAAACACTGCATTTCTCACTAGAAGAATCACAGAATTTCCATGTGGAGGATGAAAAATTGTTAGTTCCTAGTAATGCATTTGCCTCTCTCATTTTTCTTTGCTAAGATAGAAATGACATTTGCCTTAACACACTAAGCCTGCATTAAAGAAATTGGAGGAAACTGAGGTGTGCAAGACCAGAAATTGCCCCTAAGGTCCAATCTTACAATAATACATGTCACACCTATAAGGGTGACCTGGTCCAGGCCCCTTTTCATGACAGGGCTGATTTAGCTGCTTTGAGTTCAGGGTTCATAAGGTACAGTAGTGACAGATACTCTTTGAACAACAGAATAAAAACTGAGTAGCTCACTACTCTGTTCAGACTAACCAGGAGAAGGACGGAAAAATGGAATTTGGTTGCTACAATCTTTTCACCAACAGAAGAATAAAGATGGCAAAAATTGCAGAAATTTTGGTGTGTGCTTTAGTGTGATACTGAACAGAGGGCTGAGTGAAATGTGACCTGGATTCTCTAAATTTCTTGGAAGTAGTATAAAGGATAATAAATGCTAACTACAATACAAAGTCATAATCAGCACTGTGTATATGTGAATATTATGTCACAGAAGCACATCTATAGAGCAATGTTTAAGCAGAAGACATTCATAAAACAAGAGGAAATTTTCTTCAGGCACCAACTGGTATATATAATTATATCCAATTAACTATCTGTATAAGAAAGATGTATATAATTATCTGGCTTCACATAGCATAATAACACTACATGCTTAGAGATATTTCAGGTAAAGGTTACAATCAGAAGCAAATCTGATGAAATTAAACAGAATTCTGGACTGAAGCCAAACAGCAGCTTACTGCCAGCAAGAGTATCAATTTCAAGAACTCTGACCAACCAAATAATGGATATCAAGATTTGAACTTCCCAAGTTATTTAAACTATCAGAAATCTTCTAAGGTTTTAAATCCTGCAATCACCAGATTTGGCAATTCACTAGGTGAAAAAGGATAAAATAATTGTTGTATAAGGAAAGATCCTTTAAATTAATGTGTGGTTGTCAACTGTGAGGCATGCCTTACTGTGGGAAAGTGGCACGGATATGATATGTCTTTCCTTGGGCAAAAAACATGGATCTCAACATTCCAATGAAATCACATTGTACAGGAGCCTCTAAAACTTTTTCTTTTTAAGACCCCCAAACAATCAGTTGCATTAGAAAGCATCTGACTGTGCCCCACATTTATTTAAAGGGTCTATGTCCTCACAATCGGAAGTTTTTCTAATCTCGATTTTACTTTCATCTCAGAGTATCAGACTTGTAGTCAAGTAACCAGGAGCACATAAATCTGGGTGTATTTAAGACAGAAAGGCAACAAATTTCTGTAATATATATGACTTGATTTGTTTAAAAGTAACCTTCACAAGTTGTGGTATGCCTATGAAAGTCCATTTTCATTTCCATCTCCATATTGTCATGGTATGAGTCTGCCAAAGCCAAACACTTGATAACTGTACTCAAAGTTGAAACTCTCTTTTTAGCCAGTGCATTTTTTCTGGATCTAGTCACTTTTCAGACAGCTAAATGGACACACAGAATACTACACGATAATCCTCATCCCATTTAACTTCTGTGTTTGTACTTACTGACAGCTGCAGTCTCACATGCAATTTTTGATGAGGGACTGTAAAAGTCTCTTTGTTGCTTCCCTAACACTGTCCAAATTCCTGAAATATTTAAGGTCTGGCCATTAGCTCTTAATCTTTAAAAGCTGCCTTGTGTAAGGGCCAGCTCAGAGGAAGGAGGGTGTCTGCCTTGCTGCAGAGCTTCCAGAGGTGTAGCGGTATGACCCATTTGAAGAATGCAAAAGAGTAAAGCAAACAAACAGCATGATCTGGCACCCAGGTTTTCCCTGATGCTTCTTCTACCCCCTTCACTGAAAAGTTGTTTGTCTTGCTTCCCTCCTGCTGACTGTGGGCAATTAACTCTAGCTTCTGGGCCAGGCTTTACCATATCCTACCTGAAGCACATCAGCAGGACGCTGGGTCAGGTGCAGCTGCTCAAGAGCATACACCTGCACAGCTGCAGGCTTGAAGTGCCTCGCTGCCACAGGGTCTTTCTGCTCGAAACTGACCCACGAAGGCTGAGGTAACAGATTCACAGGCATTTTTATGCCTTTTTGGGAAGCCTTTGTTTAGGTCTGTCTGCTTTAGATCTGTTCTGAACTGCCTTTAGCTCTGAATGCGCTGGACCTTCAGAGCAGCATAGGGGGTTCACACAAGCCTCACTAAGGGCTTCAGGACAGAGGGAAAAAATAGGGTGTCTAATTCAGCTTGTCAGTTTTTCCAGACCAAGAGGTTCTTCCCAGTTAATCCACCTTCTGCTGCTGAGAATCTCTCTTTCCATATATTGCTGTTACGTTTGCACATGCTGATCACTTTTGGGAGTGATTTCTATTTCTCTTCCAAGTTTCTTTGCCAGCTCTACCTCTTCTATAGCTCTTCCCTTTAAGGCTAGTTATGGAAAAGTTTCCTTGCCAGTCTTAATGTATTGTTTGATGAATTTTTAGACATTTCAGGGACTCTGTTAATGAATATTGAGCTGTGTTTAATTGTCGCTCTTCCTCCCATTCGCAGTCAATTTTATCCAGAAGTCCATTTCCTTCATCTAATGAGCAGCTCCTGATAGACAGGAGACTTTTATTATGGACATGTGATGTTTCTTGGCAGAACAGATACTGTCTACATGATGCCAGCTGTCTTAACCACTTTCTTGTTTTCCCTGAATTTAGTGTGCCAGCAAGCCTGGATTTAAGTGGTAACAGGAACTTCTTGTGCTTCTGCCAAAGCTCTCAAGGTGTCCTCAAAATTAGGAAACACACATTTTGCTTGGAATGGGAGTTTATTGAACAGAGCCACTCTGAGGACTTTACATCCTTAAATCTAGTGAGACTTGAGGGACATGTACCACTGCAATTTATATCAAAGGTTTCCAATTTTGGGCAATGGTCCTCTGGATTTAGAAAAGCTTTCACTCTTTCTTTTTGAGGCTGGGGTTGGTGAATGGTAGTTGCACTCTCCTCAGGAAAATTTATCCCTTTATGTCTTAAGTCAGCCTCCACCAGTCACTCCTGATTTCCTACCTAGCTCCTTGTAAAAAAATGCACTCTTCAAAAGACAGCTGTACCCCATGGCGTTTGGTTTGCTCTTGCCCACCAAAACATGAACGTCTTCTCACAGGTTTGACAGAATTGTTGCTAAATAAGATTAAAAAACATTTTATCTGCTTTTGCATAGCTCCTGCCTTCATTATGACCTTTCCAATGGCTCTAGCTGTGTCTGTCTGTCTCCATCTTGCTTCCTTTCTGAACAAACAGCAGTGTAAAAAGCTTTTCTCTTATGGTCATGTGGACACTGCTCCCAGTAGCAAGGGTTTTCCTTTGCTTCAATGTCCTTCTACACTTAACCAAATCCATCCCATCTCTGCCACCACATGTGACATGAAGAGTTTGAATGTGGAATGAAAGAGAATCTGCTCAATAACACAGAGCTCTTTCCAAAAATGCAACAGTATTATTTCAAACCAGAACTGAAATGAAAACACAAACAGCACAGACTGACAACTTTAACAGCACCTACTCCTCTTCTTAGTCACTACTCCAGAAATACATTGTTTTGCCATCTCTTATAAGTCTTCTCAGCTGATCAAGAAAAACAATGCTTGTTGCCCAAGCTATGTATTGCTAACATATCCTAATTGACTCTTGACATGAAAGAGCAACACAGCTGCTGGTCGCCCACTCACAAGCCACATGCCTTCAAGAATTTTTGAATTCCTGAAGCAAAACACAGCAATTCTAGCCCATCTTGTGAGCCCATCTTTTGAAATCTGTCAGATAAACTCTTATGGGGTATCATAATCTTGTTTTTCAAATTCTCTTCCCTTGCCCTCCACTTTGTGCAATTCCTTCTCCCAAGAGCTGCTGGTAACAACAGAGGTTGTACCAGCACCTCCGATTACACCACACATTGCCTAAAAATAAAGGCTCAATGTGGGCTCTATGAAGAATTTTGTGCTGAGTTTCCAGTGCATGGTTGATAATAATAGAAAAGGATAGCTTATCTAAAACAGAAACATCCATTCACCAAAGCCAAATGGATGGTCTTACAGGAAAAATCCTGAGTGTCACTCATTAACTTTCTGATTAAATTAGTAAACAACGTTACAAATGACAAAGGGTTTTCTTCCCTGCTCTGAATTTTACCATAAAAAGAAGAATACATTTTTATGATATTTGATATTTAAAGATAGATCAATGCTTATTTGAATTAGTTGCATGAGAATCACACCATGAGCTGGAATTCACTTACTCATTTTTCATTTGCCAGCTCTTTTAACACACTGAAAGAAAACCCAGGACAAACATGTTTTTCCTCCCCAGGGTAATTTTCTTACTTTTGACAGGTAGTCTTTCTAATACCACAGGTCACTCCTGCAGCTTGTCCAGACCACAAATACTCTTGCAAATTTCCTAAAGATTCCTCAAATACGTTTTATCTGTTAACTTAGAAGAAAGATAAACCAAACCATATATTTTTTCCTATCTAAACAGGAGTAAAACCAATTGGGTCTTATTTCCATAGGTATTTCCATCTGATGTGGCAGACAACTGCCATTCTAAATTAGTAGGATTAACTTAGAAAATGATATTATTTAATTACCTTGTGTCAGGTTTTAGGTTTTCCACTGTAGAATGGGTTTGATTTGTCGTGATAATTGATTTCTCCTTTTCACCATCACTTCCTCCATTTTCAGTTGATACAACCTCATACTCTGGAAAATTACAGTAAAGAAAAATCAGATCAAGTAGCATCTCTTATTTGAGCTTCTTAAATACAACCAGATAGTGAATGAGTATGCAATTTTACAGGAATTCAACCTTTCTGCCTTTTGCCAGCCTGAAGTCAATACGTGATTTGGACTTTTTAATTCATTCAAGTTGGAAAAGAAAATGCAGGAAATGAATGAGCACACAAATATGTGCATGCAAACACAGACAGACACCAAGAACTACTGAGCCCATCCAGTGCCTGCTTGTTACTCAGTGCACAAGGCAAGAAACTGCCCTACACTTCTGTGGCAACACAAAGGAGCAAAGCGTGAGCAAAATGGTCTTGGTTCCTGATGTTTGTAGTTTTTTATGAAAACAAGGAGGTGAGTGTGATCTCTGTTTTCGTTGTTTGTCAGACCTTTCCATTATGTTTTGGTTTTGGGCACACCCAATCAAACCCCTTGTACACAGTTAAAGTCAAGCAAAGTAACCATTCAAGAAACAAAATGATGCAACATATTATGTTTTCTGTTTCTACCTTTCTATCTGAAACAGTGCATTTATTTATAAAAAAGAGATGCAATGCCTAAATATGATGATTGGAAAAACATGTATAAACTACAAAAATAGAAAGAGACGACAGCAAAATTGGTTTAAGCCTGTCTAAACAAGTCATGTCATAATGGTGCCAATATGAAGCAATCCCTGTTTTCAGAAAACAGGATTCAATGCCTTCTCTTGAATTCAGAATTGATTTTGATGAGTCATTGACTGAGTTGTTAGCTAACTGCAATGTTCAATTTTTGTCAGCCAGTTGAGGTACAGAAGATGTTGGAAGAATTAGGAATGTCCATCTTGCATGTTTACCTGTCTGTGTACTAAGTCCTGCATGACTCACATGAATTAATTCTCAATATAAACCTCTTTCTTTAGAAATGAAAAAAAACCCCAGATTCTTTTAACAGTGAGGGCTTGTTGACCCTCTTGCAGTGGGTACTGCAAGTATTATGGTGGCAGAGTTCTACTGACTTACTAGATGGATGTCAGCTTTGATTGTGTCTGGCCCACTGTGAAACAACCTCCTCAGGTGAAGAAGGATGCCTACATTATGTGTGTGCATCCATATTTACTGCTGTATTGTTGGAACTTCTTGACTAGATCTTACCAGATCCTGTACAGATAGGGTCCAGAATATTGGAGAAGATACAGAGTCATAATTCTTAAGTATCTTTTTGTGTCATCACTGGCACCAATGCTCCTTGCTGTGTAAATCTTGTTATAATTTAGTAGCAGGTTTTTACCCACACTGGAAATGACAGGAGCACAAAAAACCAGCAACCCCACTGGGCTCCTTTAATCCCTGAGGTCTAAAGTACTTTTAAATAGCAAAAAAACTACTGTGAAAGTAAATTAAGATGGAAACACTGTATTATCACACAATGGAGGAAAGAAATCAAACCAACCAGTAACAGTGTCGTTGTCTGGCTTTTCCCAATCCAGTATGACAAAGGATGGACAGCCCTCTACAGTCACCACGGTGAGGTTGGTTGGAGGATTTTGAGGAGGGCGAGTGGGTTCTTCCTTGCTGCCAACTTCTTCTTGAGGAAAATGTTCAAGAGAGCTTGTGATGGAGCAAGGCACATCATCATCTTTCTTCATGTACTTGACATGGGGAGCTAAGAACAATGAGAAAGAGCTGTTACTCAACAGAGTGTTTTTACAAACTGGCAGCACCATTTCACCTGGTGCACGGCACCCATACAAGGGCACTAAGCAAAAGTCTGCACAAAGCTTTCAGAATAAACCCCATATATTCAATATTAAGCTGCTTGTTCCTGTTTTTGTTTGGTTTGGATTTTATGTTTTTGTTGTTTTTTTGGTTTTTTTGCTTATTTTTAAAATTTTACTTATTGTTGCTTGACCTGGAATCTGTACTGCCTTCACTCCCTTCCCACTGGCACTACTGATGAAATGACATTCTGAAGGTATTAGCAGGTGATACACAGTGTTTGAAAGAAATAAAATCTGTCACAAAAGGATCACAGAAGGATCTGTCACAGAAGGATCAAGAACTTTTGTGCAGAAAGTAAAAGTAAAATTCAATCAAGAAAATGCTGCTTTGTACTACAGCTCTTTCATCTATCACTAAAGTGACACAGAATCAAATAAAATTTTGGTCTTTGAATAACCAAATAAGATAATTTGATGCAAGATGGCTCAGACTTCATATGCTCCCTGAAATAAAAATACCATAACTACGAATATCCTACCTTGGTACCTTGGTTTTCCTGAAGAATCTGTTTCTGATGTAGGACTTGAGCTGAAGACAGTTTCATCAACTGTAGAAAACACAGACATAATTTGCAATAAATACAAAGTTTCAGTGTTAGAACTGCAGCATTTCACAGTTCCTTTGGCACTTTAAATCATTGTAAGAATAGATAAATGGTAGACATTTGCTGCCAGATCTGTCTATTTATTTTAGGTACTCCATTTTTAATGTGATGCTGTGTAAATCCTGTACTTACCTGGTAGTACAGACAGCCATAATCAAAATAACAGAATTCATGACTGCCGCTGGATTCAGTTCTTGCAATATATGTAAAATACTTTTTAGACCATTGTCCTGGGTTTGTTTTAGTTGAATTTTTTGGCAAGGAAAAGAAAGGTCAGCCACAGAAAAAGGATGTTTTTGCACTGTTTAGCTTGGAGCTTTTTGATGTTCCTGGGATATATAGAACTATTACACTGGCCAAGTAGCTTCTCTAAAAATAACAAGGAAATAAAAATTTCTATCTTCAGAGAGTACAAATTCCAAAAAATTTGAAGGAAATTGAAAACAAATACACTTGTGAAGAGAAATGCGCTGAAGCAGTCAGGATTCATGATACAATGTTGTATTAATTAGCTACTACACTGAACACGATGCAAATACTACAATGGACCCCAACATATAAAGCACAAACCTTCCCATCAAGCAGTTATAAATAAATCTAGCATCTAGCTCACTTTACTGAGCACTGAGGATTACAATGATCATTGTAAGGAGACAAGAATTTAAGTATTACTATAAATCCAGGAAAATTAGAAGCAGCATCATTAATGACAATATACCAAGAGCTGCACTTTTGGGCTCAAAACTTCTAAGCACATCCTCCTCCAAACCCATTACTGTATGCCACCTTGAAAAGACTTTGCTCTAAATTTGTAATCAACTCTCAGTTTTATAAAGGGAAAATTACCCACTGACCACTATAGTTGCACTACTACAGTTTTTTCTATTTAAATGGTGGCAGTTTGATCAAATAAAGGAGGATATCGCATCTATGATGAGCACTATCCACCACTGACAAATAACATTTTGAATTTATGTCCTGGGAAAATTGAAATATTCAGGAAACAAAGTGCCTTATCTATTCTTTGCACAGCTTTAAATGGCCACTGATTAGTACTGAAAGCCTACTAAGCATGTACAGATTTCTAGGAAAATGGAAGTCCTCATGTTCTCAGTTACCAAGATGTGTAAGAGAAGGGACATAGATCTCAGTGAAATCAGAAAAGTCACAAAGTGGCATAGAAGAATCACCCCAGACAAAATACTTTTTATGTTAAATATACAATGAATAAATAAATCTTAGGGAAGGGAAGCAAAAGAAAAATGGAAACTCTAATGTCAATTTAAAAAAAAAAAAAAGAAAAAAGAAGAAACCAGAACTGTTTGTAATATGCTCACCATAATACTCCGGAGTTGCAAAAGCTGTTGGTGTCTTATATAATGTTCCTGTCCTCACAGGTGGTGTTGGTCCAGCAGGCTTAGCTATAGTGACAGATGGAGGGACTTGTAGCAACAAGACATTCAGCATTTGAAGGAGTCAAACAGCTTTCTGATTTTCTGAGAGAATTCAGTTTTGTGACAACTGCTTCATGCAACAAGTATTTTCATTTAAGTCATAGTAATCCCTCAGCTGGATTTAGGAAAGTTCTGAACTGTGCTAGTTGCAAATGTAATCTAATCCTGAAACCTAGTAAGAAAACTCTTTGCTACTTTGAGGTTGTCTTGGATGACTTTAGTCAACTAACATATAAACTGGTTTTATGCACAGAACCATTCTACACAGGCTGGTGAAAGGATGTAAAATGACCAGCATGGACACTGATATTCCTTAAAGAAAGAGCACATTTCTTCCTGAGTTGCAAGACACAACAGCTGAAGTCAGCAACTGAAACTTGGATTCTTCCCTCAAATATAGGTAAGATTGATTTCTGCTCTCAACTCAGCACATACATTAGCAAGGGTAGTGCTGGAACATTTGGAGTGATAAAACACCAGGTCCTTAACTGTGGTCTGCATTAAGAGTTTAACCACAGAACAGTACTGGAGCTTCCTCTAAATGAAATTAAGATACACTTCAAATGAAGGCAAAGAAAATGCAGCCAAGTCCAGCATTTTCAACATTTATTGCACTACATCAGTCAAGAAGAAAAGTTTTCTTGCTCGACTAATTTCTTTAGTAGTTTCCATAAACCTGGACAGAAACTGACTGATAGAGGCAGTATTATCACCTACAATTCAACAGCTATTTAAAAGAAGTATTTTAGATTATGTGACATTGTTTTCATTCTTGAGCTGTTACCACCTAATAAAGAAAACAGGTTTCTAAGAGGCAAACAATCCTTGGTAAAGGTCTTGATTTCTTGCATAATAGCTGTAAAAGACAAGAATTTAATTCTTAAAACATGCAGATACTCCCAGATAATGATGACATGACAATGAAATCTCAACCCTGAAGAGTCAAGAACTATATAATATAGTTACTTCCCCATCATATGTGATACAAAACATGGCAACTGAAGGCAGAACTCTGGTGAGCCAAGTTTAAGACAAGAATCCCTACTTTCCACTTATTTTCTTAATAAAGTGGAAATCTGAATGATTCTCACTAGGGTTCAATTTCACAAAGTTTCTGGAACTCTCATTTCCATTTTTTTTTTCCCATTCAGGAGATTTTTAATGTCTGCATAGAAACCTTTCCATAATATCCACTGGATGAGTTAGAAAGATGCAAGTAAGGAATTAATCACAGTGTTAATGAGAAAGAGGACAGAATTCTGACAGGGAAAATCCAAGAAGAACATTGAGGCAAATTTTTCCTGTTAGTACAGTGGAACTGCCTCTCCATGGAACCAGAAGAAACAAAATTACAATGTTTAAAACTAAGCTGGATAAAACACTAGGAAACACAGAAGAAAGAAAATATTCTACTGTCCCCACAAGGAAGAACCAGACTGTTTAACCAGTTTATTCCATCCTGAGAGCCTAGGAAGGTATGGTAAATGCTGACTACCGCATAACCTGGCCTCCAGTGTAAGGAAAAAGGCTGAAATTTCAAAACACTGGTAAATTAATTAGATCCTTATTGGAGAAAATTAATATAGACCCCAATACAAGCAAAAGAAAATATATCAGGTCTAAGACTGATGATGTCTTCTGTTTTCTTGTAGCTATTACTTAGGAAACACTACACATCAACAAGTGCAGACACATTATTTCAATCTTGGCTCTGCTGATGAATAAATGGTTGTCTCATCCAGCTTGGAGATTCATGCTACTCATCTGTCACACAAAATGCTAAAGTATTATTTAGGTCTTTAGTACCTTAATAGCACACAAAGTCCCAAATGAAAAGAACAAACAAACAAACAAACAAAAAAACCCCAAAAAAGCAAACAACCCACAACAGGCAATCCAATAGAGCTGTATATTCATAGCTGTATATTCATATATATAAATATATATTCATATATATAAATGCCTTTATATTTCCAAGGAGCTACAGAGATCAATATGAAGAGGAAAGAAGCTGTCATGATGTTAAGCCTAAGGAGATGATAGTTTCTGACTACGTCGAATAATGTTAGCCTAAGGATTCTTGTATAGAATCCACTGATGAAACATCCATGTGGATACTGAATACCTCCTTCAGGATAAACTTAAAATGAAACAGGAAAGGTGAAAGTTTCTATGTCCTCTTAAAACAATACTGAGAAGTCAGAATACTTTAGCACAATAGTCAAGCTAAACTCTGCACATGAAACAACTCAGCTTGCGCTACCACCCAGTGCAGTTCTTGTCTGGTGACTTTTAGCTCATTTTTTGCAGCTATTAATGGATGCATGGTATATATGTGAGGAGTTCCATAAGAAAGAACCAGGAACTAGGACTAGGCATTGAAGCACAATAGTCAACATCTCCCATCTAACATGCACATTAAATAGCAAAAAATTATTTTAGTAGACATGAAATATTCTTAAGGTTGATCTGCTTATAGGATGACTTGGAGTGTGTTATTTTGCTTTCAACACCCTTATTAGACATGATTTCGATATAACTAGGTTAGAGAAAGAAAGAGGGCTTTTCGTAAGGACACAAAAGACACAAGGCCCATGTGTTCCAAAAGACTAGTTTCTATAGATATCACAGATCAAAGAAATCTATGCTATAGAATTCTCCTGTACCCTGCTAGCCAGTATTATCTCACACAGAATAAAACATTTATTCTGAAAAGGCAGAAATACCTGGACTCCCTGGTTTACCAGTCACGGTGTTAGGAGGCAGAGGTTTTCTTCTCATTTGTGTAGGCCTGGCAGGAGGTATAGGAGGGTGCTGAGGGCCAGGTGATGAAGTCACTGAATGACATTACAAGACACCATTATTAATTATTTAACCTCGAATTCCATAAAATCAGAAACACTAGAAACTTCTATTATTCTGACTTCTCAAGCAATGTTCCATGTCTGACTTAATATCAAAAGTGGAGAGGCGAGATTAGGAGCTGATCTGAGTTGCATTTTCAGCCTTAAATTCTCTGAGAACAGTGTGCCATGAAGTTTTAAACAAAGTTTATGCTGAAAAAAACGTAGCTCCTTTGGGATTTTGTACAAGTGTTTCAGTGATTCACTTTCTGTGTAGTTACTCATTTTTGTCAACAGCAATTTTTTGGCATTCAAGTGGATACATCTTCACACAACAAACACCACCTCAGTGTGCTCAGAAACATCTTCAGTATCCTACTCACAAAATTTCTGACCTCTTGTGCATTCTGACTAATACAACTGGCCACCCTCACCTTGAAGAAAAAGAGGTAAGAAAAATGGAAATTATCATTAGCAACAATTTATTCTATACCATTCAAAACTAAAAAAAGTTACTGTCACTTCATACACTGACATGGCTAAAGACAATTACTGTTGTAGAAATTTCTGAAGCATCCAACTTGGTTATTTCAATGTGCAGCTCTGGCCAGTACCCATTAAATTTATCTGCTAATGTCCTTTGACAGTGAGGTCTAAAAGGAAAATCTAAACTCCTTAATTCATACTTACAAATCATTTTACTGTATTTTCCAGACAATTATGAAGGGTTTTATTATGCAAAGGAAAGGCAAAGGAAAAGATTTTTGTTCCACTATTCACCTTTGTCCTTCTTTCCTTAAGAAAATCCAGAAGATATGTGCAACACATTTATGTAACAAAAGCCTTTTTGTACCTAAAAGGAGAAAATCCTCAAGAGTAATATAATTCTCATAAGGTTGCCAATGTCAACAACTATGTAAGTTGCCTGATACTGAATTGCTGGCTCCATAAGGTACCTCAGGTCCTCTGTATCAGACCCTAGTTTACCCTACAAACAGAGAGATTGTGGGTAAGAAGGGAGCAGATCCAAAGGCTCATTTAGGAGAGCTTTTTTGGAAATACTTACAATATACAAACAGGAATATCTCTCTCTCTCTTCCCTTTTCCTTTTTGGGCTCTTGCAGTCACTTATAAGACAGTTGGTTTTATTTTTTTTTAAATCCCTCAGATCAAGACAAAAAATAATGCTCTATCTAATATAGAAGGATATAGTGGTTTTGAAAATAGCATTTGTAGGTTTCATAGTCATTCTAAATCTCCAGATGGAGACGAAAAAAATATGCTTAAGGCCTGAAAAAGTATAATAAATTTTATATAAATATATAATAAATAATATATATAAATATATTATAAATATAATAAATAATATATATATTTATATTTTATATATAAATATATAAATTTTAGGGTATGTGTCATCATACCCTAGGTATTACTATATGGTAGCATTCATCTTTATTTTCCCCCTGCCCACAATTAGAGAAGGGATTGTCCAAGATATTTATGAAGTAAAAATGTGCAAGCATTGACTTCCCAGTGGTTTCTATCATATCACCTGAACAGCACAACTACAGCAGTTACAGGCAAATTAAAACATTGCATTCAAAGTACTGGGTCACAATTGAATCTACTGTACTGGACTCTGGAAAAACAAGGATTCCTGCTTTTTCCTTCTGCTACTTCCTGCAATGATTTGGGTGCTGGTCGATGATCCTACCAAATCTAATTACCAGTGTGTGGAGACTGTAAACTAGGATGCACAATAGAATTTAGGGATTTTTTGTGAGTGTGGATTCTTGTAAGGACAACATGGTGAAATATCGGGATTTAATTAATCTCTAGGCTTCTTTATGGACTGGGAGTCCTTGACTCAGTCACTGTGGATGAAAGAGAAGAATGAGTAGCCTCTTACTGACTGATGCCTTAAAGACATTTTTATTGGTGGCACAGACAATGGGAGTGAGAGCACCCTCGGCAGTTCTGTGGATGACACCAAGCTGGTCGTGCAGAGGACAGATTGGAGGGAAGGGATCCCATCCACACACCCTGGCAGGGTGAGCAGGGGCCAGTGCAAACCTCCTGAAGTCCATCAAGGCCAAGCACAAGGTGCCACACCTAGATTGGATGCAATCACCAGTCTCAGCACTGGCTCGATGAGACAGATGAAAACCAGCCCTGCCCTGCAGGTATGGACTCGAGGATACTGGTGGGTGAAAAATTAGAGACAGATAGGGTAGATTGATATTAGATAATAATATAAGCAGGAAGAGTGTGGGTTAGGTTAGAAATTAGGGAGAAATCTTTTACTGTGAGGGTGGAGAAGCCCTGGCACAGGCTGCCCAGAGAAATTGTGGATGCCCCATCCTGCTCAAGGCCAGGTTGGATGGGACTTGGAGCAGTCTGGTTTGGTGGAAGGTGTCCCTCCCAAGGCAGGTGAGGTGGAACTGTTTGATCTTTAAATGTTCCTTCTTACCCAAACCATTCTATGATTCCATGAATTTTAATATACATATTAAGGCCTCATGAAGAGAGCTGAGACTGCTGTTATACAAGAAAATAATGAAACAGTAGTAGATAATTTCACAACTGTACCCAACTGCCTTTTGTGACTACAGTTCAAGGTACTGGCTTACCTCAAAGCTCTAAAAGCTTAACTTTAGACATCAAATGTCATAAAATGAGTAAAAGTTGGTCTTAATGTCCCTTCTAATCTATACATAAAAAACCTTCAAGTTTCTGCAAATCACAAGCTGTATTTACTTAAGGAAACCCACTGCCTGGCATTCAGTAACAAAAAGTGCAGAGCATCATCCTTGTTTTCACTTTACCTTCAGCTGCCACTAATAGTACATCACACTAGACTTAATCTTTGCAAAGTACAGTGGTAGGACTGAATAAAGTTAAAGATGATAAAACATCAGAACCTGCCCATTAACATAGGCTCTTATCTTTGTAGGGGTAAATTAGGTGGAAAGGAAATTCAACAGGGATTAGGAACAGGGATTAGCAGTATTTAAAATAATGTTTTAAGATCCAGTAACATGTTATCAAAAGAGAAGCTAGCTAAAAAGAACATCTGCAGCTGAGTAGCAAATCCAAGAATAAAACAAAAAAATATTTCATTTTCAGTCAGTTTCTATGTCAGGAAGAGAACACAGCTAAAGCATATTCTGTGCCTGGTTATGTTTATGAAACCAATAAATTCTTTACACCTCAGGGTATTTATTTGCTTTATGTATGTTTCAGTTAAAATATTTCAATTGCTTTGAAAATATGATTGCAAGACTTGCCAGAAGAGTAAACCTTACATGTCTTGCTTTAGACATGTAAAAAACCTGATTTATTCCACATTGTTATTTTCCTTCAAGTTTAATGTTCTAATTTTCCAAAAAAATCCCAATATTCAATGAAACGTCCTCACACATGGGAGTACAAGTTGGTTATACTTTTACCTTATTCACCTTTGTTGTGTGGATACTATTTGCATGAAAAAAGACAGTTTTGTGGCTTTTAGATCATAAGAATAAAACTCTGGTGGTGAAAATTTCTACCATATGTAGTGACTAAGCATATGTAAGTGACTAAGTAGTGGCCATAAATTTTTTATATTATGAATTTTATTATATTTATATTATAAATATTTTTTTTAATCTCTTTTAGTGGCATCCTGAAGCCATAAGATTCTGTGCTGATGAGGATGATTAAGAATTATTTTTTCTTCTCAGAGGAGGTGTTTTGTATGCAGAAAAAGAAACGTTTTTATTTTTAATAACAACTGTTAAAAATTGCTTTATTTTCTGCTTTTATTAACCTTACCAGAAATTGGTTTTTGCCAGGTATCAAAATGTTCTGGAGGTCTTTTGACACCCATGTCAATTGGTCTGGCAGTAGCCTCAGGTGTATAAAAGTAATCTGTGAAAAAAAGGAAATTAAATAAGTATCTAGAGTGTGGCACCAAGTCATGGAATATTTGTATATTGAATATGTTCAAACTCCAGCTGACATGATGTGCAAAACCAACATGTGTGGCACATCTATGTTTTTACTGATAACATGGTGATATGCCTTATCTTCTTATTCAGGTAAGTAGAAAGTGATCGGGTTCTACAAAGTCTGCAGTTTAATTTTAAATATTCATTGAATGAAGTATATTTTGAAAAAGAAAATTAAAAAGATGAAGAGGTAACATGAATTAAACCAAGATTTTAAGTGGAAAAATGAGTAGAGAGAAAATTCTAGTTTTTCAGTGTAAAGAATAAAATGTCCCTTGATTCTTGCAAAGGGAAAGTTTTCCTTCTACTTGTAATAAGATCTCTGATCATCCTCCTTATTAAATGGTTAGAGCAATTCTGGACCACATATATTCACCATAGTTGGAGTACAGGAGACAAAATATACACAACTTCCAGCTTGTACATAAGAGAAAGTCCTACTTTAAAGTTATATAAACACATTTTTTAAAAAATAAGTGGCATTAAAAGATTAACACAACTCCAGGTACAGAACAACAGTTCCACATGCTGGTATTTATAGGACAGCCAGACTGTTAAATTAATATGCTTTCTCTAAACAAAGTAAGTATATTTACTTTATAAAGACTGTATATATAGTAAAGCAAGAAGATGCACTGTAACTTCATCATGTTTGTGGGAAAAAAATTCCCCACACCCTTGCTCATGATGCAAGACAAAAAACCCTAAAATTTGTTATATTTTAAAAACATAAATCTCAGTATTACTTTAATTATCAAATTCTAACCCTGATTCAACATGACCTAGTCACTTCAGCTAAAGATTTCATAGATTTATAATCTGGTTCTCTTTGTTTCTTTGGATATTTCACTAGTATTTTAATGGTATGAAGGAGATAATTTTTCTATTACTTTACTGTTTGACCATTTTTTGTTGCATGTTCCTTACACAGTCCATACATGATAAATCCACAGTCCATACATGGTAAATAATTTACTAAATTAATTCATTACTATCAATTAATTATTTAATTACTTATTATTTATTTTCTTATTAATGATATTAATTCATATTAATTACTTATAATTATTAATTCAATAAAGATTAATGTAATGAGAGTTGCAGCAAGCTGGGAACAGGATGCAGATGACCTGGTCCCTGTGTCTAAAATACCTGAACACATCATATGGTTTGGTATAACTGCAATTTGTCTTCAGGTAAGTAAAACTATTAATTAGATCTTCAGCTATACAAAGCACCAGAGTGATAATCAATGTTTCATGTTTCATGTTAAAGGAAGAAAGGGCATGAGAAGACCAGCACCAGCCTTAAGAAAAATAAAAATAATCTTGTACATCATGAGTTAGAGCATGTTAAGTTTCTCAGCTCACCTTTCAGTGAAAAATATCAGCAAAATGTGGTAGCACATTGACTAATTCATACTAAATCACTCAAGTCTATATTACAAGACTAAATTAGTTTTGCATGTTACAGTCTCTACAGAAAAACCTGTCTCTATCCTACTCCTTAGAATCTAATTTAGAATCATAATCCTTTCTGAATTATATCAGCTGACAATGAACAAAATATTGCATATGTTCTAGTTGGAGGAAGTATTTTTTTTTCTTTTCAGAAACATGCACTGTTGTTCTTCCATAGGTAAAGTAGTAATGAAAAATAAATCAAACTATCAAACCACAATACTTTCATGTTCACAAAATCTGAGAATTTTAATACACTTTGAAGTTACATAAAAGTTTGTGTTTTCACACAAGGTATCTGCACAACCAAAGTTTGCTGTATTTGTCATAGCATTTGCCTTATTCTACTAATGTAACTTGCTTATTAAAAGGACTTATCACATTCATCCAAACTTTTAATAGAATTGAGAATAGATCTATTACTAGCATATGTCTTTGTGTCTTCTTTTAATTCCATATTTTTTCCTGGAAACATTAATGGGGTCTGGAACACGTTTAAACTAACCTCTCTGTCTTTAATTGTAGGAATACTATTAGAGGGGTGGATCATTTTAAGGGAAATAATGGAAAAAGTGTCCTTGATAAAATGGACTGAAATACACACAGAGTTTAAAAAATAAAAAGAAAACAGAACACAAAGTTAATGGCCATTTTAATGAAAACCATGTATGCCTCCTTTTCACAAGGGAAATGGAAATGTTGCTCAAAGTTTGTTTGCTGACACTTTTCAGGAACCTCAGCAGATCAGGAGCAGTATTTATACAGTCAGGATTAAATGAAATATAAATTTATATAAAAATAAAAATATAAATTTTTATAAATTAAATTAAATTTATATGGTTAGGATTAAATTAAAAACCAACCCAGTAAGGTAAGTTACATACACAAACACAAAAAGCCATCTGAATAAAATGATATTCTAGAGAAAATTACTAAAACATGGCAAAAAAGTGAAAGGAATGCTACTCATGAGGAAGCAATCCCTGCCTCTTTTCCACAGTCAAGTTTGCCACCTGGCACTGCAAAACTGGACAGGAGACTGAAAATCCTGCCAGGAAACCAGCCACAACCCCATGTGCTGGTGCTGGAAAAAACAAATTCCACTGCTTATCATCTGGGCCCTGCAGCTGCCAAGCCCTCAGTGCATGGGAGTGAAACATCTTTGCACTGAGGCTAAGGAACCCAGTCAGGAAGAAGAAATGGAGTACATTCAACACCAGTGACAGTCCAGCAAGGAATTAAAAGATCCAAACTGGTGTCCAAATAAGGGAATATCCAAGAATAAGTGATGTAATGTCTAAAGGTAAGTCTGAAAACATATTGTTACACATATAGCATATTCCTGACAGCCCAGTTAAAAATTCTGATCATCTTAGATCAAAAGTTCAGGATTTTGATAAGTCAACCACAGAAAATATTGAAACAGGAACTTTTTTTTCTTCGCAAAAATCTGGTAAGATTTGGGTTTCCAAGTTACAGAGTTATTTCCCAAGACCCTTTTGAAGACTTGGGAATTCTTTTGCAATAGATAATTAATTGCACATTACCTTGGAGAGATACAGAAGATTTCTTTAATTGGTTACCCGAATTCCTTTTTGTGCAGGTTTATTTTTGTGGGCACAGTCAGCCTCGTGTCTCAGACATTGGTGCAGTAAGGTGACGCACTTGCCTTACGGAAGACTTGGGATTTCACTTACTGATTGTCAAGAGAAGTACAGACTGAAAAGTCGTGACAAGCTGCAGTCCCCTCTCAAGATGTCATAAATATATGAAATTCACTGGTGATTTCTCTTACACTTCTCAGAAGAAAGGTGCAGACTCACAGAAAGGTGTCAATGAGTTCTTGTGGCAGTGGGGTTGGAGGTACAAAGAAGTGGGCACTGGATAACAAAAGTCTGATCTTCTTTGATACTTTGGATATCAAGTTTGACCTAAAGGGCTCACTTGCCAGGACAGAAAATTTAGCTAAGAGACATCTACAGGGTGTTTCTTTAACTTAGACAAAAAATACATTTATGTAACTTGGCAATGGAATTATCCAACCACTACTGGAATTATCAGTTTTCAGAATAATTCTAAAAGAAGGTACTTATTTACCAGTGAATACACATATGCACAGTAAATAGTGGTTTTGTGGTGACTTTTGACACCATCTACTGCAATCAAGCTCTAGTTCTTCCTGGCAACAGGAACTGCTATAAACACATGGAAATAATATCAAATAGTGGGCACAGCAAGTGGACCACTTGCAATATGATTGCTTAAAACAATACTTTAGCAACTCAAACTAGCATTAAGCACAAATAACTCCATGTAAGAGTTTACTACTATTATGATTATACTACTGGATTACTAGCATGTATTCATGTTTGCTGGTGATTTTTATAACCTACCAATGCCTCTGAGGAGCCATTATGACTACAGGGGAGAAGAGAAAAGCTCAATGTACTGTGTAACATAGCTGTGTGTTAGTGCATCATTTCAAAAACTGATCACTCCTGGAGATCTGTGTTCATTCTCCTGTTCCAGTAATCAGACACTAGAAAGAACATCTATCTCTAATGAAGGCATTCATTCCATATGTAAAACAGAAATATATGTCATATTCTAAACAGGTTAAATTTAATTCAATTTAAATATACAACTGTTTCCCTGAAAACTAAACCTTCTGATCTTGTTTTCGTAGTTACAGTTACTTTCCTGGGAAAGTAACTAAAACTAGGAAAACAAGATCAGAAGGCTTAGTTTTCAGGGTGACATCTCACTCTTTCTTCTTTAAAAAAAGAAAAAAGGAAAAGAAAAATGAACAGAGAAAATGAATAATATTTTAAACAATCAAAAAGGAAAGTAACAAAGAAAATAAACAATGTTCTAAACAATCAGAAGGCTCTAGTTTCAGGGTGATATACAACCATCTCTTTCAAGTTTTTACTATTTCTAACGTGGGCTTCTGAAAATGTATCTGAAGATATTGTATGATCAGCAACAGGCATTGAATTGCCAAATATACCAGGAAGAAACATTACATAGTCAAAAATGTTTACAACAGATGGAATATCACTCAGGCTATCCCAATCTAGCTAGCATAGAAATAGTAACAGGAGGCAGCAATAATATGGGACAGTAGCACTTTTAGTTGGTAGTCAGCCAAAAGTTTGCCTTGAATATGTACATTATTTATTATTTTGAACTTGATGAAGAATCCCAAAATTATATATTTAATTAACCAATGGCTGTATATATAAAAAAAAATCCCCAATGCTACTTGTATTGATGCAATAAATTAATGCTCTATGAAATGAAAAAATATAGCTTCATTATTAATTAGTGTTGAAAGTAGGTTGATTGGATGGAAAAATCAAGTACAACTGAAAAAGGATAAATTATTTTTCTCCAAAACAGACCTGTACTTTTAATAAATCTTTGTGGTTAGGGACGTTTGTTATCTGCTTGTTTAAGGATATGTAAATTTAAGTTCTCCCTGTTGTCTGCCACCCACCACTGTGGAAATTTTTGGTGCTGAAGTATCCAAGCCTGAATACTGCAGAGTCCAAATACTGCATGGTCTGAATGTGAGGAGGTCTGATGTGAAAACACCACATCCATAGAGGGTAACTAGCAAGACAGTTGGCTTTAGGGCTTCCCTACCAAACCTCCTGACTTGGACTCAAACAAATGGGTGACCCCTTTCAAGGAAACATTTTCCAGTAATTATTGTGGATCTAACATCTAGAAATAATTAGTAAACAGTAGCCACACAAAAATCAATCTGTAAATTTACACAGACTGAGTACCAATACAATTTTATAACCACCCTCAGGAATTATATAACAAGATCAGTAGAAGCAGTTACACTTGGCACTCTGAGGAATTAAATTTCATATTAAAACACAATGAGATATTTTGCAGGGCTTAAGATGACTTGGGGAAGTTACATTTCAGTATTTTATTGATAAATTAAAAAAATCCACCCCAAACCTAGAACTCTACCTGTTGTTGGCAGTCCAGCTGCTTTTGTTCTGGCTGGTGCTGGTGTGGTTTTAATAAAAGCTGTGAGAGAGTTTCAAAAGAAAAAAGAAAAAAGAAGAAAAAAGGAAGAAGTTCCATGAGAAGAATACCCAGCAGATTTCAATGTGATGCCAAGAATTCCATACTAGAGAAGAAGTAACACCTGCTGTGAGAACACACAAAGTTTTGGTTTCCTTTCTATTTTTTTCTGATTTGGAAAGGCTTTACCACTAGACTAATTAATTGATCGAAAAATACTCCTTTTTTGTTCCTCCCAACAATACTTAAAATTCCACTAAGAATAGATGAAATTAATTAACTATATAATCCCCTCCCCATCCCAGACTGAATAAACAATTATTACCAGGTCTGGTCTGTGATTTATCCGATGGCTTTGGTCTTGCAGAAGTGAGACGAGTTTTATGAGGTGCTAAAAGAAATAAGGTCCTGTTTCAATGCTGTGAGTAAAAGAACATGGGACAGTGCAGTGCAATTTGCCAGACAAAAAGGTCCATGCACCAATGTGATACAGCAAAATGGACATATGAGAGTTCTATGAGTTCTAATTCAAAATGCATGTGGAAAATGCTAGTTTCTTTAGCGGCCAGATGACTCCATCATGCAGTCTGACCAGTTACATTCATATGTAGGTTTAGGAAAAAGATGTAAAATATTTACAGCCAGTTACCCAACTGTATATGGATACAGAGTTAGCTCTGCAAGGTATCCATGGCCTTAAGACATTTAATTAGGTTCTGTAAAAAACAAACAAACAAAAAACCTCAAAATAAAACACCGAACTGAACCCCTCCCCCCAAACCAAAGACTTAGATAAAACTATGAAACATTAAAATATTGCTGAGAAAACAACTGGGAGCATTCAATGCAGACACTGTGTGGGGCAGCTGAAGCACAGTGTCATCAGCAAGGTTGAAATCAGAAGCCCTCAAATTTTTTTTATTGTTGCCTTTCGCTTACAAAGTAATTTTGATACTGTAGATGTTATGTGATCTGTGAAAATCACACTGGAAGCTGAAAGCATAAGAAGCAGTCACTATTATCTTATACCCAATTAGCAACATCTGTAAATCAGTTAAGTAGAGCTGGCTATTTGATATTCAAGACAAATAAATGTTCAACCCATAACACTTAATCCAGCCTCTCTGAAGCCTCAGAGAAAATACTTATGCAGGAGAGAACACATTAGTCATTTTTGACATTTAGATTGGGGAAGTTTTACAGATTTAGATTTTGTAAGGAAAAGGTTGGAACTCAGTTACATCAATGTTTGCCACACTATATATATATATATATGAGTAGCCAACACACAGCTCTAATACTGTTTAAAAACTTCATATAATCTTTCATATTTGAGGCAATACTGAGCAAATCCCATTTGCAGAGCAATAAATAAAAATATTTGAGAACGGAAAAAAAAATTCATATTACATATTTGAAATGGTTTTAAAGGTAATAATGAACAGACAATTAAACAGTACTGATTTTACTTAAGATCTACAGACTCTCAATAAAACCACTTAAGAAAATCTTGAAAAATTACCTGTATGGAACCAAGGAATTTCAGTTGCTTGACCAATTTTGGGCCTGGGTGAAATGCGGTATGTTTCATCAGGAACTGAAAATGGACATATTACTGCTTATTAAATGCAAATGATTTCCTTTTAAACATAAGACATCACAGGTGGAAAGGAAACTAAAACTGTCTGTGCAGATCATAAACACAAGAGTCAGTGCTAGAAATCTGGCTGAAAAATCATGCTTTTATACATGTAAAAGACTTTTTGAGTCTGGGAAGGTTTATATAATTAGTAAGTCAGACAAAATCAGAAAAGATGATAAGTCAATGCCTTTTTACATGTCTCCCCAGCCTCGTACATGTAGTACTTATTTCTATAAAGAATCACATTAAGAAGAAAAATGGCTGGAAAATTAAAACCAGCAATATTTTTTACATGCACTGCACTGTATCTAACAAATTAACACGACAAAGATATATCAAGGTATTTCTGTTGATTAAAGTGTAGGTTTAGCCATATAGCAAAAGCAGAGAAAGTAAAGATTGATGAAAAATAAACTGATGTAACATTCTCATTACCCAAAGTTATTTTGGACCCATCAACAACATGAACTGTTACAAGGTTAATTGATCCCAGGTGTGTTGCCCTTGGAGCTATAAAAAATAAACCATTGTTCTGTGAGAAGGGAAATTAAAGAACTTGGATTTCATGAAGGATCTGTCTCAATTGTTTCCTAAAAACCTATCTGCACATCTGCTAGGACAATTTTAACAGACACGAGACAGACATGTTGTGATTAGTCTGGATGTATTTTCATGCTGACAACCAGACAGTGCAACTATTCTGCTGAGCCCCCAATAACTTCAGAACACTTGCCCTAAACCTGGAGTTCTGACAGTCTTTGGTCTTTCTCATATTTGTTGTATTAACTCATACTTTTCCAAAAGAAAAAAAAAATTAGAAGTTTTTAGTAATGTATTTATTTTTTAGACCTCACTCAAATTTGAATGAATTAATTGAAAGGTGTCTAAGTTACTGGATGAAAAGGACACACTGGCAGGCAGGGGCACACACTACATAGCTCCTCATCTCTCAGAAATAAAATATGGAAGCTGGAAAATATCCTACTTACTCACATAAGGAGCAGTGGCTAAAAAGTGCCATTTATATTTAATGGTTAATATTTGTTTACAGTTTTTCCTACCAGTAGCTTGTTTTGCATATACACCATTATAACAATTTAAACTTTAAAAGGCAAAAAATAAGCCCCTAAATTCTGTTCTCTAAAATTGTTTCCTTAAAACTAAATTTGTAGCAGTACCAAAAGACGTCACTTGTTAACTGATGACATGATTGGAAATAGCTCTTATTCAGCTGAGACTTAGAATCTAACTTGGCTGTTGAACAGCCTTTCAAAATAAGGTATTCAGAAAAGAAATATTTTTCCTGGACTGTTCAGTTTGATGTTCACAGTAATACATATGTACATGTGGTATATATATAGAATATAGTTCTTGAATTAATAGGGTCTCTGCTTGAAACCTTTTTGGCCATATAAAATGGACAAGGAAGGGGGGGTGGAAATTACTAAACCATTCATTAAGCTATTTGTCTAAGACTAAAATTTTATCAGTTCAGAGGTTAGATCAGAGAGGAGGAAAGATCAGGAGCGGCTCTCATAGATACATAGTCTCTCCTCACCTGACTATATTCTTTCCTCCTGTTACTTTCCTCCTTAGAAATTTTTATTGAAATAGAGCACCCCATGGTAAAGCTGAGATATCACCACCCTTCACTATAATTGTGCATCCCTGAATCTACCATGGTTACTGCAAAAATCAATAGTATTGGAGGCACTTCTACTCTTGACATGTAAATATCTTAGACTGAGGCTCTGTAGCTCGATTTTCAAAAGTACTTGAGAAATTGAATAAATTTAGAATAATAAAATTTCCCCAAAGAAGAGAACTTCTTGAATGTAAGCACAAATGTATTATTATTAAAATTAACTGAATTTCTCACATTTTTAGATGGCTACTAAACCCACCCAACTGCTTTCCATGGAAATTGATCCAATTCTTGGGCATTCACTTTGGTATAATTTATGAACAAATTCTCAGCTGAACAATGATAAAAATTCCTGTCTACTTATTATGCATGCCTCATGACCACAAAACTCAGTGACAACAGAAATATAACTGAGGCAGTGCCACAGTAACACTTCTAAAGTTACAAATTGTAAATTACCAGGTTTAGTTTGTGGTGCTTCTGGCCCAACAGATGTTTTGGATTTGGAAGGAATGAGCAGTGTTTCTTTTGGAGCTGAAAGAAAAGGAAAAAGATTATTATTGTATTCTTCAGGAGTCATGATCCAATGCCATATTAACCCACAGAAAATGCATGCCTCAAATGCCTGAAAAAAAAGACAATAACAATTCCATGGCTTTCTGGAACCTGAAACAAAATGACTAGCCAAAACACAGAAAAGTCCCACCAGTGTGCTGTAGGATCAGTTGAGTTACTGGCTAAAATTGTTGCTCTAAAAGAAAAATTAGGCCACTGATTTTGGTTGGAGATCTGTCAAATACAGACTTCTGACCAGACGTAAGCTGTAGGCTATTTTTGCTTTAGTTGAAAAAATAGAAACGAGAATCCTCTGTGCTAAGATACACGCATCTGGCAGCAGAATGAAGTATACTGGAATGGTGTTATATAAATACCACATTGGAGCATGTTCTCTAGAAATTTCTCCACTGAAAAATTAGAAATACCTGCATCTTAAAGTGAAGGAAATTTATTTACCCATTGTTGCCCTTGAATGACCAGTGGTAGTAGAAGATTTTGTAATAATTGGTTGTGGAGTTGTCGGATATATTGCTGTTAAGGAGAAAATGTGAAAAATCTTAGAATATTTATCTGTAATCTAAACAAAGCAGCATTTGATAAAACCTGCAAAATGTCTCAAACTAGGGAGCAGCAGAATATCTTGAAAATCAACTGCCAACCGATATGATTATCTCTCTATTAACTTCTGGTATACATTTATACCAAGAAATGGGAAGCCACACAGCCCTCCATAACTATTTTTAAAGCTACTTCCATTTCAGTACAGCAGACAATGTCTGTTGCTAACTGCACAAGCACATGGTAAAGGAGTTCTGTTGCATTTCAAGAGAAGATTAAAAAAAAAGTGCTCACAGAGGAGCACCCAAGATTACCAGAAGTAATCACAGAGAACTTAGTCTACCCAGCCACTGAAATTTGTCAATACCCACATTACTACATTTAAGTCATCATTTGCTATGTGTAATAGACAGAGGAAAATCATTACATATAATATTTATCTTACTATTATTTGTAGTGTAGTTTTGCCTTATTTTGGATTGATTATCTGAAATGTAATCCATTTGTTTCACCACAAAACTGGCTACAAATAGTCCCATTAAGAAGCACAAAACCTGAAACTTGGGGAAAGAATGATTAAACACAAAATTGAAAGAATGACTCCATTACCAGGTTTGGTGTATGGCACTCTTGGTCTTTCAGTTGTTTTTCTTTTGGTGTGAATGAATGGTTTTTCAGTTGGAGCTGGAATAAAAACAAACAGCACCCAGAACAATAATTGAAAAAATGCACTGCTTTTCACAACACACAAGGAACATAAGTATGATCTGATCTGGAATAAGGCAAATTATGTAAGAGCAAAGCTGAAAGTTGAAATTCCTGCAAAGAAAGGAAAACAAGTTAAATGGCCACTTACACAGGAAGACTTCTAAAGAAATAGATATTAATTTGTAGCTTTACGTCAAGCAGTCTAGAATATAATCATTAACATCATCATACTGTAATAAGAGAAAAATAGACAGTGGTAACCAGTGTCTTCCTCATCTGTCACACATGAGTATCTGGGGAGAGGATTTCTTTTTCAGTAGAACATTTGTGTCAAACTTGATTTCTAAATTAAATTCTTTTGTTCTTATGTGGGAATGGCTTAATATTGCTATCTTCATACTATTCAGATTAAAAAAAAAAAAAAACTGTAAGTAAAAGAAGGAATAATTTACTGGAAAAGTTATCCTTAGCACTTCTGAGACTGTGGTCTACACCAATGTGAGAGGTCCAAAATGACCTGCCTTAGCCTGTGCAGTGTTCATCCCCCTTGCTCTGAAGAACCATTTTCTGCATGTCAGTGTTACTCAGGTAGCTCAAGTGTTTACAATAGAGCACACACTTCATAAAGCTAGATGAACAGATGAATATTAACCTAAGTATCCTTGCATACAGGGATGATATATATTGAAATAGAGACATGTTTAAAAGCAGTTTTAATTTCCTCTTCCTCAAAACAAAACAAAAAAATGACATAGTTTGAAGATTATAAAATGCCTATTAATATTTTATTCTCAGAAAATATACACCATTTCATTCTCATAAAATCACAGTCAAGGTCTGTCTCTGAAACTGGGGACAGAAAACTGAACAAAGATTCGTCAAGCAATGCTCCTGCTCCTGGATACTGCTTGGATTCAGTGACCCTTACTTGATCAACATCTGACAATTAAGTTAAGAAGGAGGAACACTCAGCTAAGGTTTCTTATATTTTAGAAAGTTTTCCCAACATAGATAACTAGAAGTAAGCAGAGAGGATGGCTTTAAGAAGTATAGTTGGATTTAGACAGTCACATAGCTGGTCTGGAGACTTTATGCTGTTGATACATTAGAATTTTTTTCTGTAAAATTAAACTTTGAGTAGTGAAGAAGAAGAGTATTTTAGAATGAAATTATCCACAATTCACATGAAGAATAGAGGATGAACTCAGTTAGTTAGAGCATGGTGCTAATCCAAGGGTTGTGATGGGCCAGTTTACTTCAGAGTTGGACTCGATGATCCATGTGGGTCCCTTCCAACTCAGAGAATTCTGTGATTCTGTGAAGAATCACTATCTGCTCTTTAAATAAAGTCCTCTTTTACTGGAAAATAGATAACATCTGGAGGAATTGCATCATCCTGACTGGAAAGACTAGAAGATGAGGAAAAGAACCTTTGAACGTGAATGAGCTCATCCATTATAACCCTTATCAAGACCAAAGAACAAGTAAGTATCTACAAGTAGAACAAAATTTCATTATTAGCTTGTAATAAAATATAATGAGCTCTCCCTAAGATGATATTCTCTAAAAAAAAGTGGGAAACAGAATAATTATTTATGAAATAACTGTTACCAAATGGTGCCTTTGTTCTGTCAGGAATATGAGGAATCATAGTAGCATCTCGTTCATCAAAGGTTGGAAGAATCTCTGTTGGAAAAAATGTCAATAAATGAATAATGAAAGGAACTTCCTTTTCGTCCTTTTCTTAAAAAACCTTTCAGCACTATACTGTGCTGTGTATGTGTGTGTATATTGTACAGGGAAGGGATGTTTTAAAACAGCAATGGGCATTCACCCTCAGAAATTTATGGTAGGAAACAACAGTAACAAGCCTTCAGTTGAAATCACTGATTATATTACATAGGTCAGTTGGATTTAGGAGAGTCACCTAAGCAAAATGTAATTGAAGGAAATCCTCACTCTAATCTGGGTGAAAATGTGTGTATAAAGGAAAAGCAATGCAACAGCGTTAGGAGGTTGCTCTCATAAGAGCTTCAAAAACATGGTGCAGACTATTGAAGTGTGTTACTCAGATACAAGCTGCAAATAACTTTTTATCCTTGACCAAAACATGTAGGTCAATACTATTTCTTGTGTTAATATCTGCATAAGACACAAAATCTCTTGAACTGCTGAAGTTTCCATCGGATTCAGTTGCATTCCTGCAGAGGTTTCTTAACCTAGAACAATAACAGGTAACAGCAGATACACTGATGGCTATTCCCCCCACTGCCACCCCAAAAACAATTGTTGAACTATCCACTACAACTTCACAAAAGACCAGATAATTTACCAGGCTTCCTGTATGGAGCATCTGGGATGGGAGTTGCTCTAGGCTTATAAGGAATATGCTGTGGTTCTTTACGAGCTGAAAGAAAAGATCTGTTTTAAGGGTTTATACTTTGACAAAATTAGGTTTATTGAACAGGCACTGCATGTCTCACGCTTGCAAAGAAAAACAATCCCTGCATGACAGCCTGAAAAACTGAGTGTCAGATACATACAGGAATTCAAGGCAAAACAAAATCCTCAGTGAAAACACGGGTGGAAAATTAATCAGGTAAGCAAAATCTGGAGTCAAACAACAAAACTTGAAGGAACACAGACTAAAAACTACAGGGTTTCTGTTTGTATTTCAGAACCCATAACTGCAATACCCATGGTGTGCTGCTCTCCTACAAGTGTCAAAGGAATTACAATGTGTGTGACAGGGAACGAAATTTTCTCTGAAGACAACAAACCAGATAGGAATCTTTCGACACCTGGAACAGAGTAGAATGTAGTTCAATTACTAGAAAAGATAACAAATCAAAACCACAAACCAATTATGTGAAGAACAGGCAAATGATATGAAAGCATTGGCCCAAGGAGTAGTGAAAAAATAATAGTGACTAGCTCAAGGTAACTCATTTTTGTGTTGCTGTCTTTTGCTGTTCAACTGTTAACTGCCAAAACTTCATAAAAACAGTAAGATATACAGAGTTAGTTGTGAATATAAGTTAGTGGTAAAAACACTCCCTTTTACATGACTGGTTTGTTTTCAATTTGTAACATATTCTTTTTTTTTCCCCTTTAAAAAAATATTATTTCTTTGTAAAATTATTGAATATACATTCACTCAAAATAATATGTTCAATGGATACTCTCAGAACTGTTAGAAGTCACAGAGGTTTGGCAATTCATTAGTATGTAAATCCCTATAAAGTTTATTTTTAAGGGTGAAATTCCATTACCAGGTCACACAAACCTATGAGCAGTTTCACTTACAGACATTTAGAGTCCTACATGAAGGTTTTCAAATAAGTTTTTCTATAAGCATCTTTTTACAGGCACAAAAGAGATGCAATTTCTTCCAACTTCTCATGGTGTTTGTATATTGTCTACCCTCCTGTATAGATTATTCATCAGCAATAGAAGTTGTGTGACTGAAAAGCAGAGGCAACTACTAAAACTCAGACATTCAAAATAGAAATCAGCTGTTTTCCTTTAAACACCTATTTAATGATCATCAGAAAATGTGTGTGTAATATGAAGGGATATTAAAAAACAAAATTAATTAATAATTAATCACTGAGGAAGGACAACCCATATGAACCCCTGGATATTCAAGCACAACCAAACAACAGTGTATATACCAGGTTTTGTGTGTGGTACATCTGGACTTGGTGATGCCCTGGGCCTGGAAGGGACTCGTCGACTTTCTTTTGGACCTGTGGAAATGAGCAAAGTTTTGAATTTGTTACTGAACGTGATTGACCTGTGAAAATGTGCAAATTTTTGAACAGGTTGTTGTGAGTGATGATTCAACATATGTCTTTCGATTTTTCTGATGAATCAGAAGATTCATTTTCTACTAAGAATTTTTTTTATGGATTATTTCTGTCATTGGAAAATAATCCCAAAGAGATCTCCTGCTAGTGCAATCAATACAATGCCAGTGCAGAGACTAAAGGCAAAATGACTTTTACAGTGTGGTGTCAGATGAACTCTCCACTCCTAACAGCAATAACAAATTGAGCTTTCTGCAGAGTAAACTGCTGTAGCTCTAACACTTCCTAGTAGTGCTTATTAAGTGTTTCACATTCAAAAAACCTGCTGCATTTAAATCAACTTTGTATTTAAAAAAAAAAATCTCAGCAAAGCAGTCAAAGCAGAACAAATGTGGAAATTTACCACTAATTTTCAAGTGGACAAAGCTATTTCCAAAGTTTTGGGAACAGGAAGGTATTGTAATTTTACACTTTTAAAGAAGCAACTCAAAATTACAAATATTTCAGTCACACTCTAAGGAAATCAAGATGCAGATTTTCCTGTGAGCAGGGCCTCAAGATGAATGTTAACCCACACATCTCCATCATGTGGCTGTATGTATAAATGTCCAGCTGATTATCTTGTTCCATGACAGCTGTATAGCAAAATTTGATTATGGCAGTGAAGCACAGCCTATTCAATAAGTATCTCTGCATCTTCAGAGAAATCATAAGTTCTGAAAATGTTCAAAGTGATAAAATCTTCATGCACTGAAGGGAAAAATATTGATAAACTTACTTGCTCTAGTTGGAGGAACACGTGGACTGGGTGATGTTTTAGGTTTGGAAGGCCTGTGATATGTATCTTTAGAGGCTGAAAGAAAGAAATTGTGTTAAAAATTATTAAATTAATAAGTAGCTTGAAATACAAATGCACTGCTCTGTAATGGATGTTGTCCTGGAATGATTCATAATATCAAATTCAAGTGACAAAAATGCCTTCGTCAAATCTCTCTGCCTCAAGGCAGGATCCAGGATCAGTGAAGTGATTGTGCTCTGACAGTGAAATTGAGGTTTGAGTGGAACAGAATTATTATTCAGTGAATAATCCTTTATGAAGGACTGAATTTCATTTCTTAAAACAGGAGGGGAATGGAAGCAGAGAAAGAAAGCTTTCAGGAGGGAGGTCTGCCCACCCAAACCTCATGACCACCTGCAATGGTGCTATCTCCACATCTCAGGAAGACTGAGAACATATAATTGGGATCTTGTTCTGATCTGCCCTCTGCTTCTTACCATTAAAGCCTGAAGGAAGTTTTCATATCTTATGTGCATAACAACTTGAAAGGAACAAGGATTCTCTTTGATTATTTCATAGAAAATAAGAGACTGAGAATCTCAACTGTTAAATTATTAAGGAGCTTGCAGAGAAAGATGACAAATTTATTCAGGTCTGCTTTTAATGATTTGTGCTGAAGAAGAAAGATAATGTGACCATTCAAACAAGAGACCATCATTACCTATTGTTGCCTTTGATTTCTCAGTTCTAAACCTAATTGTTTCCAGAACTGCATTAACGTAATAAACAGCAAAACCAGACTATTACCAAGAACAATCAAAATGTTACAATCACAATCTCCACAATAATCATACCATCCCTGCTAGGACTGATGACAGATAGTCACCCCTCCCTGAAACTCAGCACAGAAGTATTATGTTCCTCAGAATTTCCTCCAATTCAAGGTAACAACTCTAATACAGAACAGATCCCAAATATAAATCCAAAGCTTTTGTAAAAGCCACAAAAAGCCTGTGGGTGGGTTTTTTATTTACCTTCAGCTTTGTACACTTTCCTGACTAATTTAAAGGTTTTGTTTCAAGCAATAGGTGCAGATTTACTGGGGAGAAAAGGAACCTGAGTTGTTGTCTCTCTGCCCGCCTCTTCACCAACACCATCTAATACTCTACATACCTTGGATACCCATACTGGGTCTGACTGGGATGGAGGTTATTTTCTTCATGGCAGCCCCTGTGGTACTCTGTTTTGGATTCATGAGCAAGGATGTGTTGATAAAATACCAATGTTTTATTTATTCCTGAATATGGATTGTTAGAGCATCCAAGATTTCTTTGTTTGTCACTCTGCCCCAGGCAAGAGGGCTGGGCAGGATGCTCAGAGAGGACACAGCCAGGACAGCAGAACCACCCTGGCCAAAGGGATATTTCACCTCACATAAAGTCATGCTTGGCAACAAAACTTTCCAAAGCATCCACTGCTCCTAGACTGGCATTGTTCTGCCTGTGGGATGTGGTGTGCGGTTGCTTTGTACCACTTGCTTTTTTCCCTCCTCTTTTTATCCTTCCTTATTAAACTGTCTTTATCTTGAACTATGATTTTTTTTCCCTGTTTTTTTTTCCTTACTTCTGCTCTTCTGATTGTCTCCCCCAGAACACTGTGGGGTAGAATGAGTGAGAGGTCAGTGTGTGCTTAGCTTCTGGCCAGGTCAACCCACTATGGTACCTCAGGTCATGCAAGTGTGAGTTGCATAATTTGCTTTCTCCCCCCTTAATTCTCCTAAGATTGTACATGGGTATAACAACCCATGTAGACACAATTATAGGAAGTATTACACATTTTTGAATCTCTGAACATCACAAGGGCTCTGGCAAAGTGAACCAACAAGTGTGAAAGAAAGCCTGTGCCTGAAAAAAACAGAAGCAAGCACACAATTTGAGGAATACAGAGCAGAATCCTTCCTCTTTGCAACCTCACCCCTTGTTTGCACCTTCACTTTCCCAGAACACAAGAAAGTTCACACAGAAAAGACTTATTTTCACTGAGAATTGTACAGAAAGCATCTGTTGCTGCAGTGAATTACAACGTAATAAAGAATTGAATATATTTTCAACTAACCAGGCTGCTTATAAATTTTTCATGTCAGTGAATTTTGTCCCTCAAGGAATATTCAAAAATATATTCCCAAGAAATACATGTAAATCTGAAGCTGCAGTGATCACAGTAGAATCCTTGAGACACATGTGTCAGCATGAAAAGGTAAAGAAACAATGAACTTACCAGGTTTTGTTCGTGGCACCTCTGGGCTTGGTGATGTTCTAGGTTTGGAAGGAACACGCTGTGGTTCTCTAGGAACTGGAGATAAAAAAAAAATAAAAATAAAAAAGCAGCAACTACAGCAACTATTAGAATTTTTTGAGAACCGATACTAACAGAAAGCATTACATTAAAAAAGAACACATGCCTTTGGGACCCTTCAGAATCACAGAAACTTGAGTGATGAAGAAATATGAATGCTTGGTACATAACAAACCCCAGTATTGATGGAAAACCTCTGTAACAGGACAATATAAAACAAGGCCAGTATGGTTGGACAGTATAAAAGGTGAAGCAGCACATGATAGAAAGGGATTATAGAGACAAGCAGTCAAAGGTAGGTTGTGGTGCTTCCATCCACTTTGCAGAACACAGTTGTGTGAGAAAAAAACAGGAAAAGATGATCATGAATTGTTAGTGAAAAATCACCAAACCCCCCCTTACAGGATGAACTTTCATAGTAAAAAAATTATGGTAGTGGAGTGCAAATAAGAAGTGCTTGTGATGCTCAGTGAGAAAAAAGCTAAATGTGATGGTTCCCAAGTGATTTACACTGTAGGTAAAGCTGTTACCTATTGTTGGTTTTAGTTGATCAGTTCTAAGTGTTATAGATTCCAGGACTGTATCAGAAACAAAAGAGAAAAGATGTTTTGAAAGTTGAAAATTTACAATTAGCGCTACTTTCTGAATCATATACTTTGTATATTGACTCATACAAAAACAGCTGGATTAAAAGAAGAATCTGTGAAAGCAGTATCATTTTCAACATAGTGTGAGCTTTTTTCTCCCATAGACTTCAATGAAATATCCAAATATTATCATTCTGTCATTCAGAAAATGGCTTTTTAGGGACCCCAATCTCTTCCCTTGGTGATGTGTTTCAAATGCACTCCATGTACACAAGTGGAATCTGACAGTACTTGCTTGTGTACTGAGCACCATTATTAAAGAACATTAGATGGTGTGTTGCATAATGCATATAAAGTCATATAATTCAGCTCTGGACTGGAATGGATCTAAAATAAAACTGGGTGGTTTAGAGACATAGGGATGTGAAATTGATGTGTCAATTCTTCTGTATGGATTACAGATAAAAAAAATAAGTGTCTTTGGATCTTTTAAAACAATTACAAGATAAGTGGATGATGCTGTAGAAAATATTCTATGTATTACAGATTCTTGAAGAAACTGTAAACTGTTGGGGCTTTTGTTTTTGTTTGTTTGTTTTAAACATATGTCAATACAAGCTCATAACATTTGTGTAACAAAATCGTAAATTATTTCTACCATTTCTGAGAAGGCCAGACTACCATAACAATAAAAAATGGCCACAAAGGTAAAAACTGAGTGTATGAGAAGTTGCATCTTAAGGTGTAATTGGGAAACAATGTTTTATAATCAGATGCCATCGTTAAAAAATTATGAGAAGACAAGGATTTTGACTGTTTGCCACATGAGGAAATCACATCTAATAGATAACATCAGATTTCAAAATTATTGGTCTATGTCTACACTTTAAAGGTCTTAATAAAGTGTTTATCCTTAGATTTTTCATATTTACCAAAGGATAACATATGTTGATATTTGAGACTCTCGAAATTTTCTGTTGATATTACCAACTGTAGAACATAGAATGTAATTTTTTCTGCCTACCATTGAATTCAACTGCTCCCACATTTAATGACATAAAAATCAAGTATTTTGAAATACAATTTAAAGGATCACTAATGACAATAGTTATTACTCAAGTACTAAGTGTGCATGTATAAATGGGCAATTTACTACCTCTTTCATAAAATAGTGATGACATGAAATTAATTGTGGCTTAGAACGGAAACAGATTTATTCTAACAATGCAAAACGATGTTGGAAAGAAGAATACCCCCAAGGAGCCTCAGTACACACTTTATTTGCTTGCTATTTGCTTTATTTAGCAAGGTTAATCTGAGTGTAACACCACTATTCTCTTCCTCTTGCCCTGAAGTAGCAGAGGTTTATTGTTTTGCTCAGTGAAAAATACTTAGCAAATATCACTACTCATGAAAACTACAGTTAAATCACTGAACACCACAGAACCCCATTCTGTTTTAACTGGCTCAGATAACTAAACAGCTGTTCATAAATACATTTCAATCCAAAATAAACTGCACTAGAAACAATCACAAAGAAGTTTACCATCTTTGGCTTGTGGGATGTGAGGTTTGGGTGGAGTTTTGGGTTTAGAAGGAACACGTTGAGTCTCCTTTGGAGCTGGAAGAGAAAATGTGGGCAATAAGTTGGTAAAATTGCACAGCAATTAGCATCTGATACCAGCTGAACACACAAGCACAGAAACCTCACACCTGCAACTGAGAAGAAGTAGGCAAGTCAGGTAATAATCTCCATGTGTTTACAACCATCTAAGCAAGAAAGTAGAATTTTAGTAATTTTTGAAGCTCAGTTTCTGTTTGTTTTTAAAATAAAATCTGGAGCAGATGCAAACAAGCATAATTATGAGAAAGGTGATTCAGACCTGGCAGCATAATTTCTTTTTCTATAAAGGAGATATTCCAACTGCAAAGAGAGCAATACACCCAACTGTTTTGAATGCCAAGCAAGATAATTACCTAGAAGAAAAATGAGGTTAAATGAAACAATCCTGAGGCATAAGGATTCACTAACTTCAGTAATGCTTGCTGTGATGTAAATAAAGCAAACACAACCGCTTGCCAAGGAAATACTTTTACCTATGGGTGACCTTGTGGTTCAGTTCTAAGTGTAATATGTTCCAAGACTGCAACAGAAACAGTGTGACAAAATGAGTAAGGAGCACACTCCAAAAACTTAATATTACTCCAGTCGTAAGTATAAAGGTTGGTACTAACACAACATCACAGTGATGTGGACCTTCAAGCTGACTTTTAAACTGTGGTCAATTAAAATTCTCAATAATACAAGTAAAATAAAAAATATGTAATTGGACAAACTTGACAGCAATAGAAGCAAAAATATGTGGATATCAAGCAGTAAATCCAAGAACAAGCAAGAGAAGAGATCACAGAGCTTAACTCGGAGACAGCAAGGGACCCTTGATATACAGAATGTCAGGAGTCACCAAACTGAACTCTGTTACTAGAAAGCAGTGTGCTGACCATGACAAAATAGTTGAAGTTCTCCTCTAAAGTGAGCAATTAAGCAGAGGACTAAAAGGCTGCTATTGGTAGAGCTGTATTGATTAACTGAAAAAACTTAGTTTGATAAAGCTATAGTTAGTTTTTTCTCATATCCACTTACAATTTGGATCACAAAACCATTATATCATGCCCTTTTCCTGGCCACAAACTATACCAAATGGGTCAAAAAATTATGAGATTGTAGAATCTATGAAAATTTCTTGGCAGAAAAAGAAAATATATTAAAATAATGCATAAATTCTTGCCTCTCAAGGCGGTAACAAGTAAAGTAGTGTATAACATACAGATACCCACACCTAAAGATTGAACCTGTTCTATAATCCACATTCACTTATCTCCCAAACTCTCTTATGCATCTACCCATTTTAAAAATGGGTTTTACAGTAAATAACACTATAAAACTTTGATTGCAATTGAGGGGGTTAATACTGAAGTATTTATTAGATGTCTATTAACATTCACAGTAGAATATTCTGTAGTATTAATATTGCTGCAAATGAAGAAAAATCCCCAAAACAACCAGTATTAACTTCTACTGACAGTGGCCAAATAGTCCATAGAAATCTCAAACTAGTCACTAATTTTTCAAATATTCTCACTACATATGCAGAAAGTAAAGAAAAGAAAAACTACCTGGAAGAAAAGAAAGTTGAAGTTTTTCTTTACTTTCTGCACTAATGGCAAGCTTCAAAGTACATAATTTAAAAATAAGTGCCTTAAAAGATTTAGCTTGAGGTGTTTTGATCTTAGCAGATCCTTTGGGCTTCAAATGTGAGGAATATGTATTTTGGATACTGGGAAAAGTTTGTTTTGTGAAAACCAGCCTTTAAGTTGAAAGTAAATGGTCTCATAGAAAATCACATTCACATTCAGTAATGGGGAAATGAAGTCTAGGAAATGACCCTCAGTCCTTATCAATGAATAATCACAGAAAAAGAAATTGTACTATGTGTTTAATGCATGAAGTATCATTGGATATGAATCAAACAAGCAATGATTATCCATTTGATGGATAACCAAAGAGCTGGATGCTCCTCTGCAGCAAAATTAACTTCTCATAGTTCAGTTAAAAGCCAAAGAAAAGAGACTTAACCTGCAATGCAGCATTGACCTGGACAAATCAATATCATTAGAGGAGTTTGGAGAGTATTTCATTGCGTAGAACTTGTTGTAGTTGAAAACTATGAGTTTAAGTGATTTGTTGCTAATTGACCAAATCAAACTCATTCTGTTTTATCAAATCATTTAAGAGCTGTCCTTCTCCTGTGAAGTATCTTATATGTCAGCTTCATCCAGGTTTTAAAGAGCAAATAAACTGCTGAAAACATCTTCTCAGAAAGCCCTTCTCAGAATACAACTGGCACAGTAAATGCAAACAGCGATTCAAATTCTCCTTTGAATTAGATATAACATTTCAGGGCTCACTGCAAAGGAGAGATCTTTGTTCTTAGTATGCATAAAAAAATGTATCTATTAAACACATCACTTATTATATCTTCCCATACTAAAAATAAGGCCATGTATTACTTTATATAAACTGCACTCCTCATTAAAAATAAAATTACTTTTCTTACAAATTGAACACAAGTTTAGATGTATTATTTGAAATAATGCAGTATTTTAGATTGTTATTTCTATGTTCCATAAAATCTTTATTATTGCAATATTTCTTATTCTTTCTTTTTCTAAAGTAAGTGAAACTTTTAAGTAGATAGCTTTGAAGTTTTCTATTTTTTAGAAGACATCTCCATGTTAGAGACATGGAAAAATAATAAAGCACCAAGACTGTACTTCCCTTTGCCGGGTTTGGACCACACATGAACAAGCAAGAAGCCTCCAGGAAATGGGGTTTTCAACTGCACATTTTATCAGAGCAATGAAAAGAAGAATGACTAAGGATGACTCATAATCATTACCCTCTGCAGTCTTTGGACATTCATATGTGTAGGGACTCCTAGTAGTGACTGACACTGGAATGGCTGCTGCTGGAATAAAGAGAATTTTCTTTAAAGAAATACTGGTGCATCTGTAGCTATTTTTCAACTGCTGGTATGGCTCAGTTGCTCTTGCTTCCCAAACATAATCCACCTCTTCAAAACTCTTTGAATGGAAACACTGAGTAAAGGATAAATTTACTGAAATAAGCCTGCATGTATGACTTTTGCTGCCTTTGGAAAATAAAAAAGTACATTTATCCTACAGGAACACTGGGAGATGAGTTCTCTAAAGCTTCAACTCCCTGTTTTACTGAATCTTTTTAATCTCTTTATGGCTGTACACCTCTGAAAAGAAACAGATCCAGAGAACTCCATTTTCTTTGGTAAATCTTGCTATTAATTTTCCCAGATTTCTCCCATAGTGATACAAAGGATAGATGTGAAAGACTTCAGGTCTAAATAACTGTAAATTCACAGAAAGCAAGGCTGAAGATCTCAGCAGATTATCTAGTGCTACTGCACAATAGATCATAGTTAACAAGCTTCCCATCTCTATCTAAAGTATTTAATTGGGTTTGAAAGAAAAAAACTCCAAATACCCTGAAAAATAGAAAGAACTCTGAAGTCAAAATTGGTAGAATTATTTGATACTAGCTTGACTTTTCAAACAGAATCCATTTTCATTCCTAAATACATCTACAATCATCGAGTAATCTTTGTGCTTATCCTTCAAAGTTTGCTTTGTTTACTCTGTTTTGACTCTTAGCCTCTGTCCCTCCCTACAGATTTTAGTTAGGAAAGAAAAAGTGATGGATAAATATTGTATGATGGGCTTCAAACTGTATTTTTTGACATACTAACAATTTGTCATGCTGTAATTCACAAGCATTTTAAGACTCACAAGTACACTTATTTCAATGAAGTTACCTTGAAATTTTAAAATACAATAAAATATGAGACCACTTCCAAAACTTTGTCAGTTTAGATAAAAAATGACATTCTTAATTTAAAAGTTTCTATTCCCCCACAAGAAGGTTTATGGTGGTTTACCTGGGTGGACAGTGTTAAAATTTAAAAGATTGAATTATTTCTGAATTCTAAATTTTCTCTCTTTACTTTACTGACATTTTTTTTATAGCTTAGACAGCTTTTATATTTGATACTATTGACACTATTCTAAGAATGCAAAATACTCTTAAATGTCTTCAGAAGAAATAATTTATGCATTTAAGTAAATACCCAGAGAGGCTGTGAAGTCTCAATCCCTGGAGATATTTAAAAACTTTTCTGTAAAGAAAGTGTTGCAGTGCATTTGGGTGCACAACAGAAAATTCATTATGAATGGAGAATGAAAAATGGAGAATATTTAGAGAGAGGTATTCATGCTAACAATGGTAAAAGTGAGGACAATGGCTGGGAGTGATCACATTGGCAACAAAACCTTATTTGTTTTCATGCAGGCAACAGATTCAGTTACCCAAATACCAAGAAAGAGAATGAAACTGTGAACTTTCACTAGAATTCACAGTTTGTTAGCTGGAAAATATGAAAATCATTTAAATGTTTGGGGTTTTTTAAATGAAGCTTTTTTCTCTGCTGCCAAAGAAGGCAAATACTTTACCAGAAACAGCACAAAAATCATGTTAATAATGCGAGGCAAAAATAATTGCTTGACGCAAAGGCAGTTGTTAGCAAATCATTGATTAAATATGAATTTGGCATATATTGTTCATTATTTTGATTCACTGTTAGGGAAAGGTGACAACCACTATCATGAAACAAGTTTCTAGCTTAAGCTGAACTTCCAATTGATGCTGGTACACAGAGAGGCTCCTGCTCTTTGGCCATTTTGCCACCCACCCAAACCAAAGCTTAACCCCATGCATTGCATATTTTACAGCTCAAATAAGACTTTCTGAACAAGAACATCATTTGTCACACGAAAACACATGCCAGTTTCACTACCTACTTACAAGAGTCATGACAAGCTTCGTAAAGATTGAAAAGTGAGTCTTAGGATTCTACCTGATTGATTAATGAGACCACTACTGGGAAAGAAAAGAACCAGAGGCATGTGTACAAATATGGAACAATGTCCCTTTCCTTGCAGGCACACAGAAACTCGCTATAGAGCCACTCAGTGTGGAAACATCAGGATAAAACCTCGGTCTTGGCAGTCCCAGGGTGTAAAACAAATTTATGCAACAGTTTTCAAATGAGTTGCTTTTTTTCTCAGCCCTTTCAAAAAACAACATACAGGGCTCAGATCTATATTCAGACATAGATATCTACAGCAGAGACAAAAGTAATGATTCCTATAAAACAACACTGGATTTCCTACACTAAAAATTATGAAGGAGCAGTGATCAGCATAAAAAACTAATCATGCACAGTATTCTGAAACAATTCCAAGTCATAAGTGCCATTCCTTTAACAAGCTTCACAGGGAATAATTTGGTCTGAAGGGAATGAACTTCTTTTCATGAGCAAAAAATCATTTGGGGGGAATCTGGAAAGAATTTAATAAAATCATCTGATCTCTTCCAGTGTTGAGTAATATATTCTTGCAATAAACAATTATGCAATTTCAAGCTTTATAATTTCATTATAGACCATGTAACACTAGAAATATTTTTACAACTGTATTTATTTATTCTCCAGGTCCAGAAAATGCCAGGTGTGTTTTATTCTCTGCTATACATCACAGACCAAATTTAACCTCGGTGTGAAGGTGCTATTTCATTTGGGATAATAAAATATGTCTTTACTGAATTCCAAAGCAAAATTCCATTCTTACTTTCAGAGTTTCAGGTAAATCTACATATGCACTAATGATCACTGAATCACTACAAATCCTATTGTTCTGTGTAAGACACTATAACCATCAGCAAAACAGCAAAATTTGTGTTGTCTGGACCCTATGCTGAGCTAAGCTGGAAAGTTTGTTATTTCAAAATGAAAAGCAGGAAAACAATTTGCTTTGATGTCAGACTGCATGAGTTGGTGACTTGGTTAAAAGGTTTCTTGCTTTGCTTCTATTTTTTTGGGGGAGGGAGGTGTCCAAAACAAAAAATATTTTTCCTTGAAGAGGAATTCCTCACCTTTCTGATGATTAAGTGCCAAACTTCACATTCACACAGAAGAAATTCAAGCTAAAATGAGCTGCTTAAGTGATATACTATAACAAATGCTTGCTATGGAAATTAGTTACCAGGTTTAGTTCGTGGCTTTGGGGGTCTGGCAGATGGTCTAGGTTTAGGTGCAGAAGTAGTGCGTTTTGCTTCCTTAGGAGCTGAAAGAAATATACTGGTTTATAAGTTTATGCTTTCCACTGTATCACAAAAAAATCAAATGAGGCAATGAATGGCTACTGGGAACTAAAGCAAATGGTAGAATCAAATATGCCAAGAAGAGTTCTCAAAAATCTTCCTAAGAATTCACTACTCCAGCAAAACCTCTGTTTGTTCCTCCCTGTAAAAATGAGTAATTACATTTAAATATGAAACTGAAGCTTGCAATCACATCTGAATGTTCCTCTCATTAAGTTAGCAAATTTATTTTTGCTAGATGCCTAAGAGATGAAACAATAATGCTTTTTATCCTTTTGAATTCCAGGTCAATTTAAAGCCCAATCAGAAGACATATATAGACAAAATATACAGAAATGTCCTCAATTTTTGGCACAGTAAAGAAATTACTGGCAAACAGCTGGAAGAACATGGAATCGATTAAAAAATAATGGAACTTCTTCATAACTGCAGTCATTGAATTCTGCTAATAGAACTGAAGTAAATAATATAAGTAGAATAGCAGTATCATGTAAGTGGTAAAAAATTAAGAAAAATGAGTCCTAGAAACAGTTTTCCCACCAAACATGCACACGTTGAAATTGTAATTGCTAATCTGCTTGTTAGCCTGATTTCAGATGAAGTGTAAACTGAGTTTCAGGCAGAGGTAAGTAACTTTGTACATTTTTAAAAAAGCAGTGCTGTGAGACCACTTTCCAATTAAATGTTTCATATCAATTGACACAGCAGAAAAGTGTTTGATGTCTGCAAAAAGAGCAGAGAGGAGTGACCCATGAAGTGACTGAGAGATGTTTTTCAAACCAAAACTACATTCAGAAGGATTCGTACACATGTTAACTTAGTACCACAGGAATCCTTCACTGAGAGTTCTGGGATTAACATCCCCATTTACTACTACCTTTGCTTTTAATATTACCTTTCCACTTGGCATTTCAATTGTATTTCCAATGAGTTTTCTGAATAAAGAGTGTTGGTCTAGAAAACCTCTCAGCAAAATGGAAGTTAAAAATTTTTACTGTACCATGGAACTAGCAAAACTGCATTAAAAAATGGTTTCCTTTTCTCCTAAGTTTAGAAGAAACATTTCTGAATGCTTGTCTCCTAACTTTCTTCTTCTTTCAAAGAAATGGATTAAATAGAGCTAAAGCTATGAGATAAAGTAGCAGTACAAAATGTGGCTTGGACTGCAAAGAAGAGTGACTAACAGCCACAGAAACATGTATTACCTAGGGTTGCTTTTGGTTGCTCAACAGTCTGAGAAGTTTTAGGCTCCAAAAGTGGTGGTTTAGGGGCTAGAAAAGAAAAAATTCCAGTGTAATCAAACCGATCAGTAGATGTATCAACACGAAGCCAAAAGTGTTATCATTTCAACAGTTCAAGGGAGATTTTTAAGCAGTGTAGATAAGCCTTAGTCTTGTGTGTAACACCCCACACTCCCTTTAGCTTTGTTTCTTATGAAATTGCACACTGAATGATTGTGTGAGAGTCTGCTTCTAAGGCTCCTTCCCCTTATTTATGTTCTCAAGACATTTCTAATCCTTCTTTTGATTCAGTCAGCAAATAAATTTCTCTTCTGTAATGGGAGAATAGTGAAAAAGGAGAGATGCCGAAGAAAAGAACGCTATAATGAATACTGAAGAATCTATATGTAAGAAAATGTTTAACGGCCAAAGTTTTGCTGAAAATCCTAAATCAGTACCTGCAGTTGATTGTAAGAGAGGCATAAGACAATAAAGGCAGGTCCTGTGTTTTACTGATCTGTCTGGTTATATAAGACATGAGAACAGAAGCATTTGAGGCCTCAAATAATCCACAGCATAATATTCATTGGTCCAGTACCTGATTCACTAAAGGAAACAAATTGTTTTCCCTTGATACCAAATTCAAAGAAAATTAGTAGAGGTCTGTTTTGGTATCAAAAGGTAGAAAATACATGACACAATGATTATGTTCCTATGGAATTAGCAAAGATGTCATCTTTGCCATAGTACGTCAGTGTGAAAATGGGATATGGGGAGTGGCAAAGGACATTGTAAATGTTATAATCATATTTATTGCTTATAGGAGTGATATCAAAACAGCCTTGTGCTACACAGAACTTTTTTTTCCATTCCAGTCCTTTAAAAAAGTTAGAACACTAGAGAACTGGTTTATATTTTTATCACTGGACCCAAATGCATAAAAGTGATTAACACTCATTAAATTTATGAGGGTCAATGACCAACTTGAGAATGATGAGTTAGTTAGGATGCTCATGTACTGCATAACTCCTGTTCTTTTTAGGAAGTTTTGCTTAGACATTTTTAGAGAAAATATCTGTCTGCATACCAACTTATGAAATTGTTGTGCACAATTACCAGGTTTCACAGGTTGTACTTCTGGGGTAGCAGAAGATGGTTTCGGTTTAGAAGGAATAAGTGGTATTTCTTTTGGAGCTGAAAGAAAGAGCTCAGTTTGCAGTGAAAAATTGTTTAACAAGCATTTCCCGCAACAAACAGCACATGTCACAAGTTTAGATTGAAGACAACTTAGTATGGAATGTCAAAGCCAGCTGATGAGATCAGATTTTGAAGTGTGGAATGGAGATGACACTGAAATGCTGTATGTTGATCAGAAATAAGATTCTGTGAGTCCAAAACAATTAAAATTTCCATTTTGAAAGCTTTACATACCAGAGACAATCAGCACATGCGTGTGTACTGAGAGTAAAAGAGATAGAATGCTGATAAAAGGATGATGGTGTTTATCATGCAAGAGACAAGTTTTGTTTCTCTGAGACAGTAAATCCACCCAGAACCTTGTTTTCATACACAGGTATGTCAAGAACAAACATATAATGATGATGGAAGAACAAGACTCTCTAACCAGGAAAAAGAATGATTATGGATGTGAAATGATATGTGGAAGGAATGCATTCATATGGGATGGAGTACTCAAAACAAACACGGAGTTTTTCACTGGGTGAAAACAACATTACCTAATGTTACCCTTGGCCATTGAAAAGGACGGGAAGTTTTAGGTGTGAAAGATTCCAGAATGGATTCACTTCTTGCTGCTGGAAGAAATGATGACAGTCATAAGAGAGTGAAGAGCTAATGGAAGAAACTCTTCCTTCATGAGCAAAAATAAATTTATTTTACCAAGAACAACAAATATTTCACTAATGCTTGGACATTCATCAGTTTAGTATACATCAGGGAGAAATCCAGAACTGCCCAGAACTTCAATGACTATAAATCAGTGCATCTGTGACACACAAAATTCTGAGTATTTATTTCCTCCTGCCTTCATTGCAACTGGTCTGGATCTCAACCACTGCCAAGTAAGATTTTAAGTAAAGCTTTTGAATGTTTTGAGTACTGGTCCAATACTTAAGGGAGATGGTACTGCGTACAATGTAGATATTTAATAAAAAGGACATGTTGAACAATCAATTAGTCACACATTAAAACATAAAAAATTTGGAATAGAAACCTGACAACAGATCCAGCTGTGGTTTCAGTCCAAAACCGCTGTCTGTAACAGTTAACCAATTTCATGTTGTTAAGGATACACTCATGTTATCATTTTTAGTGATGCTACAACAATAAAATGCAACCTACAGTTCACATCACAGTGTTTTCATCAGAACTCCTCTACAAATACCGTTTTTTCAATTAATTTGAGAAAATAATTTCTATTTTTCATATTTTTCAGCATACTGAATCATGTGACTGTGAGTTACCATATGCATTATAACTGTGAGAAAACACCAAGTTTAACCATTAGCAGCAACATAAATTTGAAATCAGCTGTTAGAGGCTAATCCAAATGTGCACTGAAAATAAAAGCAGTGTATTAATTTCAGTTAAGTTCTAGAGCATGGCTTGAGCTGTTGAATTAAGAACTAGGTAGAGATTATTGTACCTGGTCCAGCTTCTGCTATTTCAGGCTTACTAGGTGCCACAGGAGTTGAAAGAACAGGTTGAATACCACCGAAAACTATAAAAAAACCACGTCACATTACCTATATTATTAATTCTACACACAGCTTTTCTTTGTTATAGAAAAACAACCAAAAAAATTGGTATGTTATAGCACACCTCATTTGCACCTCACCATAAGCACACCTTACCTCAGGAATGGAGCAGTATTGGTTTAGAGTGTGAGCTGAAGGTAGTGCTTAAAGTGAGAACTAAAAAGAAATTGTCATCTAGATAAAGCTAATATTGCTTTGAATCACATAGTCCACATAGCTTAAAGTGACACAGAAAATACAAAGATAAAAACTTCTAATATCATAACTATAAAGATAAAGCACTCAGTACCCCCTGCCTCCCCCCAAACTATAAAAACTAAAAAGCACAGCAAATTTATTTCCATGAAAAAAGCACCTGTCTTAGTTCTCTTAGGTGCTTTGGTTTGTGTCAATATTTTTTAGTGAATTTTAATGTCATATAATCTCTCATACACACATTAAAAGCAAGGATACAGTTAAAAAAGAAATCACTAAACAGCAAAAAAATAGTAAGAAAGGAGCTTCCTATGCTGGCAAGACAATACTTAGGATAAAAACATGTGTTCTAACTGAGCTTGTAGGAAAACAAGTAATTTTGGAATTCTTATCTAGTCAGTAGTAGTATTAAACCTAGTTTAGTAGTATTAAAACAAGTTTACCTCATTTAAGTATATCTCAAAATAGCCCTAGAAGGTTTTTGAGAAATGAATGTGAGATCAGAAACACTCCAGGTGAGTTTCTCAGCAGAAAGAAAAGTTGTCATGTAAAAAAAAAGGATGCTTTCAATGATCATGACTCACACACAAGACAACATGGGAGATGATCAAAATATCTGGGATTAATAAAATTTAAAAAATGGCTATCCAAACACCAAAAGGGGTTTAACTGAAAAACTAAAGCATTACTATTACCCGCAGTTGTTGTTAGCACATGAGGTGTTCTGGAAAGTGGAGGCAGAGATTTTTCCAGGTCAGCTGAACTTGTAACTGTGGAAAAATGTAAACATCCCTGAGACAGAGTCACACTGATGCACACATAGCAAGGGGGGCAAAAATCAGAAAAAGAAAGACTGATTTACATTGCTTTGCAAGATGCCAACACCGCTACAACAGTTTCATAAATTTCCAACTTTAAAAGAAAGTAACAAAATTTCAAAATTTTGAAGATGTCACATGCACCTAATAGACACACAGTGACAGGAACCCTGGCTGTCCTCCTAAAAGCAGATTTATCAACAAGAGTCAATTGTTCTGTGCCCATGTAACATGAAAAAACCCTGTGCTTTTGACTTCACCTGCACCACAGAGAGAGACCTATTCACTTTAAACGCACGCAAATATGAATTTGTACAACCAGGTATTTCCATTTCTAAAGCTTTGCATGTTTCCATATAGCAAAAGCCATTATTTTGACTTACAAGTTTTAACATGCTATACATCAAGCAATTTGTCATTTGCAGTATTTATCTAATTGATATAATATACATTAACACAGCTTCTGAGATATATTGAAGAGACAGACTAGGACAGAAAATCTAACACAAAACTGTTGAAATATTGGCTGCCAGGTTTAGGATAATTTTCTTTCTTACCTCTTGCACATTTGCAATGCCTTCAAATACATTCTTGAATACCTGTGACCCCAGCAATAAAAGTTCCAAAGTGCAATAGCAACATAACTTGAAAAAAAGTCTCATGAATAGAGAAAACTGAAAAATAATGTGTACGATACGGCTAATAGAAAACCCTCTACAGTGAAATATCAAGAATGTATCTTTATAACTGGTAATGAACCCATCTAGCTATTGGTCCTATTGCTCCTAATCTATCCAACAGCTTAAAACTACACAAAAAACATTAATTCCTGTGGTTTCATTTGTATTTGATCCTATACCACAAGATATCACCATGTAATTATAGAGCCTATCAGACACTGCAAACAAAATTCTGCTTCAGACATCAAGCAATCAAAGCAAACAGCCCGTAACATCATTGATGCAAAACCAAATACTAAGCAATGGAAGTATCATAAATACAATTTACCAGTCTCTGGTTTTGATATTTCTGCAGATGCAGAAGTTTGGGACAGGAAACTAATATGATTAGAGTCCAGTGGAGCTGGAAAAACAAAACCAAAACATTTTTTGGCATCATCTGAACATATAGATTGAACAGGTTTCAAGACATTACTAAGAAACTAGATCTTGGGGAAAGGAAAATATCTCAAATGAACATGCCATGGATTTCCTTATGTAAAGGTGTGAAAATGCACTGATGATGAAAATGATGAAGAAGCTGCTAGAAGAAATATGAAGAGATCACATTATGAGAGAAGTGGAATTGCCACAGCCAACGGAGTAATTAAATATGGTTTTGCACATATGGCCCCTTTCATGTCTACACTTATGCTTTACTGAAATCTAGGCCCAAGAGAAGTGGCAGGTTGGCTAAAAGCACAACAATATCCCTTGGGATAATTCCCATCTCACATTGCTACCAGAACTGAAAAAATATCATTACTGCCAGAGGAAGCCGGTGTCTCAAACGGTGAAGAAAATTCCTGTGATTCACTAAGGCTGAAATGAGGACTTGATCTTAAAACCCTAACATGGCCTCAAAAGCAGCAGCAGAGCAGAGCATTCCCAGCCCAGCTGGGTTTGCCTCTTAAGAACACTGCTGTGTTTGAATGCATCAGAGAAAGCAAGACCCAGCACCCAAACACAAAGAAGCAGGGGAATGGAGCTGAGGGCCAGGTGCAACAACGTGGTCTCTCTGCAGAGTGTCACATGCTTCCTGCAGAAAATGCTCATCAGCCATGGGAAAAGCGTGGGATCAAACAACAGAATTGCAGAACCAGCGTGGCCAGTGCTCCGGCAAGCCAAGCTGCACCAACAAGTCTTCATCCTCTCCATGGAAGGTGACAAGACAAGGATGTGCGGTGGTTTGGGGTGGGAGGTGTGATGGGAAGTGAAAGAGATGGGAGACAATGGGAAAAGGAGGCTGTTGCCAGTTACCCATCACAGTTTGTTGAGTTGCCGGGGAGGAAGGAGTGCTGGACTTCGGCCTTGGTCTTCGAGGAGCTAAGATCAAACACAGAAAGCACCTTCAGGTCCTCACACAGGCTGCTGTCACACAGCTCACATGGAGACAGAGCTAGAAAGAGGGGACATGGCCCTGCTTGGGCCAGGCTACCCTGTCACGGCTTCACTGCCCATGGTGGCACCACGCTGCCTTTCAGCTGGCACTGGCAGCCAAGGCACGCGAGGAAACCCCGAAATGGTTCCTCAGGAAATTTACAGGGAGAAGAGTTTTTAGTAAGGAGCCAGAAGGGTCCAGCCACATCACTGACCCACTCTTTGGGACACCAGCACATCTGAACAGGCTCATCACTGCACAGCGGAGCATTGCCAAAGGAAGCAGTGAAGGAGGGGATCTCTGGCTATTTACCCTTCCTTGTGGTTTCCCGTGAAGCAGGCGAGGTCGATCCCAGGTCTGGTCTCTTGGTCGCTACAGACACAGAAATGATCTTCAGATACCCACTCAGCCTGGCCACAGCAGTGCAAGCAGCAGCAGCTCACAGCCCCATAAATGTCCGTATTTAGGGCCACACGTGCCCTTTCCTGGCAGTACCTTGAGACTCAAAGCCACAGCCAAGTGTTGTGTTGTGGTTGCAACCAACACAACACTCCCTGAGCCTCAGTAGCTCAATGGCTCTAGAGCAGTAGAAAAATGCCAAAATATCCAATTCACCAAACTACTCCTCCTTACATTTCCTTGGAAGTTGCAAAACCAGCAGGAAATGCAGGCAGAGCATAAGCCAAGACTCATCTTAGAATTTAAAATTCAGGATGACAAGTCCTGGATATGTCTTCAATGCAAGCAGCTACTAAGACTAATTACTAATTTTTCTAGTATGAAGGAATAAACTGCACACTGTGCTATCAATATTCAGTCATAACTCCAAGCTTTCCTAAAATTTCAGTAATTTTTGCAAATAAGAATTTTCTTACTGCTTTCACTGTTAATGTTTTTTATGTAGAACAGAATATATAAGCTCTCATCATTCACATGACAGGCCTTTCAATTCCCTGTGAAATATAATTCTCATTCTTACTTACAGTTAGTCTCTAAGCCAATGATTAACATGCTTGCTCATCAAGCTTGAACTTTAGTTCTCATACAAAAAGATAAAGAAGTTCTGTATGCTAACAAATCTGCATCAGTAAGAAGACACAAAATTATGTTTCTGCCATATAGGAATATTTCAAAAGGAATAGGAAGAATTTTCAAAATAAAAAATACACATAGAGTCAAACAGGAACTCTGTGACAAATTCTCTTTTTCACTCATCCCTTCAAAACTGACTTTTCAAGTGATGGAAAAGAGCATATGTTCAAACATCATAATCATGTCATTAGTATGGCAAATGTTTTAAAGTGCATTAACAAACCACAGATATTTCTCATAGTAGGTTAAAATTATATTAAATGATGGCAAGGAAAAGAAAAAAATCAAAATATCTTTTTACCCTCTAATGTTCCTTGGCTTGTAAGGTCAGGAGAAGTAGATTTCAGCTTGGGTCTCTGAGTAACTGAGATTAAACCAGAAAACTGCCTTCAGAAATAGAGGTGAACTTTTTTTTTTTAAAGCTTTGTCAGTACAGAACTGTGTGAATAAAGTCCATATTACACACAGCTTTTTGACATAACTATTTGCATTCATTACAAGGTTATTCCACTTCAAAATCAGAGGGGCTTAGCTGATTTAGTGTAGTATACAGACAGTTAAGCTTTTAGTGAACTAAGCCTATAGAGTAGAAAATTAGGAAAAGCAATTGAGAAGCTTAAGAATTAAGTATCTCATCATTTATATAAATGACTGACCATCTTGCTGAAATGCTAGGCATTGTCTCTATCAGTAAAATAACTGAAATGTTTGGACTAAATTTTAAAATACAGCTTTTCTTTTTAAAGTATTGTGAAATGATAGAAATTAGGATAGAATCACTGTTTACCCATCATAGGCCTCGTGGTTTTCAGGAAAGGGAAAGGTGTGGGCTCCAGAACTGGCCTCGGGAGAGCTAAGATTAGAGATGGAAACTATCTTGAGAAGTTATGGCAGTCTCTCCATGCATATGAAAGTATTATTCATCACACCAAAATAAGTCAATATTTAAATTGTGGCTTCTCATGGATACTCCTTCTACCAAATAAATCCTACATCAATTTATAGTCATTTGATACTGCCACAAACCCCACAGTCACCAGCCGAACACTGCTCCAACTGCACAATAGTGATGCTCCAGAGCTGCTTTTTAACTGCAGTAAGTGATACATTCCAAAATCCTTTTTCTGGTGTGAAATATTTTTCAACTATAAATTTCAAACTAGACAATTAATAAATATTCAGAACTTTTGTTTGCATCAAAGATACTGCCCACCTTATATTTAATCTGAAAAACTACTAACTAGCTCTGATTATTATATACTTCATCACACTTAAAAATATGAACTTTGGGTCAAAACTAATATATGTTTGGAAAAAAAAAAGAGGAACAATAGGTTCTCCACTGAAAAATGCATAAAGGTGAATTTAAAAAAATGCATGAAGGCGAACTTAATAAGGATTTCCATCAAGAGTTGGGCACACTGGTAGAAGGAAACCTACTTGTGCTTTCTTAACCAAAATCAGTAAGAATCTCTAATAGAATAGTTGATTAATATACAAGTTTCCATTCTGAACAGGTATGAAGTACTTTGAACAGACAGAATCTCGTACTGACACTGGAAGACAAAGATGAGCAACAAGAAGAGTCACATTTACTGCACTTTACTGCAATTAGCAAACAGATATGCAAAGACAACTGTGAATGCAAAGATTGGAATAAAAACCCCTTCTCTTGTCTAAGAATATATTATTGAAAAAGAAAAACGTTTCTCATAAAAGCATAGAGCAAATTCCTAATGCAAACAGATGATAGTCAAACAGTTTATCTAAGAAAAGGGAATCAAAGTTTGGAAACTGTCACCACACTTGTAAGAAAATAGTGCAGAAAAAGTAGAAGAGCACAAATCTGATGGACCAACAAAGACAACATTTCAAACACGGAGTTCTTCTGGAAGAACTGTGTTAGACTCCTCCAGTTTTAGCAAATAAAATCTTTCAAAAATACATCAAAAGTTTGTAGAGTAGACTGATGGGGGGGTGGATGCAAAGAGTGTCAGAAATTTACCCCTTTACATCTGACTACACACTTCTCTGTGGCACAGGGCTACTTACTGTCCTCTGAATCTTTATTTTGTTTGCTGAAAAATGGGAAAAATAAAGAGTTTCACTAATACATTTTCTGAATGTCTTCTCCTTGCCTACCACTGCTTTAAAGAAGTGCTCAACACAGCTGTTAAGATGGAAAATATAAAAGGAAGTACCTACTTGTTAGTGTACAGGGGGATACTATAGAACAATTACAAATATCTATAGAGGTCTGCAATAGAAGACAAGGTTCAGAGTGTACCAAGAGAAAAAAATGAAAGTTCCTGTGTTCAGCATTAGATTTCTCCTATAGAGGAAGAAAATATGAAAGAAAGTGGCTTGATCATTTAGGAAACATGCAGAAAGTTGACAAACCTTTATCTACCTAAATAATTTTCCCCCTAAATATATCTAGACTATCAAGTCTCAAGCTGTTTTTTTTTAAAAAGACTCCTAACCCAGACTTGTGTTTGCAATGTTCACTGTGCTACCTTGAATCTCCATCAAAGGATTTTTGTCAGTTTAAGAATCCTCTTTAATGAGAAATATGGTTGAATATTCTATGCAACCTCTGGATTTACAACTTGAGCACATATTAAGCTGCTTTCAACCCACAGCTGAACATGAACAACATTTATAGAAAATAAATCCTTGAAGAGAATTTCCTGCACACCTCACTCTCTGTCCCCAACATTGGAACTGACCAGGATGATGCCTTAAACACCAATAACCACAGAAATACACTTTAGTAACAACAAAGTAAACAGAAAATAAAAAAGGCTATGACTTGAAGTAATACAACAGCTATCTGTATCATGATACAGTGCGTATAGTAGAGAAATTAAAGTTTGGTTATAAGCCCCACAGTTACTCATGGTAAAATTATATTCTGTTAAGTAATACATAATTGGTCAATGGCAATCATGGGTAATACTACCAAATAGTACTGTAAAAGTGAACTCAGAATTTGGAAAGAAGACAATAAACCAGTATTTTAAACAACATAGATACTGCCATAAAAATAGTACCTGATGCAGAATTTTTATCTTGCAGCTACTCTTATCCCTAAAGTAAGGAACATCAATATCTCCCCAAAAGCATCCTGGGGACCCTTCTGATAGTTCAAGAACACTCAGTTTGCAAGAAATTTCAATACCAGACTGAGCTGATGGTATTTCCATGACTCCAGATGCTTTAGAGGGGAATTGTGAAACTGTCTGTGATTCATTAAGAGCTGCACAGAAAATCTGGATTTAAAGTGCCAAGGAATCTGACTGTTGCTGGGATAGCAAACACACAAGCTGTGCTGCTCAAGATGATGTCACTGCAAACACAAACAAGGCACTGGACACTTCAAAGTCCTTTCTGTATTATGTGAATAAGAAGACATGCAGCCCTACATGGTGACAGGAAGATCCAGTATCTGATGCTAGACAGAGCTCCTGTGAGTCGTCTTCTATACTTTCTGGAGTTTAAAGGTTTCTGATTACACCAACAGAAGGAAGAAATTCATACAAGTTGGTGCAAAAGATCAGTCTTTCAGTACCAAAAATGCTTTCTAGCTGCTGATCAAGAAGTGACAGACACAAAACTGTCCTTTAACAGGCTGGCCATTTAGACTTAGAAGAAAATTTGTTCACGGCAGAAAAAAGGCAGCAAGTGGAAATGTGATGAAAGTTGAACCTAAACTACTTTTTGCTGCAAGGGAGTTTTGGCAACAACTTGAAATAGACTTTGGAGGAAATTGTTATTATTGAATGGACATTAAATATTTCTTCTTGCAGGGACACTGAACGAAACAGAACCTTGAGCACTGATAATATTGCATTTGTTCAGTGTCCCATTTTGTAAGGTATTGGTAAGTTAGCTTATTTTATGAATTGAGGAAGTAGAAGAAGCCTAAAGGATAAATGTTGACAAGGAAGAACAGGAAAACTATATAGATTATTACACATTATTAAGTGCAATTAATTTAAATGTCAATAAAATACCATCAATCCACCACTTCCAGTTATACCAGTTCCATGGGGGTCTGGTATAACAAGTTTCAAGGGGTGTTTGGAAGCATCAGATCTACCATGGAAGTGTCTGGTCAAGAGCAATTTGTTGCAAATATTTTCCTTAATTACAATGTTGTGCCTTTTATTTACAAAGTTCTACTCAAACAATACAGCAATACAGGTGGCATTGCACATTTTTGTTTCTGTTAGTCTTGTGCCACTGCAGTCTCTCTTTCTCACAGCAAAATGTCTAATTTAATCACTGCTTTAAATATATTTTAATTAAAGTATTTAAGGGTCTATTCTCCACCATTTTGTACCCTATATGTTCATTGCAATTGTTACTGCTGTTTCTATGCAACTTACTTAACAGTTTCAACTTAGAATGGTTTCATTCAGGGATTTAAACAAAACTTAAATTACCTTTCACTCTACCCCCTCTGCAGCATTGCAACTTAAAAAGAGAACTCAGCTTTATGGAATAAGATGTGCTTATTAACACTAAACTCAGTAATACAGACTTGTATATATACCAGGAATATAGGCCAAAATTAGAAGAGAATATTTGCTATTTCATGCAAAATTTCCTAAATTAACCTGGTATTTGAGAGAGCAACTTAATTATGACAGTTCTGAAGTTATTTTGAGTCAAACTTAACTAACAATATACCAATTTTTTGATTAAATTCTGGGGCAATTTCTATCTGAAGGTACATTTTTCAAGTATTACCAGGTGCAGCTGATGGCATTTCTTGGATGCCAGATGTTTCAGATCTTGAAGAAATGTGCTGACTTTCATCAAAAGCTGAAAGAAAATCTGGAGTTAAAATTAGAACTGGCTTCAGATCCCACAGTATTTGGCCAGTAGTTAGCCATTGGGCAGTTCAAGACAACATTGATGTGAGATCAAGCAAGGTGGCAGCAGCTGTAAAGATCAACTGAGAAATGAGGTGTTAGATGAACACTGAAGCTGGTGAGAAATGAAGGAGGGCCAATTCCAGTAGCTCATGTGAGGCACTCTTCTTCCCAGTGGCCTCTTTTAAAAAGCACTTACTCTTTGAAAGAAAACTGCAGCGACCAGAAGAAACCTAGAGGCAACAAAAGCTAGCAGAGGTCTATTTGTGGATTGTTATTCAGACACCCTGGGGAATTATTTTCCAGCTTAGATCGCACAGAAATGGCTGAGTTGAGCAGGGGTGGGGGTGGAGTGTGGGGAGAAAGCCCAGCATCAAGCAGTCTTCGAAGCAACGTGTCTGAATGAACCTTGGCACTCTCCAGAGCTGCTGGAAGGGATGGCAAGCAGTGGAAAAGCTAATGGAATTATAAGCTATTTACCCATCACGCTCCCTCTGGTTTCCATGGAGGGATGAGAAGTGCTTTTCAGGCCTGATCCCTGGGTAGCTAAGATCAAATATGAAAATATTCTTGAAGCAGTAAGTTAAATCAGCCTTTAGAAACGGTGATCTTCAGCCCTTAGCAGGTCCAAGGGACAAAAACTTATTTTAGATTTATTGTATACGCACTTCTAATTGATATTTGTGGTAGCTTACTCCATTTTTGTCTCATGGGGTAATTTTTTTTTCTGGATATGTAATATTTAAACTTAGGCATTAGCTATTAGGCCAGCTGTCTGCATCTGATTTTAAAATTCTATCCAATAGCAACAGCTGACAGCAAACTTCTTCTCCCTACACTTTAGTTTGGATATCCCAGACCAGTCTTTTAAATAAGGAGCTGCAAATGCCCAACATTACTTTGATACAGCATGCACACAATTTTCACACAGGTGGTATCAAAACATTTTCCTACAAATTCATATTTTGGCCAAGAATCAGATTTTCCCTGCAACTGCACAAAGCTACTTTGATAGAAGCCGGACTGTTGAGACAGACCATCCTTTGCCAGAAAATGGCTTAAAAATACTTTTATGTTTTTCTGACAATACATTAATACAAAAACAAATGCACAAACAAAATAAAAATCAGATTCTATCAGCCCTAACCATTTCCATTAGAGAAACTGTGCAGCCTAGAGCATGAAAGAAACATTTCTATGAGTAGCATTATATGAAAAAATGAAGAGTGGGTACTCTTAATGTTAAGAACACTCATGATTTATTGAAGTGTAAGGCCAAGTAATAAGTAATCTAAGCAGCCCAGTTCTTTAAATCAAGCGAGAAGGCTGTGGTAACTTGGTGAGAACAATCCTGCAGACAGCAGCAAAATCATGCCTGATAAACTGCTAAAAGTTTTCTGTCTAGCGAAGATAGAAATGACCTTGGATAGATAGAGTTCTCAACTTCAAAAGAAAACAAAAATCTTGCTTTCATGCAGAGGCAAGATAACTGTCAGCACCACCCACCAAGTATTAGTACAGCTGTGTCGTGTTTGTGTTCAGTGTGAATTCTGCAATAGATAAAAGCTTTTCTAAATTTATCTGTAAAGAGAAGCTAAAAGAACACTGACCAAACTGTAACCAAATAAGACTAGAGAAAACACAAATAGTGTATAGATGCTGCAACTAGCTGATCTTCAGATGACAAACCATGTCAATGCTCATTTTCCCAATTGCATTTGATTGGCCCCCAGAAAGAGAGTGATGTTTGATGCATTGATGTAATAAAATGTCACTTGTTAAATCATGCTAGCATGAACAGAACCAAGGATGAGAACCTCACAGCAACCTTCTACTATTTTTTATGACTATACTTTGGGAAAATCTCACACTTAAATACAAATGCAAAAATGGTGCCTAAAACCATATTCTTCATGAATACATGGAGGGAAATAATAAATTATTAGCAGAAGTAACAGTAAAAATAGCTCTTAGGACCAAAATTCTGTACTGCAGCAGCCTTTTAAATATTAGAGACTACCTAAAAAAGTTATAACAGGAAACCAAATTCCAACCAATGAATCTCTTTAAAAGGTGTCTACTAGATAAAGAAAAATATTTCCCCTGCAAAAGTTACCTGTTATGCTGATAACACAAAATTCATCAAAGGCTGTGAGTTTCCACTTAAGTGCTAAATTCTGCCCCACTGACCACATCAGAAGCCTTCACTAATACAATACTAGCCTGAAGGAGCTAGGTGGTATCAAGATCACCTACTTGAGGTTAAAACTGCCAATTATACACTGGTAATTATTACAAATAACGTGAAGCCATAGTGGACAAATGAAAGAGCACTGGAGGCAACATTAAAAATACAGGATGTATAAAGACATCGGAATCCTACCATTTAAATATCAAGAAAAATCGTACCACTTCAATATCAAGAAAAATAAAATAAATGCCATTTACCAGTCTCTTGCTCTGACATTTTTGCAGATGTAGTAGTTTGGGGAGCCGAGGTAACATGAAGAAAGACATGTGAGGCTGGAAAAAATAGTGGCTTATTATTTAAAAAATACATGAACCATCACACCATGTCATCACCTGCAACCATGGACTCAATGGTTTAGACTAAAAACAATAAAAAATGGAAAACTATATTGTGCAAAATTAGAAGAATTTTAAAAAGAAAGAGGTTAATAGGCAGAGATGTGTAAAACCACACAAATAGAATGCAAAAAATTTAACAGAATGACACAAGGAATATAGGAATATGTAAAGAAATTCCCATGTGCTTAGAAGGAATGCAAGATTGAAAAAGTACAAGAACACTGGCCAAGAGGAGTCAAGGAGAAAGCAAATTTATGAGATGAAGATACTGGAAAAAGCCCAATTTAAAAATTTGGCAAAAATAAAAGAACATAAAAAGTGATTCAGACAACATCACCAGGCAGGGAAATAGAAATGAATATCCTTAGCCCAGCCAAATTTATATGCTTTGTTATAAGTATCTGATTTCTCCAGTGTAAAAAAACAAGAAAGCTCAGAAATTTACTTCAAGTAATGCAAAGTAGGGAATGTAAATTCCCTGGAAAAGATCCTGAAGTGTGTGAAATATCTCAGTTGATATGAAAACAAGACTGCTCCAGAAAAAAGTGCCAAGGCACTTGATATTGGTCATTTCATTTTTAACTTGCACTCTGCTTCAGAATTTAGGCACACCAGCCTGCTTACATTTATTACTCCATGGGCCACAAAATACTGCAAGGACACAGGACTGGTCTTGCACACCTGCCAGTGTGAAAGAAGCTGTTGCTACAAACACCTTCACCACTTTTGCCAAGTTCCATAGCCAATGCCTGAACTAAATGTGGTTTGCACATATGGCCCCATTTATATCTACATTGAAGGTTTAGCCCAATACAGGCCCAAGAGAAGTAACAGGTTGGCTAAAAGCACAATATCTCTTGAGACACTGCTGCCTTGCATAGTTGTCAGATCTGCAAGAAATATTGTTAGTACCAGAGGCTGCCAGTGTCTTAAACCATGAAGAAACATCCCCATATTCACCAAAAGCAGAAATGAGGTATCGATTTAAAAAAACATAACAGAGCCTCAAAAGCAGCAGCAGGGCAGAGCATTCTCACTTCCAGGTGAGGGCAGTGTAAAGACATGGGCAGAAGAAAACCAGCTGCCTTGAAAGTCAGTGGTGAGGCCACCAAGAGATGCAGCCTTGTCCAAAGAATGCCTAGAGAGGGGCTGAACTACTGTGGTGTGTTCTTGTGCCAGCCCAGCCAAGTTTGACTCTTAGGAACACTGTTTGAATGCATCAGAAAAAGCACAAAGAAGCAGGGGAATGGAGCTGAGGGCCAGGTGCAACAACGTGGTCTCTCTGCAGAGTGTCACATGCTTCCTGCAGAAAATGCTCATCAGCTGTGGGAAAAGCGTGGGATCAAACAACAGAATTGCAGAACCAGCGTGGCCAGTGCTCCGGCAAGCCAAGCTGCACCAACAAGTCTTCATCCTCTCCATGGAAGGTGACAAGACAAGGATGTGCGGTGGTTTGGGGTGGGAGATGTGATGGGAAGTGAAAGAGATGGGAGACAATGGGAAAAGGAGGCTGTTGCTAGTTACCCATCACAGTTTGTTGAGTTGCCGGGGAGGAAGGAGTGCTGGACTTCGGCCTTGGTCTTCGAGGAGCTAAGATCAAACACAGAAAGCACCTTCAGGTCCTCACACAGGCTGCTGTCACACAGCTCACATGGAGACAGAGCTAGAAAGAGGGGACATGGCCCTGCTTGGGCCAGGCTACCCTGTCACGGCTTCACTGCCCATGGTGGCACCACGCTGCCTTTCAGCTGGCACTGGCAGCCAAGGCACGCGAGGAAACCCCGAAATGGTTCCTCAGGAAATTTACAGGGAGAAGAGTTTTTAGTAAGGAGCCAGAAGGGTCCAGCCACATCACTGACCCACTCTTTGGGACACCAGCACATCTGAACAGGCTCATCACTGCAGAGCAGAGCATTGCCAAAGGAAGCAGTGAAGGAGGGGATCTCTGGCTATTTACCCTTCCTTGTGGTTTCCCGTGAAGCAGGCGAGGTCGATCCCAGGTCTGGTCTCTTGGTCGCTACGGACACAGAAATGATCTTCAGATACCCACTCAGCCTGGCCACAGCAGTGCAAGCAGCAGCAGCTCACAGCCCCATAAATGTCCGTATTTAGGGCCACACGTGCCCTTTCCTGGCAGTACCTTGTGACTCAAAGCCACAGCCAAGTGTTGTGTTGTGGTTGCAACCAACACAACACTCCCTGAGCCTCAGTAGCTCAATGGCTCTAGAGCAGTAGAAAAATGCCAAAATATCCAATTCACCAAACTACTCCTTACATTTCTTTGACAGATTCTAACACTTCTTGCAGATACAACATGGCAACTAAGAATCACACCTATGTATTTAGAATTCAAGATCTGATCTCACTTTTCCCTCTAATCAATAAAACCCTTCATTCTATGGGCCAGAAATTACTGTCCTTGGCACTAATAAAACACAGTGCAGAGAATTTATCCCTCTGTAGAAACATGCTTGCAAGCATATGAAAAAAGTAAAATTTTCCACAGAATTCTGGCATACCTTCCAACTTACACTTGTACAAATCAACATCTCTTTGTACACTGAAGAACAAGTCCCTTTACCGATCTCCTCATACTCTGCTATCCTAATTTTGCACAGGGAGAATGAACAACCTAATATAAAAACCAGTGTCAAATCTGGACTATGTGCACTCACTACCACTGTGCATATTTGCCCATTGTCTTGGGCTTGGTTTCAGGTTTAAGGGAGACAAGACTTGTTACAGTTAACAAACATGCCCTTGGATGAGGCTGGTGGCAATAAGGAAAGAGTGCTGAGGGATTCCTTTGGGATATTTTGATATTCCCAGTCTTTGGAAATGAAAATCCACCTGTTCATGTAGGTCTCTTTGACTTACCCTTTTCTAGCAACATTCAATGACTCAACCAAAGTGTTTTCACCTGCTTAAGAACAGTAGATAAATCTTTTTTCTGCCTGTGGAGGAGCTTTTCCAATGTGTAAAAGGAGTTTAAGACATTAACACATTTAACCATTTGTAACAATGGGCCTCTACACACACACACACATATATGTATGTATATAGACACCCATATATACAAACAATCCTTCACAAGAAAACCCAGACAAGCTAATTCTACCAACACAAAAAAAAGTAATGTTATCGTTGTAATATTTTATTTCCAATGTCTCAAACGTTGCAGCAGATGCAACTAATTTCTCTCTCTCCAGCTTTATACAGAGAAAGTCAGATTAAACCCTCCATTTAGCAAAGCATTGCAGTGTCTTTTGAGAGACTGCCTGGATGTGAGGAGAACTAGAGAGAAGACAGAGAAGATATTACCAGCTGAGATTGGTGGCACTTCTGGCATGCCAGATGTTGTGAATCTTGAAGAAAGAGGCTTCCTTTCACCTAAATCTGGAAAGACAATCTTGTGTTAAAAGGCTTAATTGCCTCAGAGCTACCTGAATAACTAAGGACTTGGGGAACAGATGTTGCATTGTTAAAATGGAAGCAAAGGGAAAATTGCTTGCAAGTCAGCTGGGCATTACTCTGTCTCATGGACTGTTAGGCTGTTGTGAAAGTCAATGTGGAAACCAGGCAACCTAATTATTCATAGCAATGAGAATTCATATTTTTACCTAACAATCTTAGCACATAATGCATGGCAGAAAGTAAGAAAACACCTCTGGATCCAGAAAGTGGTCAGGGGGCCAGCCTTTTTATGGAAACATTACAAAGAAATATGACTAAGTTTTTTATTCCCTCTCACAATTAAGTTTGCTCAGAACAGGAAAAAAGCCCCCAAAACTAAGAAAGGCAGGTCCAGAGCTGGGTATAATGAGAAAACCAAACACAACCAGCTAAAGAGAACTCTCCTCTTTGCCTCTGATCCTCCATCTACAAAGATGAATAATGAGTGCAGATGAGAATCTAGTTCAGTAATCACACAATAAGCTCTGTAGTATTATAGGCATGGATATTTCCAAATCATTACTATCTCTAGCTGAGTAACTAAACCTGAGAAAAAATTTAATGTAAGTAAATTAAGAAAGAACATCTGGTGGAGAGAAGTTTTACTTTCTGCTACTCTGCAAAACATTTATTATTTTTTACTTTTTTATTTAAAAAATAACCTCCTTTGTCTATTTCAAATACTATCAGTAATTACTTAGCTGAAAATATTGACTTGGGCATCTTCACCTACCTAAGGCTACACAAAAAACAATCTATTCCTAAAGCTATAACTCAAAGCATGGCTTGGTTGGTAAGGTCTGGCCTTAGCTATGTTGACTTATTTTAAGACAATATGTAGGAAAAAATCACAGCCAACTGTATGTGAAAAATTGACAAAAAATCAAATCACTGAAAAGCATGGTCTTGACTGGAACAGCCTTCAGCCCTGGAAAATTTGAATCTTTTCCTGACACACATCTTTGATCAATACTGCATTATTCTGCAAGCCAGTTGCAGACTTGCTTTAAACTTGTGCTCTGCCTGATCATGGCAATGAGGATGCTGATACAGGAGTTGAAAAAATAAAATGTAGGGCAACACCCAAGGCAAGCAGTATGCAGTAGCTGTCTGAAACCATCAACATGGAAACAGCAATGAACTTATCATCAACCAATCAAAAGAGTATGCTTCTGAAAGAATATTATTATAATTTACCAGTGCCAGGTATTTCTGAGGATGTAAAAGTTTGGGGAGTAGAAATAACATGAAGATAGTCATGTGAAGCTGGAAAATAAAAGCAAAAATAGTGTTGTATTGTTTTGAAGTGACAAGAAACCTTCTGCAACAACATCATATTCCTTCATAAGCTGACAGAACTTCTGTGTAATATTTAACACATTATATTCCACAGACAGATAGAGTCTGTAATGTACAATAACTGATTAAGTGTGACTTGAAAATGATTTCCAAAAAAATGCATTAATGCATAATGTATTTTATGACCAAATTGTTACCAGACTCACACAAAAAGTTGAAATACTGAGTTAAAAAGTGGAAATACAAGGCTATTCAAAATAGGAGAACAAATTATGAATAAAAAGTAGCAAACTGTGACTGCATGGAATTTTTTTCCTAGGATCAGGAAGGAGGATATCCTGGTGTTGAAACTAGAGAAGGAAAAAGGGTGACAAAACAGGAACCGGACCAAATGAAACATAGAAGCTGCCTTTTGTCAGACATATAAACAGCTGATTTTTGTAATCTATTTCCCCCTCAGTAATAGATTTCCTTCAATGTTAATTTCTTCCAAAAACATATGTGTCAGGAATTACACTATTGGCATGTTAATGAAATTAAATCCTCCCAACTGGCTCTCATCTTATTATTTCTTTCCTTCTTTTGGAAGACTGTCAGTTGCTCCAGGCAAATAAAATCTCTAAATAAGAGAACACATAATAGAAATTCTGTAAGGACCAACTAGAAAGCATCTGAATCTTCACTGATATGTTTTTATAGTGCCATTTTAGAAATCTGGGCAGAATTATGTCTATGTTTATACAGAAAAGCTAAAAGAAGAGCCATAGTTTCAAGATATGTTGGAATTTCTTCAGTTTCCATTCACGTCTTACAACTCAGAATCCTTCAGCAAATCAGGATATTTATGAAACTCAGCTGTGGACAGTCTTATTTGAATTTGATATTTACAGTAAGTCAAATTTAATTTTAAAACTAAGAATTACATGCTGTTGCCAAACATGGAAAATCCCCCTAACCACTAGTTTAGTATTTCACATGAAATGTCATAAAGAGATCTGACACTTGATGCAGCACTTTCATACCTCCAGTTATTCTTAATTTATGTCAAACTGAACAAACCATTTCATGAGGGGCACTATGTCTCCTCCAAAAATTCCGACTTGTCAGGAGGATTAACCTCATGAGAAACCATTACCGGATGGGGTTGGTTGCACTTCCATGGTACCAGACGGTTTGGATCCTGAAGAAACAGTCTGCTTTTTCTCAAAAGCTGAAAAAAGAATCTAAGCTTAAAATGCTGAGAGAGGTGTGGTTTGATGGATTAGCATCAAACAGCTGAGTGAAGGCTGTGCATTTCCAGACAATGCTAATGCAAAGCTGAACAAGATGACAGATGGCTTCAAATGTGATATGAGACAATGGCCCCAACAAGGGGAGGACATGGCTGGAAAAACAGGTTTCTGGCCTTGAAATGCAAGTGCCACATGCTTGAAAGAACTCTTACCAGCAAGGAATTCTCTCTTACTAAATTTCCTGGGTAAGAGCTGCAGTTGTGCCAAAAGAAATAGGATGACGACAAGATACAGCAACACTGTCTTTAGGCAGTTTTTAAGCTGACAACAAATACATTTTTCAGGCAGTTACACAGACACAAGAATGGTGAATAAGCAGCTCTCTATGAATGCTGGTAGCCAAGATTAACATTTGCAGATCCACATGACTCCAAGATAATAGAAAAAACATCATGGAACTAATCTTCTAATTACCCTTTTCCATCTCTCTCGTTTCTGCAGAAGGTAGAGATATGGGTTTCAAGGCTGGCCTCTGAGTAGCTAAGAGCAAACATGAAACAATTTTATCATTCCAAGACAGAATCTTCTTTCAAGTGATACAAAACTGAATTTCAGCTGTAACTAATGAGTTTTTTTTTGTTTGAAGGTCCCTTTGTTCCATTAATTTCTACCCCATTCGTATTTAATATGAATTTAATACCCTATTTCATCAAGCCAAATCCTTATTACTTAAGAGGATTTTATTCCCAGTAAGGCAGCTATATCTAATATAACCCAATATTAGATACTCACACCACTTGCAGGTCTCTAGTCACTACTGCAATATGTATAACTATTTTTAAAGGAGTTGTAATGGCAAAAGATAAGAGTAGTACAATGAAATCAGAGAAATAATTCCTGAAGTTAGTAAATGACACCTATTATCTGTTATCTGTAATGAGGATTCTTACAAAGACCTTCTGGCTTCTTTACTTTGAAGCATGGATAACCTGAAGTGTGCTTTAATGAAAATGGAGTCAAGACGGAATTGGGCACTCTTACCTAAAAGCCATCATGAACAAGCTTCCACCATGTGCAGGTTTTGCACTACTGTCCTGCCACTGATCCTACTCAGCTGTGTGTACTGGTCAGTAAGTATTTTTCTTTCTGTTAAAACCCCCATTCAAATAATTAGGGTTCATTTCTAGTACAGGAAATATGAATATATGCCAAAAAGTAAACAGACTCTTTTTCAAACATTGGATCTGCCTTCCCATTTACTTTCAATCCACTTTATCACATTAAAAATTTGGATCCCAGGTTACTACCCTGGTATAGTTGGACTCAGCAGCTGGACCAGATGATCATTGTAGGTCCCTTGCAAACGGAACCATTCTATTCTAGATTTATAGAGAAGAAAACACTACTAACAAAACCATATGATTCACAGCTTTTGGCAAAATCTTCCATTGATCCACTTACATCCAGTAAGAACTACAAGAGATCTCCCAAAGGCATCAGAACATTGAAGGCATGTTCACAAAAATATCTTTTCATAAACATTTGGATTCAAAATATACTGACCACACAGGAAGTTTACAAAGCAGAGGAGAGATCTCCCTCCAGCACAATCAAGATAGAAAAATAAAGAAAAAATTCTTCAGGGTGACTAGGGCAGAATACAGGTCAGGTGCAGCTGAAATTCATAAATTAAATTTTGCTTTCTTTGCTGGTTTTATGATAGCAGATGATCAAGGCATGCAGGGGCACAGTGCAGAGAAATCTCCTAGTGAAACTATTCTAAGGGAATGGAGGACGTGAGAACAAAACCATAATAAATACTTGAATGAAACACTTATTTTTTTCCTCAAATGTTGCTGTTATTCCACCTTTACCACTGAAACAAACATAAGATTAGGTTATTATTCTCTTATTTCTACAGAAAGAAAAAATAACACATCCCTAACAATTTTCAGTTTTTCAGTTACATTTATAGCAAATAAGTTCCTAAATCATTATGTGTCTCTCGCTTTCCAATGCTACTTCTAATTGGATTTAACCAAATGTCTTTCACTGCAGTGAAAGCAAATGTCTGTCCCCATCCCCTCAAACATATCTGGAAAAGAGCTGTGAAAAAAAATCTACCAAATGAAGAACAAATTGTGAAGATTATTTTCATGCTCTTGAGAATCTACTTCAAATATGCATTTCAAGAACTATGAGGCATTTCTGGAAATTATTTTAAAATTTGGCAACCTACATTTAGCAAAAGTATGCCATCCTAATAAGCCAGCACTATTCTGAGACTTCCTGACTAATGCTTAATGAAATATAAATGAATCTGATTCAAGGGCCCTCCAGGTAACTAGTGTAATACAGAGAGCAGCAACAAGCAATAGTTTTGGTAGAATGAGCTATTTATGACTAACACAGAGAAAACACAGGCCTGTTATGAAATCAAGGTCATGAGGAAGGGCGACACAGGGTACAACGTAGAGGAGCAGAGGCATGAGATGGTGAGAGATGGGACTAGGGTTGGCACTGGACACCTCCTGCCACAAACACCTCAACAAGGTCTGTTGGAAAAAACTGTGCACTTGAAACTGGACAAAAATTAGTTTAGGGTAACAGCAAGGACACAGAAATGGTATCTACCATTCACAAAAGTTCCCCTATGTGGTGAGCTCACATCTGAGATGTCTCCCAGCAGCAGAAATTAAGAAAGAAGGGAGGAAGAAGAAAACATCCACACAAACATCATGTTCTTCCCAGCACAGGACTCCAGATGCTCACAGCTTGATGAAATATCCCCACTTATCACCAACACAAGCATCAAAGCACCAGGCATAGGGCCCAGTTATGTAGTGAAAGGGTGTACAAAGCACCACAAAAAGGGTACAGTATGAGAAATTTGTGTGTTACTCTTAATTTCATTACTTCTCCTACTGGAGCAGGCTCTGTGAAGATAATTTTTCACTAAAGTTTACTCATCTTTGAAAAGAAAGTAGTTACCAAGTTCTGTCAATGGACTTTTTGGAGCATCAGGGATTCTGGATCCAGAAGGAAGTAGCTGTATTTCGTTAGAAGCTATGATAAAAAAATAACCACAACTTTACTTGATTAAAAATACTACAGAGCACAACATGGATTTATATTTGGCTTATGGACTATTCACTCCTGAAAACAATGATAATTAATAAAAAAGAAAAAGTAGTTCCAACCTAGAGAAAAACCACATAAATTGTCACTTAAAAAGGTATGTGGATTATGAAGGAATTCCTTTTTCTCCTAAATGTTAAACAAAGACCAATCAATCATGTGAATTTGGCAATGAACATCTATCAGTAACTATAAGCACCTAGTTTAAAATTAATGATCCATCTTGATTAGTTTTCATATTTTAATCCTTGAAACATAGGAAAACCAAGGAATGTTGAGTATGGTTAAAAAAAAACTGATTGAAAGTTAAAATGAAATTAGATTGACTGTTGGATTAGCTTCAGTAAATTCTGGAAATCTGCTGTCAAATTTTAATGAAAAAGAAAAAAGTTCAAATAAGACATTAACATGAATCAATAGGATTGTGTAAAATGCATTTATTGAGAAGCATTGGCAGTCCTCTTCATAGGAAGACCTGCATTTCAGTCCTGCAAACATTCCTGGTTCTTCCCTTTATCACACATTCTCCTGAATGCAAAGCTGTGCTTTAGAAAAATCCAAGCAAAGTTTTTTTAAAAAATAGAATTAAGTGCAACTTCAAGTTTAGATTTGTCCTCAAAATTTTGCATGGCTCAGGGAAGAAAGTACAAGCAATAAAATCAACATTTGAGAATTTAGAATTCTGAATACCAGAACTAAATAAGTGCTACTCCAAATCACAAAACTAACCATACAACATTGGGACAAAAAATGAAAAAAATCAGTAGTGCTTCTCTCTCCTTCAAGGCAAATACAATTATATCCCATCACATGCCATATAAAATCGTTCTTATTCATTGCTGCTAGTGTTACCTAAATGAACCTGTAATCAGAAGAAAATAAAGGAGGTAATTATTTAAATTCTATCACTGAGGTAAATTTTACAGATAGAAATTTTAAGTTATGTCAAACATGCAGATCACATAGACAAAAAGCATTAATTTGAAAAATAAAATTGAATCATGCAGTCAAATCTGTGGAAGCCACAGTTTAGCCAGAGCTAAGTGCATCCTGCTTTACAACTCATTCCAGCATTAGTCACTGGAACCACAAAAGAAACCAGAATATTTTAATCAGGACTTCCTTTGGAGCCAAAACATAAAGGATGCAGCAAGTAGTAGAAAAATTCTGCTGGAAATAAAAAAGCATTTAATGCAGAAAGAATGTAAAAAGCAGCAAAATTAGTTACCAGGTATGTTTTGAGTTTGCACCAATTTGGGTTTAGGCGTTGATTTAAAATCTTCAGGTCCGTGTGTTTTCTCAGCCTGAGCTAAAAGAAAGAAGCTTAATGTAATTTAAAATCCCTCTGAACTTTTCTTGATCTACTGCCCAAAACTTGATGCTTTTCTTATCACCACTACATGTCATATGACTAGAATGATTTCTACAGCAGCTCAACTGCATCATGGTTAGTATCTACTTTAGTTTTCAGACGTGAAATCTATATGACATTTTGGATTTATTTTGCTGCAGTTTTATATTAACAAAAGAAAATATAAGTCCTGAACAGCAAGGTTAAAGTCAGAAACTCACCCTGTACTTCTGTTACAGCCTCTTAAATTCATTGTAATTGATTATAAACAAGATCCATTACATCACAGTCTATTTACAAATATTTTCCATGTTATTCTGAATGATTTTTAATCCTTCTAATATAAAACTTTTCAGGAACATAATACTCACCTGTAATATCTCAGCTCTTTCAGTTTTCTAGTAATTATAGAATAGATTTTAATTCCCATTCATTCTTCTAATTCTACATTTTTAGAGTAATACACGGGCAGTTTATTAAACAGCCATTAAATGTACCTAAACTGAATTGCTGGCCATATTTTAATATACTACTGCATAACTATACTCTGCCAGCTGTTTCACATAACAAATGATACCAGGAGTAAGTAAGTCAAGATCACTTCTTTCCTTTGCATCTTGCTGCAGATCCCAGAGATGTTTAATCAGCCATAAAGTACTCAGAATTGGACATCTAAGGTTGTAAAATGACAGAGCTTTTGGATATGGAACACAGAATGGTAAGGTCTCAGCCTTGAATGCACAAGCACATAAATGCCCTCCACAGAGCAAACTGCACTGTATTTAGCACAAGTTGGTATTTGGAAGAGATCTTGGCATCAATATGGCACTGAGTTTTAGTATTAATTTAATAAAAGGTGACTTTCTTTTTGAGCCACATTAAAGGACTCTTTGGCTTTTCCTGCATGCTCTCCAAGCTTTTCTCACAATCTACTTAATGCGGTTCAAGCAAGAGCTGATCATGGAGGTTTATAAGCTTCTTATTTCATTTAGTGAAAAAAAAAAGTGCTGTTTCCCACATTCTAAACAGTGGGATTTGGATGCTATTACGATTACAACAGTTACACCATTTTCTAGTTTGGAGCATGTGCCACACAATCTGGAACCTTTACAGATGCTGCCTTCTTAGGGCTCAGTACAGCTTCTAAGTCAGTTACAGTGCTGTTACTCTCATCAGTGCAAGGATGATAACATCACATGTCCAGAATAAACACTATTTTAATATAATTTGCCTTGAAATATCCTTAATATATGGGAAACCTAGAGTTTTGGAACTGTCTCATAATTTGAAGAGCAGGGAAACTGAATTCTGAATTCTTTGCTAGTTTAAAATCCCGTAAGACTTTTCTTTCCTATAAAATTGGATTTTGTTTTGTGAAGATATGTAGAATCTCTTGGACCTGGTTGTACCTCAGGATCTTGAAAAGCTTTCAAGGAACATAGATATAGTTAATTGTCCAGAGAAGGTAGAGCAATTTCTCTGTTTGAAACTTGTGGGAGAGAATTCACTCATAAGAAACACTGAAGCAATAACTAACTACCTGTACTTCAGGAGCAGTCCAAAATCTAGCATTTCTTATTGAGAGGCAATAATAAAAAAACCCCCAAAAAACAAAAAACGAATACAAACAAATACAGAACTCATGATTTTTAGGATTTAGGGTTTTTTAGAGGTCAGAGGGTTTACACTCATATGAAATGTGTCTTATCTGAGCAAGCTGAACAAGATAAAGCATGCCTAGAATTAGAACAAAACCAAGCTCTCCATTTTACACAAAACATGGTAGGGATTACATGAAAATAAGAGACATTTTTGTTAAAAAGAAGACACAGGAAGAAGAAAGTTTAGGCTCTGAAAGCTAAATCAGAGAAAAGAGAAATGCCTCTGACTATTCCAGGGCAGCAGGCAAGCTAGGCCTATTGCACTTGTTCAAGGCTACCTACAAAATAAAACATGAACACAGCCAAGTTGCTTTATCATCACAGTGTGGAATACAGCTAGAATGCACCTTGGCAATGCTTCTTAAACTCTTTCCTCTAATTTCTCTCTACCTTCTTTTCATCTACATCTGGAATTAAGACATTCTGATGAAAGCATTAATCTCATTCCTGATATAACCTGTGAGCACAAGGGAAACTCTTCAGGGGGCAGAAGGAGGACAGGAGGAGCAGAACTTGAGAAACATGGCAACAAAGGAGTTATTTCAACTGCACATTAATCCTAGCTAATGGATTCACAGGTGGCACTCTTCATTTCAAGCCTATTCTGTATTTCACAAATCTAATTAATTAAATTTGTAGAATAACCCTCCACATCATGAAATAACTAGGTTCTTTTTTTGGTTTTTTGTTGTTGTTGTGGTTTTTTGCTTGTTTAAAAAAAAAATAAAAGAAACTAGTTCTTTCATGTGCTCATATTTCTAAGGGCTGGTGAGCTCCAGGTTCCCTCTGAAGTTAATAGAAAGATGCATTTAGAAGAGAAAATGTTGTAACCATAGTTTGAGGCATATTAGACAACAATTCAAACATTGAGGAAAGCACTAGAGATTTGTGCTGTTGTGTTAAGAATAAATTATTCCTGAGTGGAAAATATTGTAACAAGCCTGGCAAAAACAAAGAATGAAAGAGCTTACTAACAAGTCTTTCCATGGAAATGCATGCCAAGGGAGTGGAGGATTGAAATTAAGAAAATGATGGGATGCCTGGTGGACAAATATACGAAAAAAAAAGTTACTAAACTGTGTCACATCTCAGAACACACCCTTTGATAAAGAGCCAGTGGATTACAAGGGCAGCCCAGCTCACAGAGCCTTTCAGAAAGACTGCTTGCTAAAATACTTGGAGCTCCTTTCTTCCTTTCTAGCATGGCTGATGACACAAGAGCTGCTACAGCACAGAGCTCCTTCTAAATCACTGTTCTGCTGCCAGTCTGGCACCAGTCCTTAAATCTTCCACAGCAAATAATTATTATGCCGCACTCAAAGAAGCCAGTATGATTTTTCAAATAGCAATGTCTGAATGAAATATGATGAGGTAGATCCTATTGCTAAACTCAATTAATTATGTCTACATACTAAACTGTCTTTTAAATGCAACCCTTGCAAAGGGTTGGTCTCAGATCTCTCACCTAAGTTACTCATAAAAGAATAAGAAAGCATTTTAGCCAGACAAGTTATTTTTTCATATGCCATGGCAAGATAGAATTACACTCAAAGAACATTTTTCTTTTAAAGGATTCACTTTCACTTCCCTGTTTCCTGACTTCCTTTTTTTTTTTTTTTCTCTCTTTAACTGAAATACTGTAACCATAATGGAGTGTGATATACTCTAACATGAGGCACTGGTGTTGAGATCAACAAATAATATCTGAAAGGAATGGTCACCACAGGGAAAAAAGCCACAGAAGCCACAATGGACGCTTGAAATGGAAGAGGAAAATTATTCTAAATATTTCAGTAAGTCACTATTGGTGTGAAAGCAGTAAGAATTTGTTTAGTTGTAACAAATTGTAACTAAATTGATGCAAGGAGAGACAGTACTTGCCACTTATTACCAGTATAATGACACACTCTCCAACTTCATAAACATGCGATTCTGTGCCATGTCAGGACATGACAATATTTATGGTTAGAAATTCTACATGCTGGTACAGAAATATAATTACAGAACACAAAGGAAAGGAAGTGGAATGGACCAAGGCTCTCCTCCCCAGCTGCCACATTTCACACTTTTTAGATGACCAATACATCTCATCAACAAGGAATGATACATTTTGATCACATGAATGCAAACTTCAGGGCTGGGATTTGAGGACATGGATTCTGACAGGGAACCAACCATATAAAATGTATTCAGTTCTCCCTTTCACAAAAAATGGCAAAGTTCTAGAAAATGTGCTTCCATATTGCCAGTTCTTAAATAGCAGTTACTTAAACAAGGTAAATAATCTAGTAAAAAAATTCAATTCCACAAGAGACCTTGAACTGTAAGAGAAAGCAAATCAAAAGCAAACCAATCAAAGCAAACCAATCAAACAATCTAAAAAGACTCCTTACAGCTTCCTAAAAGGGATCCACACATTTTCAATGCATCCTTTCATAATAAGTTCCTGTGAAGAGGCATAATTTTTTTCCCTCTTAATATTTAGGATGAGCAGAAAAGAGCCATCCAGGTTTTGCAGAAAGGAAGGAATAGTTTAAAGTAGAATTTGGCAAATATACTTATCTATTGAGTAGAAAATAAAGTTCTAACATCTTCACAGAAGAAAAAAGGGTTAGTCTGAAAGATTATTGTCAGTGACATGATTTTCCTGCATTTCTTTACATCTTTTAAATTCTCTATGTATTTTGGGAGGGTTTTTTATTCTGTTGGGGTTTTTTGTTTTTTTTTTTAAGGATTAAGATGGTATGATGAAGTTAAGCATAGCATTTTTTATATACTTAAGGAATAAAATAAACACAATTTATCATATTTATATGATACTTCTATTTAATAAATAATATTTAATCAATTTATATTCAGGCAGTATCTGCCTGAATTGTGTGATGTCAAAGAAACCACTTGCTACACCACCTCATCCAGCCAGGAAAGACTTGATAGATAGAAAAGAGTAATGCCAGCAAGACCACATAAAATGTCTATACCAAACCAAAGCAAACCTTGGGTCATTGTTTCCTCAAATTCCTTTTTAATTTTAAATTCTTGCCACTGTTCAAGCATCCCTTTTTCCTTTCAGCAAAGAAATTGGCAGAAGCCAGCTATTGTCTCTTGTGACAGCAGAACCAAGACTTCAGACTCAGTTACAGGATTAGAACCAGACTATAGAAAATGAAGACAGACATATGCCTTCTTAAACAATTCTGAAATGTGGGTCAATAAAGTAGATGAAAAGTTAATCTTCATTATTTGACTCTGAAAAATTCAGCTCTTTCCAAGCCTCCTCCCCACACCAGACTGAAAATGTTAAAATATATGTCTGAACTTGAAATACAAATTTATAAAGCAGTCTGTGTTACATAAAAAAACCCTCATTTTGTCATTTTGCACAATTTCAAGGCATCCACCATGCCACAAATGAAATTAATTCTACGTACTTTTATAAACCTAACGATTATATCACCTGATATAAACTGTTGTCCAAAATTAGATTCAGATTTTTATCCACATTACCACTCCTTGCTAATTCAGCCGCTATCCTCTGGTTTTCCAACTACTATTTTAACTGTAGATTAAGCAGCACAAAGATGGATTTAATTTTAGTTTATATATTTGGCAAAGATATTCCACAGAGTTTCTAAAAACAGAATTTTCATTACCTGGAAGGGACTGTGGGGAGATTTCTTGAACTTCTGGTGTTTTGGATTCAGCAGGCCATACTCCAGTTTCATTCTTAGCTAAAAGAACAGACATTAGAGAGTAATTACAAAGATGTATCTGCTCTCTTTTACCACAGATTTATTTCTGTCCCACTTTAGTTTGACTAAGTAAGCCAACATGGATAAATGTGGACAGCTGAGTACCTTTTGGACCTAGTGAATTTCCACTGCACAATCACAACAAGCTATGTTAAACACATGCATTTTTGGTTTTGTTTTGTTTATTAAAAGATACTTTAAAAATAAAATATATAGCAAGGATTTAATGACCGATGAATAATGATTTTCACAGTGCAAAATGGTTTTCAGCATTTTTCATTTGTCTAGCATTTCTGCTTACCCAGTTTTTTCCTGGATGCTTGAGGTATGTCATCTATTGTCAGGAGAGGAGGAAGTTTCTGCTGACTTTCATTGAGACCTGGAACAATAAGGTGCACTACAGAGAAAGATGTGTGCCATTAATTCCAGAAGGCATAAAAGCACACAGCCTGCTCTCTGAAATATGTGAGCAGCTACTACTGAACCACTGGGAGTTTATTCTGAATATCTGGAAAATGAGTTTGTTCTATCCCGTAATTTTCTCTCCCACTTAGTGCTATTTCCCCTTTATACCCCTCCTTCTATCTCCACCATTTCATGATTTATCAGAGTTGGAAACTATTCAATACTGGAACACACAACCCTGGAATACTGCAGCATTACAGGTACTGGGACAGATTCTGTCTGGTGGGCCAAGTAGGCTCAACACCAGACAGGGTTAGTATGTGTGTGTTTGACTCACATCAACACACTGAAACCCACACAAAGAAAACTTAACCCAAAGTTATGCAGTCATATAAAATATTTCCATAAATAAAGGACTAAACAATAAATCCAGGAATAAATTGGTCACAAGGTACATGATGCAGTGAGCCCTTCATGGCAATTTCAGGCAGACCACTAGTTCACCACATTGTGCATGATATGACAGACTTTCCCCTGGTTTTATGTTCTAAGCCAGTATTGCATATTCTTATAGGTGAAACAAGAGCATAAAGGGAAACAGTAATGCCCTGAGATCTAACATCAAATTCTCACTGGCAAGATTTCTGTAGTTTAATATACCAGGGTTTTGACTGTAGATGTGATGTTACTGTAATTTGATGTTATGATGAAGTCAGCACTTGATGTTACTGCTACCTTAAAAGCCCAGTAAAAACAATCCCTCATCTCAATGAGATCTTTGCCATATAACTTCATTTGAACTATGAAACAACTCCTTGGCTTAAACCTTGTGTTTTCTTTTTAATACAATGACAATAAAATGAATCTATATTGCTTAAGCTTTAAAAACATTTAACAACATTCATAAGCCATCTGTACCACCATAACATGGAACAAATACGGTCTGCACCAGCTGCAAAATACCCTTTGATATGCAAGGAAAAACTATTAAGATCAAGAAAATTAAAAGCATTTGCAAAATTCTAAGTTGCAACCAGGGGTTAAGAGAAATGATAAAAATATCTTTTAGTCACCTAATATTGCTCCTGGGAGAGAAGAACTATCTGGTGCTTTTGACTGTGTCCGATTTTGAATAACTGTGGAGACAACACAGGGATGTTAGAATACAATTAAAAAAAAAAAAAAAAAAGGAAATAAGAAATAACACCTGAAGCAAACCTCAGCATTCTAAAAAGCTTTCCTCAATATTTGCAGATGAGGACACCATCCTAATCTTTTTATCAATTTTGTGAAACTGGCATTTTAATCTCAAATTACTCTTGCAGTGTATAAGAACTAATTTTAAAAAATGCACAAACTTACTTTGTTTGATTATTGTGACAGGGACCAACTTCTTATTATCACTAAATATAATCTGAAAAAAAGAGAAAGAAGAAAAAGATAAAAGTAGCGCCTTGGAATAACTGCTATGATAGTAATTGAACTGAGCAATAAAAAGAGAGGGCTCTAATCCAATACCACGCCTGTCCCAAGTTAACACTGGATATGAATCTGGCCCTGGTCCCTGGTGGTTGTGCTATTGCTTCAGTTCCCACGGGCTAATGTGGTAATATCACATTTTGATCTCCTTCTACCAGCTTGAGATGTTTTACTTATTAAAAACACAATATTTGACATCTTAGGAAACCCCAATTCTTTTTTCTCTTAAGGATATCTGGAGCACTCACTGAGGTGTAGTCCAGAATGCTTGAGAAAAGCTGAAATTTAACTACATCAAAACACCTCAAACTTATGCAATTACTATTTGGTCATGGGACACAAATATATTCTCAGGAATACCATATTTAGAACACAGACTATTCCAGAATCAGGTGCACTTTTGTTAACCATCATCACTCTTGGGTACATAGCCTGATTAAAGTAGATTAGCTCAGAATAATTTTATTTATTTATAGTGGAATTGTTTCCAAATCACAAGTGGTCAACCACCCCACATGATTCTTACATTTTTATGCTAAATACTTGGACTTTTATGCTGTTCATTTCTCTTTGACCCAAATTACATCTTGCCCAAATGTGAATATCTAATTATATTGATTCCACTAATAAAAAAGGAATACATGAATGGGCCCCACAGTTACTAAAAGAAAACAGCTGATAACAAAGATAAGAATTATGAACAAATTCTGAAAGCTCAGTAATACACTCAAGTGATGAGTGACTGTAATGCTAACAAAATAAAAATGCTAAATACATTAAAAGGGAAATTTTTTTAGTTATATTTGAGTTACAAGAAAGAAAATAACTCCGACAATAACCTTCCATGCTAAACACATTCTGTTCAAATCAGAATCAGATAATGTTAATTTTGCACTTCATGACAGCTGGTCTACTTCATGTGAAAGAACACTTGCATGGAAAGTCAGCATTTGACGACAAAGTGCTAACCATTAAGGTCCATAAGGACAGCTATTTTTGTTCTGTTCTAAATACTTCTGAAAAGCTTTAAAAACAGTGATTGGGTACACTTTAAACATACCAAAGTTTAAGCTGGGTGAAGACCAATCATTCTTCTCATTTTCCACAAAGTGACTAATTTAGATATTCCTAGGGCTAGTAATATTTTCTACTTATACAAACTATTTTGGAAACATCAGCCCATCATCTGTAGAAATGGCACTATCAATCATATTTTTCAGACAGGGAATATAAAACATTTAGGCATTTGGAACATTTGTTATTGAAACAACTGTTGCCATCATGAAAGAAGATGACAAATAATATTCCTTATTTTCAGAGGAAAATTAGAGATGTAAATTATACCATAGGTCAGACATCTCACTTTTTACCATATACATAGAGCATATTCTCACAGGACTGCAAATCTCAAATGTTTTGTGAAACAGCCCATGGCAACATTACTTTAAGAGACACTTTCTCTTTCTTTCTGTGTTGTATTCTGATCCTTCAAAAAGGCAACACAAACCGGCATGCATGTAAGAGACTCCTCAAGGAAGGATCATGGTCAGTCTGGACTGAATAAGGTTTTGAAGAGCAGAAATGTTTCCTTCTAGAGTTTAACAAATGGTAGAAGCTAAGTGTCCTTTTTGTCTGGAAAAACTGGGGAGGACCCCACCTTCCAGGCCGACATTATGAAATCAGAGAAACTTAACCAGACAGAAGAGGAAATAAATTTCTACTGCATTTTCTCTGCCCTACCACTACCCACTGTTTATGAAGGGAAGAAGAATGACCATTTCTAGAGCACTTCTTTTCTCCCACTGTCATTACTTGTGGCTCACACAGCCCCAGGAGCTTAGACAAACTTGAAGGATGAAACTGCCAAAAGAAACACAAGATGATACGCGACTGATGTTGAAAGGGCAGAATGACTAGATGGGTTGGTACTGTTGTTCTAATAAACAACCTTTAAAAATGTCCCACATAGAAGAGTTAGGACCATGTTATGAGTCAGTTGTGTCTTTGGAGCAAAATAAAGCACAAACAAATTTGGCCTAAATAACACTCAGTCTGGCTTTGCATCAATGATCCGATCACGCCACTGAAACATGCTCCACCTACTGCTGCGGAAACTGAAGGAACAAAGCGAGCTATCTGCTTTTTTGGCTTTTTGCACCACTCAAGAAAGAATGATAAGAGAAATTTTAGAATAATCTGTGGTATGTTTTCATATTTCTGCAGAGGGTGATAAAGCAGTACTGCTCTGGAGCTGAGCCCTGTGAAGATCACAAAAAGACTAGATGTTGGCTCTAGTCCTCCTTTCATACTTGAGCTGTGCAAATATTTGGAGAACTGTTTTAGCTCACTTTCTCAATTTCTCCCCCATAAATAGAATCCCTACTTGCACAGAAGCAGCATAACAGTCAGGGTTCTGGCACACAGGGTTTGCTAAGAGGAGCAAAGGAACTCAGCTTGCACTCCATATCCCAGAATTAATTACCTGATCTTGGGCCATGTAACTTTAAATATGCTCGCAGGACCATGGGGAAGAACAGTAAAGTTGACTTCATCAACATAATGACATAAGCACCCTCCTGAATATCTAACCAACTGGGTTCATATTACTCACAAAATAAAACATTTTCCCATGAAAGCAAGACAAAAGTATATTTCCAGTAATATAAGAGTTATACCAATCTAATTCTATATGTAATGCAGTAATTGAAGCATTACTGCCCTAAATGAATGGACACAGACTCAAGTTACACTGTGAAGGTTTAGATCAGATATTTGGAAAATTCATTTTCACATAAAGGGGTGTCATGCACTGGAAGTGGCTGCCCAGGGAAATGGTGGAGTCATCGTGCCTGGAAGTGTTAAAAAATATGTGAGTAGAGCACTTGAGAACATGGTTTAATGGTAAACATGGTGATGGTGCTGGGTTAGCAGTTGGACTGGAGGAACTTAAAGATCTTTTCCAACCTCATTGATTCTATGATTCTGTGCATACCTAATTAATCCTAGAAGAAAATGTATTCAATGAATTATGGTTTGATTCCTGAAGGAATTCCAGGTCTGATAATTACAGACCATTTATAATATTCTGAAATATGAAAAAAAACAACAAGAAGCCATACATCGCCATTTCCTACCATAAAAACATTTAGAAAATCTGAGACAGAAAAGAATTATGAAGAATGAGTTATTTTCTTGTAATAATTAACACTCTACACTTGTAATAATTTAAATTATTACACTTGTAATAATTTAAACCTCTAGAATCTCTAAAGTAAGAAGGCTTTCTACAGCTTTTCTTGGGGAGTTACCCCATAGTCTGCCTCAGGGATAGTAACCTAAAAAGAAGAACAAAAAAAAAACAACCAAAAAAACCAAAACAAACAAACAAACAAACAAAAAATCCTCCAGAAGATTAGATGCTGAAACTTGCACTTTGATGAAAAGACAAGGAAAGGAAATATAAAGGAACCAGTTTTATCTCATGGTGGAGCTGGTAATGCTCAGAAGTTGTGACTAATATGTCTATTTTTCATTGTATTAAAACCCACTAGCTGGTTCGCTCTAGAAAGCCTAAATTTCTGCTTCAGCTCTTGGAAGAAAAAAGTATCTGGGTACATGAATCCATAAACAAATGAAATCCATCCATACTTGTTTGAGAATGTTTATGGAAAAGGTCAGGTGAGGGAAAAAAATTTCTTTATTTATTTATAAAAATCATCTTTTTTTATTTTAATGGAATAGTAAAAATTCTACCATGCCACATAAAAGGATTTAATGGATAGCCTAGCAAACTTGCCCTTTCCAGCTTCCTCTGGTTTTGCAAACACTAGCCTCACATATGGGAGCTATTACTGAACTCAGTGGGATGACACATTTAGAGGACCTGAGTATATACAAAATTATTCTATAAAATCACCTCACCAAGTTACCCCAAACTTAACTGATTGCAGAAAATATCACAGGTTAACAAACCTGACTTCTATAAAGGAATAAGCAACTTTTAAGTTTGGAATTTACACATGGAAACTATTAAATTAATCTTTGATAGATTGGAATAAGTGTATGTAATCATCTCAGTTACAGTTCTCAATTATTTTGTCCAAAAACACATTTAAACATTTTCCATACAGTGCATTTAAGAAATGGTTTTCTATATTGGGAGTTTGTGGCCTTGATAATGTCTCACTGAAGAGTAATAGGGAATAAAAAAATTGATCATATGGAAAAAGAATCAGGTTAAAAAAGAGACTGTTTTGCATACCTGTGTTTGGGAATTGGGTACCAACTTGTACATATTCTGGATTTGTCCATTTACTTTTTTACCTGTTTTGACAGAAAGATAAATAAATGCACAGAATTAATTTTTTGTTTTGTCCGAAGCAAAGCAAAGCAACTTTATTCACTTTTTTCTTCAGCTGGGAAAGTTAAGAGGCTTAATTAAAACCTATATAATAATACATCATGGAAAAAATATTTTTGTCCTGTGTCTCCAGATCCATTAACACATATGCAAGGCCTTCTATTCACATTTTGACACCAAGGAAATGAAATATATTCTTGTTTTGTTTACGGTTTTGTTTATTTCAGTGTATGAACAAACCCCCAGATTTAAACTCTGAATTTTTTCTTTTATGTTTTTCCTCCTAATTTCTAAGTATTATAAGTTTCTTGTGATGCAGCTGTTGAGTAAGTCAGGAAAGAGTTCTGTTCAGCACCTATTTATTCTAGCATGATGCTTCAAACTTTCTCTGTATCTTCCACCTTTATACTGCTTGTGCAACAACAGGTGTGCAAACAAGAGTCAAGCTACATGTTGTCATATTTTTTTCAAATTCCATCCAAAACAGATGAGAAGTAGAAAACAAATGTCATCTGTAAAGAAATATCAACTGAGATACATTTAAGTTGGAAAAAAGTAATTCAAAGTGTTTGATACTTCTAAAGAACAGAAATTATTGACCTAAATTCAAGAGAAAACTGACAGAAGTTTCACACTGACTTCATGAGAAAATCACGGTAAGATGGTCTGAAATAAGCTACTTTCATCTCTTCTGACAAAAATCAGTTAAATAAATGCTGAGCTTTTGCCATGTCTTTCATGTGTTCTCAAACCATCAATTAAAAGCAGATTCTCCTCCCAACCCCTCCCAACATGTTTAGTATATAACAAAAATTTGGCCTGTGGATTCAACAAATCCAGGAACCTGCAAAGGAATTTCAATTTCTAGTAACTGATATATTCTTCAGTGGGAAAAAGAACATTTACAGTGAAGGATATTTGGTTTAGGTTGAGATGCTTCTCCTATAGGAGGAGAACTTGAGTTCATACAAAACAGGAAATTAGCACAGAAGTGTCTGCTTGTGTTGATTGATGAACTTTACAGGCATCTGGTTATACATTTATTATAAATATACGCTCTCTGTTTACCACTCACGTTTTCTGTATCTACCTGCTATTCACTAAAAATATGAAAGGCTTGAGTTAGAAAGGCTGACAGTTTTCCAATTATAGGATTCTTTATTAGTAGACCAAAATGTAGACATGCAGGTTAATCACAAGATCCCTGGATTTAGCTGCTGCAGAATCATCCACTGAATACACAAGTCTACATTGTAGACAAAAGAAATCTTATGAAAATAGAATATGAACTCTTACAAGAAATAATCTTTTAACCAAAGTCAATGGGTCTCCATAAACTTATAAGAATGATTCTCCTGATCTATTAAAAATGTAAAATGTCTGTACAAAACACCATTTAGGAATACATTATTACAGAAAGAGAAAATTTGGTGATGCTTTCATCAGTCGTGAACAAGTAATAAACTATAAACATTTTGTATTCATCATTCCCTGTTGTTCTAACTGCTGAAATATATTTCACCACTTGCTCTACAGATGACTTTAAGATGTTTGAAATGTAGAAAATAACAGAAAAAACCCACTTGGTAAGATATCTGTAAAGCTGTGAAGCAGAGCTTTTTGTGAATCAAAAAAGGCTGGGAAAAGGCTACCACCATTATCCTCTTTAAGCTCATGGCATAACAATGGATTCTAATTCTGGACTGCTAAAACAACTCAATGGACACTGGGCACATTCTTCAAAGTTACAGCTTGGTACTTCATAGTGAAGGGCAGCAAAGCCATTTCTTAGGGAGTATGAAGGCTTTCCCAGTGTTACAAGCCACCATACTGCTCCCCTCCCTTATCCTCAAGTGTATTGAGCTCCTTAACTCACCTACAAGTCAAAACTGAAGTCCAAATTAAATGTCAGCTGGAAATCTCGTGTGAATAAGGCTCTCTAACAAGAATTCCCATTTTTTACATTCTGAGTCAAGCCAAAAATACTAAGCATAGGAGTTTGCAGCATCTTCTGACCAAAATCATGTTTTGAAATACCTTTATGCAAATGCTTGAGGAAAATGAATCAAATTGGATAATCTCTGTTAAGTCAAAATATGACTTACAGCCAGCCACAGGTGTCGTACACTTCCTCCATGAAAACACAAACAAAGGCATAAACAAAACTGCATATATGATCCGTATAATATTCTGATTGAAAATTAACTTCAAATTCAGCTTTTGAGTCATAAAGGGCCCATTGAGGCAGGACAGGGCCTGTCTAGCTCGAAGACCAGCTCGAATATAAATGCAGGGGTAAAAGAAGATTCAAACAATGCTAATAATTTTCATTACTCATACTAGTTAATTGAAAGAATTAAATGGATTAGTTGGATGATGACTGATGGATTAATTCATTACTTGATCATCTTATTATTCATGGCCTAAGGAAAGAGCTTAGAATCCAGTCAGAAGTATAAATACTCTTACACAACACTTAATGTGTGTCTGTACTAAACATTATTAGAATTATACCAACATGCAGCAGATCCGCTATTTGCAATGACAAGAGAACACCTTTCAGAAGACTAGGTGGTAGGTTTTCAAAACCAAAATATTTCTAATTCCAGCAATTCCTAAAAGAATGCTTTAGGGGCATAATAGATGACATTTAGACAATAAAAACTTGGCTTACTCTAAGTAATATAATAATAGAAGAAAAAATACTGTCAAAGTCAGCAGCTATTTGATTAATTATTGTCAAATACTTACTTGAGAGAACTGTCTTATGATTCAAAGTCTTGCTCCAAATACTATCCTCTGCATTGTCTTTAACTCCAAATTCATAAGGTGTGTTTGGCTTCAGGTTGTCAATCACTGTCTCTGTGGCTGGGCAGAGCTGAAAAACCCATTTCTTGTCTTTACCTTTTTCTCTGTAGCGAACTGTGTAGAATCTGCTCGGGGAAAAAAAAAATAGATCTACACAAAGGAATTCACTATAACCATTTTTGTGAGGAAGTACCATCATACAGACCCTGACATAAGGACTATTGTACAAAGCACAAAAGGACAGTCTCTTTATTCACAAACACCCATTGTATGTGAGGTTCTAACCACAAAGTGTAAGCTCATTGTCCAAGCAGTTCCTGTGATTCTGACTTATGCCAGAGCCAGTCAATAAAATCATGAGTCTGCTGGTCAAGAAGCCTCTACTGATTTATCAGAATTTTCTATATCCATCCAGTAAAAGGTGTTCCCATCAAAATTAGTCCAAAAACATTCTCCAGGGAAGACCAGTAATATCTGTTGTTTGTTTAATACATTCCTCATTCAGGGATCCCATTACGTATTGCCCCCACTTCAAACAAAAAAATAAACCAAGACATTACTTTCAGCAGTTTAAATCAATAATGTGATGAATACTAACAGATTATGAAACTAGGAAACATTTCTACAGAAATTACCCAATTCTGTCAGGGAGCACCACCCTGAAAAAGCATGACTGCAGTGTTAACCAACCAAAAACAAGGCAGTGGAAGTGGCGAGAGCTTCAGCACAAGAACTGCCCTGCTGACTACAGTCTCATTTTCAATATACATGCTGAATTACCACCAGAATGGTGTGGAGGTTTCTTTTTCTTGGAAAAGCAAATCTCAGAAAGATTTGGCAACTTCTTAATCCAAGTATTACTGAAAATTGTTACACATAACAGAAATAAATTCTATCCATCATCCATACCTATCTCACATTTACATCATCTGAAAAGGTACAAATTCAGACCGATTGTATTTTGCCACACTTAAATAGAACAACTTAATGCCTGCAAATCAAGGTTGTGAGATTTATTACAGGTATTATATAGACAATTTTATAGAGAAAAAGGAAGAGAACTTAAAAAGCCAACCAAAAAAGGGTTCTTAAACAACTGAAAAGGTTTGAAAAGTCCAGACTAAAATTACTTAGTGGACCAAACCCAATACAGTGAATTCATAAAGCTGCTACTTCTGAAGTTACAGAAGAACACTTTCAGAGCACAGTTTACATGAAATGTGAATGCTGAGTACACAGAAATTGCTACTTTGCTATTAAAACACAACATAAGACAAGGCATGTGTCACTCATGCAAAGTATTTCCAAACTGGTTCACTTTGTTTACTTATTTTATCTTATAACTGTCAAACTTGTTTTCTTGGCACCAAAAATATAGATTCTCCTGGCTTAGTTGCTACTTTAGCAGCTCATTCAGGTATTTCACCAAGTTACAAGATCAATATTTATGCTGGCTCATGTATCTTCATTAACTGTATTACTTGGTGTTCAAAACAAGATATAGTCTAACTTAAAACTTGAAAAGGAAAGAAAAAAAAAACAAGAAGGAAAAAAAAAGACAAGTAGTGAATATATTCTCTCAGTTTCAGGACTACCAAGTAATAATGTGCCTCCTTACTTCTGTGGGCTGTGATCTAATGAAATGCCAAATAATAGACCTAATTATCAGTTAAACTGACAAAGAACATTTTAAACAATCAATTATTGGCAACATTAAAAGAAGGAAAATTTCTTCTCCTTTATCCTCTTAATGCATTTGTATGTAGTCAACACAGACATTAACCAACAGGAAAAGTTTATTTGAACTCTGTCACTGTCTTGCAAAGGCTGTAACTTTAATAAACAAATCCAGTGTTCAACACAAATGCCTCTTACTGGACCCCATACAGGCTTTAGGCAAAGGATTTGGAATAAGTACAGACAGACATCAAATGTGAATTCAAGTGGAAATAGTCACCTTCTTCCCATGCCTGAAAGAGGAATTTTCATTTGTTTTCATCTTCATCCTTACCTTTTCCTACCTATTTAAATCTAATGGGATAGAAATAAAATGTTTGCATGTGATGGAAAAAAGAGAGTATACTGATCCAGTTCGGTTATTGAACAATTTAAAAGAAAAATGCATCAGAAACGAGGAGAAAAAAAAATACTAAAAATACTTGTTAATAATGAATCGGCTTTTAAGTGGCTGACCCCACTTGCTTCTACTGGACAAAATGTTCTATTTTTAATGCTGACTCCACACCTGGAAATTCCTTCACTCTAACATGAATTAAAATACCAAGAACACTTGCACAACAGCAAAAACAACCCATCTTTCACTTAAATTCAAGACTATTATAAAATCTGAAAAGAAGATTTTCATAGTTGTGCCAAACTATGCCATTAGTAAGAGAAACATACAGCACAGAAGAAATGTACTCTCAACTCCAAGATTTCCAAGCCTATAAAAACTTCAGCAAGAGTATAATTATTTCAGTGGAAACTTGCCATAGTGAGTACTAAAAACACTGACTGTGATGACAGAATTTCCTCAATCATTTCAGTAAAAAGAAATAAAAATGAAGTTCCATTTAACAATTTGCAGTTCACAATCATTTGACTATTAAAAATATCTAAATTTCTAAATGTGCTTTTGGAGCAATGCAACCATTTTACTACAGAGTAAAAATTCAGAAATTCCAAGTTTTGTCATCAAAGAACAACAACTCATTGTTAAACCAGACCAACAAACTGCCAAATAAAATGCAAATTCAGTCTGCCTGAGAACACTGTACTGATTGGATTTTGTTGTAATTTTAATTTCTCCCTTTTCCAAACCTTTCTTACATCAAAAATACAATATCAAGCAGTCAACACATATAATTGAAGACATGAGTAAGCAGTAAGATCCAGTCACCACTCACATCTATCAATCCCCTTGTGGCAGTGACATACATGCACAAAATGAGTGCAGCTGGCTGAACTGGAAACATTCAGCAAAACATCTTCACAGATTCCCTGCAGAATGATAGAAGGCAGGCTGAAATAGAGTGCTGTCATAGTCACACAGAGGGGTACAGCTGCACTACGTGTTACTCAAACAAAACACTTCCCTTTACCTCTGAGGTAAGGAGAGGAAAATCTGATTGCTCACCACAGGGCCCTAACAGCTAATATCCAAGTAATACACTGGGGAACACTCCCAGGAATGCTATTCCCACCTGTGAATACTGGTTTGATGTTTCAGCAAGGAGATGGCACACCCAGCTACATATGGTGAATCTAGATTATCAGCAGGTATAAAGAAGTAACAATATTTAACTTTTTAATTTAACATTTAATTTTGATTAATTGATTTGTTATGTGTTTTGGTGGGGGACATTTTATCAGAACAATGTTTATTGAATACTCTTGAATCTCTGTTTACAACAAATATTAATCAAATTATTGTAGAGGTCACTCTGTTTTTTTTGCCAGCTATCACTCTATAAAACATTAGATCAAATGAGGGAGGTTAGTACCTCCCTCTCTCCCCCTAACAGGCAATGCTTCACTCATTTGAAGATACCACCAATCACCCCAGGAACTGCGGGGAAATTTTACCTCCTCTCTTTTTACTAGACAGCTAACATTCCAATAATGTAAAAGGTGTCATGAGCACGTGAGAGGTTTTGGTGCACTCAGAATTAATCACTGTGATAATGAGGGGGAAAAGAACCCCAAAACCCAGCACAGCAGAGGAATAAGGGACCTACATTCATCAAGAGAGCCTCTTTCATATGCATTTGTGCAACATCATGGAATGTTTAGTGTCTGCATTCTTGACACTCTGTATCTTTGATGATGCTTCAACTTTGCTTGTCTCCATATAAGAGGTACACAAAATGTGATGGCAGAAATAAAATAGGACCAATTTCATAATTTAAAGATTATTCACAGGCCAACCACTGCAGTGATTACTGTATCTGCAAAGTCAATGTAAAAGACTCCCAGCCTCACACAGAAGGCTGCTTCTATTCTGTGTTCAGCTTACATAGTTTGTTTTTTAAAAAGGCAAGGGAGTTCTCAGTTCAGAGACAGCCTTTCCATTGCACTAGATGTCAAAATAAAATGACCATTTTAAAGAAACAGCACAGATGCTTTTTGCTTTTGAAATGAAGCAAATCTTATTCACTGTTAAAGGAAGTAAAATTCCAGGATGGATAGGCAAGACATCAAGTTTTCATCTATCAGTGTGAATTATACTGTTTTGCCCAGAATTCCAGTGCCATTTTTCCATTTTTAAACTAAATCTCTTTTCAGCCAGATTCCCAGAACATGGCCAAAGAGTCAAATATTCAGACACAAACAATTAGATACTGGAAATCTTATAAGACAGATGGTTTTACAAGATTTCAAGACTGGGTCAGTTTGTATAAATATCATGGATTTATTTGGAACCAGGCCCCAACCAAAACTCCAAACAATTTAATCATGACTATTTTAGTCACACGTAACACTAAACAAACAATTAAGCCTTGGAGATAAAAGAACATTCCAGCTCCGTGGTTTTGTGTTGCCAGAGACAAAAGATTATGAAGCTCATTTCTTTTTTGTTCGCAGAAATGTAATCAGAATTTTTAAAAGAGACTATCAGCATACCAGGTATTTCTTTACTTATAGTTATACTTCATTAGATGTGCAGCATCCATTTAATGTTAGAAAGTAATACAAGAAATGGTCTGAACTATGATTTTTCAGACACTGAGTGTTGTGCAAATTGACACATGATGTTGATTATATTGTTTCGCTTTTTACTGCTAAGTTTACTTTAAAGTAACAGACACCAGCATATATAAGAAATGGGAAGAATGACATCACTGATGCTTAGCAGTTAAGTTTGCAAAGCACTTTCTAATTTAGTTTTGACTTTTACATGATCACTAAAATTCACTTCTTTTACTCAAAACTTTTAGTAGAATGACTGAAATGAAGAGTGAGAGGCTCTGAAGAGGGAGAGACTGAACAGCAATAAATCATTCCAGTTTACTACAGCTTTTAGCATGTACTCCCACAGCAGCAACTCAAAAACATCTGAGACTCAAGAAGTGGTTTTGCTGCTTTAAGAAATTCTTCTATGTTTAAAATACATTTTGTATGTTTGCAGCTGCATAATGATAGCAGTTTGTAAATAGGCACAGGAGGAGATAGGCACATATCTTTCAGAATCTAGCATTTTAAAAACCCTACTCCTATGTACTATACAATATAAAAGAGTAAGTATGGACTCATCTCTGGTTTTCCCTTACTGTTTTTGGTTTTGGTCTTTGTTTTTAAAAGCATCAGATAAAAACAAAAGAAAACATAAAATTTGTGCTACTTGCAAGTACGACATTAGGACATTCAAATCACAGGCAAACCAATTAAAACAACATCAATGTGAATTTGTCATACTTTTTAACTTAAAGAAGACATACTTCAGGTTTTAAATTCCTATTTTTGCATGTATCTGAAAGCATTTTTGTTTTTCTATACAATCCACTCAATATAATATTATATTTTACTGTATCTATAAACCTTACTTTCATCTAACATGGAAAAAACCAGTTTTTGTTCCATCCTCTGGCTTTCCTTCCTAAAGAACTGAAAGTCAAAGTCCACCTTTTTCAACCCATAGCAACAGAAATGTTCTAATCAAAGCAAATACAAAGAAAGAAAAATCTACAGAGTATTCTCTCTTTTTCAGACCTGGATGGACAGTAAATGAAGCCCCAGTACTTTTATTTTGACAGATCTGTCCACTAATGTTTGTTTAAACACAGGCAGAGAGAAAACAAGCCTCTCACTCTCTTGGAAATAATTAAGAGAGGAACTGAACATGGCTGTGCAGCAGGATATCATGACTTTGCCATCTTCTCTCATCAACTGTCTTCCACTGGTGTCAGAAGGCAGAGGATGCTGAGAAAGGTTCCACCAACATTGCTTTCTGGTGTAATGCAGTTCTCATCAGTTATATAAAACTAAACATTTGTGGGTTTTGATTTATATACTTTTGCTTTATTTTAAATTCTAGCGGTAAGGGCCTGATGAGAGATAATAATCACTTCAAGAATGCTTTTGTGGACCTTTTATTTTTGGTCCACAAAAATGGCAGTGAATACTTTTGCTTCAAAAAGGGATTAGCATTTGGGGTTATCTTGAAGGAAATACACAGAACTCTATTGGCTTATGCTCTTAATCTCTAGGGAGTTAAGCCAAAAGAAGGGTTTGTTGAAAAATGTCACAGTCAGATTTTGTCATGGAGTTTCTTAAAAATTTCATAGATACAGAAGACCACTATGTGCCCTGAAGAAGTAAGCAAAAATTTCATTGGAGCAGTAAAAGATATCAATGCTCCTTGAGAATATGGCAGCTCTTACTCCAAACTCATTTGCTCACAAAACCAGATCTTCCAAGGAATATCCCTCTGAGGTCAAACTCGCACTAGAGAAAATCTTGGCCAGCAGAACTGTGCTATTCCATGTGGTTTCTATCTTCTGACTCAGTAACACATTGAATTAACTTTTATTATGCAACATTTGTCCAAAAGCCTAACATCCATGTGGAGATGGTAAAATCTGAGGCTGAGAACAGTGACTCCATTTCAGGTCATAGAGAGTTATAAATTCAAACCTTGGTGGGGGATTTACTGACAGAACTGAGCCAAGAGGTCCTGGCTGCTATGTACTGCCAATGCCAAAGGTCAGAGGTTAGCCACTAACAGCAATCTTGAGGATGATTAACAGCACACTGCAGCAGTAAGAACATGCCAGATGAAAAAGCATGGAGTCAGGTAGACTGCCCCTGAAATAGATTGACATTTCTGTGAGTCCATTATGTGCTTTTTAAGTCTTGTACTTTTATCACAACACTAACTTGCTAAGAATGGGCTGCTTCCTGTTTTTTTTCTTATCATTCATTATCAACATTCATTCAAATTATTATAATTAATTAATAGTTTTTCTTCTACACACTGACTAGAAATATATATGGACCAAATCTCTCTTAGAATTCTAGATATACATACCATGGTCACATGGACAACTGTTCTCATACCTTATACAAATCACAAGAATTTTGGCCCAGTAAAGGTAAAATTAGTAAGAGCACCACTTAAGTAATTATTTTTTTTCTTCATTAACTTCATTTTTATGCTTGATAGCAAAACAGAAATCTGGTTATAGGTATATACCTATATTTGATAAGATTATTTGTAACTTGATATAAAAGTTTTTAAACTAGCTACTCCTGTCTGACAATATTTCACTAAAAAGGAATGCACATTAAAAGTAATTCCTGAGAGGAGGAATACATCAGAATATATTCTAAACATACAAAGACACTGGTAGCACACTGCCCTAACTGAAAAACTGTGTTAAAAACTTGTTCAAACTTTGAGTCAATGAATCATTTCTCTACTGAGGAGAAAACACAGAATTGATGAAGCCATGGTGGATACCATTTGCCTTGAATTTTCCAGGTGGGTTAATACAGGACATAGGCTTCTCCTGGTGTTCTTCATTCCCACTGCACAAGGAGTGCTGCAACATTGATGCTGACACATCACATAAAGATAAAATCCTTGGTAACAATGGTGCTAAAATTGCTACGTCAGAACACTTTACAAGCTCATCCAAAATCAGCTCCTTGCTTCAGTTTCTCACAGTAGGAAAATATTTGCTTCTTTCTTTATTGAAGGAGCAGTCTAAGCCTAAACCAACTTTTATTTCTACTGAAGAAAAATCCGATCAGATTTCATCTTTGAACATTTACTAACATTCCATAACTTTTTCCTAACAAACATTAATATCTTTTAATAGTGTTTGAAATTCTGGTTGGTGATGAATTTTTTTTAAGAGAAATTTCTGATGCTTGAACAGGATTAGTCCTTTTGTGAGGTATGAAACTACTGTAAAGGTACGAAAAAGTTATCCTGGCTACATGGGATGTTTTTCTTAACATAACCTATGTTTGACATCCAGGTTAATCGTGTCAGCTACAGCTTTCTTATGAACAGCAGAGTAAGAAAATTCAAGTCTAAATTAGACAGCTACAAATTACACAAATATTAGACAGGTAAAAGAAATGTTCTGAACCATGAAAAAAAAAAAAGGTGTATTTAAAACCCAAAAGAAAACAGTTGCAAACCAGATGCATCCCATGGATGCAAAATATTTCTTTTTAGTTTTAGAAAACTGCTGTGTAGAATAGAGCTTCACACAATGTAAATGAAGGTAAAAAAACATTCTTCTGTTGTCAAGGAAGAAGATAAAGAGACCACAAAAAGACAGAGTAGGGAAAATATCTGCATTAGCAATTTAAATACTTTCATTCATCTCCCAAGGGCTAACTAAACCATAATAGTGCACTTAATTGAGAAGCTCTTCTGCACTATGACTTCTCTTGAAACTACTACTTGGTGAGCCTTCCTGAATTTCCCACCTACTGTGCCACCCAGTGAATGCTAAAAATATTGACAGAGAAGAGATCTTACAGCAGAAGGTTAAGGAAAGCTGTACTGCATCAACAGAAGGAAAGCCATTATAGTGATAAGACAAAATAAAGGAAACAAAAAATCGAATGGTGCTAAAACAAGGCATCATTCCCCCACTTCAGCACAACAAAAGACTTTTACACTTAATCGGTCAACGCTAAAGTAAACTATTTCCAGTGATTTAACAAAGTTTCAATTGGTTCAGATACAAATGAAGGTAGAGCCAAGGCCATTAGTTTAAGAACAAAGGATTCAGTGTGAAATAGCACAATTTGTAATTCAGTGTGTAGACATCTGACTAAACTTGCTGTCAAGTAAAGAATTGCAGAGCAGTAGCATGAGCAAATGAGAAAACTTACTTTACATTGAGAGCTATTTTTTACAACATTCTAATTTCCACTGTACTATTTATCTTAATCACAGCAGAGAGCTGCACAGAACAAAATCATGATAGTAATAAACCCCATCCTTTTCTCTTGTTACCTGTCACTAGCACAGTTACTTGTTGCTGTCCAGTCATGCTGAGGGTTGACTAGGATGCCCCAAGAGAGAAATACAGAGGTTGGGGTGAGGGTGCCAACCACCAGCTGCAGAGGCTTTTGTGTCTTGTTCCGACCTACATAAAAAACATATAAAGTTAATTTCTCTCTCTTGCATTATGTAAATGAAAATTTTGCAGTTTGATAATTAAGTAAATTAAGATCCCCTCTTCTAAGCTTGAAGGGAGAGGTACAACAGTTCTCCATTTTTCGTGGTCACTATTTCTAACATATGATTTATAAAAGTGGCAGAGGCAGTGTCCATAGTCACTTTTTCAGCCTAACATTCCAGTTAAAACTAGTTTTTGAAATTGCTCATTTGGTGGTTTCAGTATACCTCATATAAGAATAAGCTATAGGTAGTTTAAACTAAAAACTCTGGCTATCTTGGACTATATCACAGAAGACATGACAGAGTCCAGGACATTAGAAAGTCTCCATGGATGTGATAAAAATAGTAATTTCTTGGCAGTTTTCTCAGTAACAATGCAAATATGTCTACACATAATAAATATTTTCTAGAGCATTCTTAAGAGTAAAATAAAACCTACAAAAGTTCTTTTGCTTTTTACTGCAGGCAGATCTGAGCCAGGGTCTGTATCTGCAGGATTTTTCTCTTTAATTACTGACTATATTGAAACCAGGTTTTGTGTGATGCTGAACTTCAGCTTTGCTCTGTATGAAGGAGTACAGCTCTTGTGTTTAAAAGCTAATAGATGGAAATGAACAAATGATGTGGAGACTCTATTTTGAACCTGTAGTTTATGGACTGCTACAAGCACAAGGAGAATATCTGGTGTTTGGAAGATGATTGACCATAGGAAATCAATATATTCTTTACATTATATACTTCAAAAACCTGAAGGATCTGTACCTCCTCAAAACGTACATGTGACCAACATTTCTTGAAAGTTTGTAAGCCACTGATCAAAGGGGTTTATTTCTCACTCTTGTGAACCAGATTTGACTAACTTTATTCTTATGCCTTTTGAACCCTATTATCTCTTTACTTAACCAGCCCTAGTGACAGTCTGATTTATATTTCCAACCAATACCTGTGTGTACATTTAGAAATGTTAACCATATTGGTTTTTGCTTTATGTTGATGATGAATATGTTGCTACAAAACCTACATTAAAAACCAACATATGTATGTTGCATCTGTAAGGCAAATCACTTTCCAAAACCTTTCTAGACATGTTGTGTTATACCTGGCCAAGAGTAAGAAAAGATTTATCCCAAGCATTACCAGGAGTTAGGAAAAAAAAAAAAAAAATAAAAAAATCACGTAAAGATCATAGAATAATTTGGGTTGGAATTGACCTTTAAGGACCTTCTAATCCAAGTCCCCTGCCATGAGCAGGGACATCCTCAACTGGATCAGGTTTCTCAGAGCCCTGTCCAACCTGACCTTTTGTGCTTCCAGGGACAGGCCATCAGTTTATTTTTTGCAACAATCCAGTCATCCTGAAAGAAGTCTCCACATTAAAGTACATAATTAAGTCTCCATATTAAAGTAAGGAATTCAGAACTAACAGTATTAACAACATGATTAAGATATATAGAAATACTTTGAAACAGATGAAAATAAAATTCAGATTTCTACTCTGCTGCATATAGATTCAGTTGGAAGTATCACTCTTTCCTTTAGTTCTTGCATCAGCAAACTTAGTAATAATGTTGATATAGACAGAGACAGACAGACAGAAGCTACCATTTGCCAATGAGAAACAAAGAGCATTAACACAGCAATGGATGAAGGAATCCTCGCTTGTAGTTTGGGAAGAATAACTGTAATGTCTTTAAACACCAGATATTAATATTCTAATTTTCACTTCTCATTTGTAAGAACTTTATGCAAAAAATCTTTAGGTAAATCTTCTTGTTTTGAATGCCATGTGTGTGGTGCCTACTGACTAGGAAACACTGTCCTACATTTTACCTTTCCGTGTATGGAATTTGTGCGCCACAGTAGGACGCCTACAGGTAGGAATATCTTTTCAGAGAAACCCAGCAAAAGGTTCTCTTTTCTCTCAAATAATTTAGGAAAGAGATGCAGTAATATTATATTACCTGAACAAGATTTCTTGTTATTTGAAACACGTGCTGGTCTTACTGAAACCAAATACCGTGGCTCTGCATCTGCAAATGAATGAAAAAGCAATGAGTACAGATGTGCTGTCTATTGGAAAAAGAGAATAATCTGAAATTAACAAGAAGATGTCAAATAGTCAGTGAATTCTTGACACATTATCCAATCTTTGTGATATTTAGTCTGTTTACCTTAAAATTCATGGAGTTCAAAATTATAAATGCTTCAATTAAAACAAGGTTGAGATGTTTATTTGAGTTTGGGGAATTCCTCTTCAGAAATAAGCTTTTCACTCCTTAAAACTCAATGTCAGAGATTTCTGCCCTTCTTAATTCTTTAAAAAGCAAGCTCTATTCTCTCTGAACTGCAACATGAGAGAAGTTGTCTTAGGAGATCCACGGGCAGAATTTGGCTCACTCTATACTGACCAAAATTATTTTGACTATAGATTTTTAAAAAAAGGATTACTCTACATAGAATCTTATTCATAGATTGTTAGTTCAGATATATTTATGTAAATGTATAACTATAAATAAGTGATTGAATTTCCTGCATATTTCAGTGTAGCAGGCACCTTTAATTCTACCAATTAAACAGAACCACTAAGGAATAATTCAATTTTCTCTTACATGCAGATTTCTGTAAAGAGAGAGAAAGGATTAGCAGTATGAAAAAATCCAAAGCACGTTGTACTACTGAAAAAGTTCTGCCAGTGTGGGAAAACCACTCTAACTTCACTGATTCTGTGCACCTAAATAACTGGAAACCCATACTATGCATGTACTACTTTAATTGCTTAATTAGTCTTTTAAAATGGGTTTCATCTGCACCCAATAACCAAGGGTTATTGCAAGCATTGACAACAGCTGTTCAAAGCAGTGTGGAAAAAAGAGTTAAAAAAAGGAACCCTCAAAGTGCAAATACATCTTCATTTACAAAAAAATGTTTTTTAATATTTAGAGGGCTACATAAGTGTGGAACCTGTGTAACCACTTGGACATTTTTTTTATTGAGACTGAAAACTAGAAATAAGCAATACTTTAAAAGAATTTGTTTTCCCTCTGTTTTAATCCTTGTTTTCTGCTCTGCATTTATGCCCACTTGTGAGACTGTTATAACTTACAAAGTATTCAACAGGGTTATTCTAAAGCATGACCTTGAAAGTTCGAGAACTACAAAGCCAGTCTTCAAAATGCTAAAAATTTATGGGTTTATCAGTAAAATGTCCAAGTATTGTGAAAGAATGTTATTGAAATACTTTGAAACTGTTTTTTCCTGCTCCATAAATGGAAAAATTAATTCAGGCTGAAATCTGAAATGATTTGTGTAGCAGTATAGAAATAGATCAACTGCTAAACAAAATCTGGCAATAAACAAAGACTGTTAAGGCCTCACTGGACATCTCAGCTACAAAACCTGGCAGTTTTCTGGATTCTTTAGTTCTAGTGGGTGTTTTTGTTCTGTAACAAAGTGTTTTCTGTGGAAATATTTTGTGTTACGTGCTTTTCATTAAGCTTTATTTTGGTGAATTTAACAAATGTTGCCTTAATAAAGAATACAACACATTCCCATTTTTCAGAGAAATCAAGGCTCTTCTGACTGTAATACATCCTACAAAAGAAAGTATTTAGGAAAACAGGCTGAGACTAGATGTTGAGAGAGTGATGTTAGAGAAGAAGCAGGTTTAAAAAGTACCACTTCTTTAGAAACACGGAATTTAAGACAATATGATCATTATAACTGAAATCAGAAAATGAAATTGTTAAAAAAATCCATTCAAAACCTGTGATAAATCAATAAATTTCTGTTCTGTACTAAAGAAATATCTTAATTTAGAAATATGATTCCATGATTCCTGAGCACAACCACCCATGCTACTGTATAGATGTTAAGAGCAATAGATATAGAGCAAGTGTAATTCAAAATAAATTCATAGGTTTGATACACAATATCAAAGCATTATGCATGGGCTGGAGGACACATGCCTTGAAATGTTTTTTTTCTGGGCAGGTATACATTCTATATCCAAGGCACCTGAAATTAAAAAATGCAGAGAGCTTTTTCAATATCATATAATGAATCCTGGCTCATTGGAAATGGGAGATCCTTCTTAGTCTTCCACTGAAATTCAACTTTTTTTTTAGTAAGTTCAGAAGACTACTGAGTTTCCACACTGAATCAGTTTTCTTGCTGAGAAATATGACTATCAGTCATCATCACAATGCTGAAATCATCTGATGCTACTATTACTCAAATCATTTTCAGGGCATTAAAACATTGCCTCACCCATTATTAAACTCTGTCAAGTTACAGGAAATATTTAATGATAATCTGTGTTCTTTTATAATGCCTATATATTCATAATCCATTCCACAGATCCATGTCTATAAGAAGCAGGAATTTTGGGGAGAGGTGAGTAACACAGCAGAAGAAAATGAAAACTGTGCAGAGTACCAGAACTTAAATAAAATCATTATTTACTTTGCACTAATTCATTTAGTGCTTAAGAGATAAATTGCTGAAATAGGAGGTAGGTGGGAAAATGTGACAGTCATAAAAATATGGATGTTTGATTGGATGTAATTATGATTCACAGAATAGATCAACAATTTACAGGAAAATATATTTAAGAAGAGAAGCTCATTTGAAAGATAAACTCAAGTAAAAGCAAACTACACCACAGAGTACAGGCAGTCCCATTTGCAACTGAATATTTCTTATATTCTTTGAACTGTATTTAGTAAGAAAAGGATAGTTATATAATTAAGATCAATGTTGAAATGTCTGGACACAGATGCATGAATCCAGCATCTGCCTCCAAAAATCACTTCAACATTAATCAGTATATAACAGAGACATATATGATAAAGATAAAAATTACAGATCTGTCTGTCTCTCACCTTGAGGATCTGCAATCTCATAAATTAAGGACCTCTACAGAACAACTCAAGCTTTAACAAATTAAGTTTGCAAATATATTTGCAAACTTGCTATGAAAACTTTAGTGACTCCTTGATGCCTAACACATTCTTGGAGGGCTGCTACTCTAAGACCACTTGTTTGAATCTGTTACTGTCTAACCCCCTTTATTAAGGTTAGCACAACAAATATCTTGGCTAAGAACTCCTTTCAGATCAGAAATAAAGTCTAAATAGTGATCACCTTCAATTCTTTAGCCACAAAACTCAAGGAAAATGCCCAGATGTACCAGAAAAGTGCTCCTCGATAAATCCATGCCTAATTCTTAGCGGTATAATTCCCCAAATATGGGTTATTATATCAATAAATACAATTATTAAAAGAAAAAGGCTTCTATTACCCACCTTAACAGCTTATGAATACAACCAGAATGTAACAAAGATACATGCCACTGACAAATCAGATTAACATAGGAGAACATTTACTTCCACATGCCATGAGCTAGGCTTTCAAATCAGTGGCAGCAGGCAACTAACATGCACTACAAAATGCTAGGGAATTCTGCTTTTGTTCAAGCACACTATTCAGGACCCAGCCAATATGGACTTGAAGGCAAAACAATGTATGCATGAACTTAGAATGAATCTTAAAATAGTGTTACAAATGTATCATTATAATTCATGGACCACTGGATTCAGAAATCAAATCAAAGTAATTTTTGGCTTCAGGCTGCAAGTGCTTAATCTGTATTTAGGGATTGTTAAAGACTTACCATGGGATGTGGTTAAGGACAAAGCTGGAGGAAGGGGAGGATTGTAGTGTAACAAAAATGGGAAAAGACAGAGAAGTGGGACAAAGAGGTTGGCATGAATGAACCTGCTGCTGATCAATGCACTTGTCTAGAGGAAGAAGCATCTGCTGATCTCCCCCAGGTCCTCCCTTCCACCAGACTCATCTGGCATTAGCAATGCTTTATACTGCTGAATTACTATTCACGTTATTTGGCATCTTGAAAGGTGTGTAGCTAATGCAATTGGCAGTTTCTGGTAATTGATCAGATATAAGAAACTGCACAGCAAGATCTTTTAGCTAAGCACTGCTCTAGCACAGATCCCTGAGTTACACTTTTTAAAATGTGCTCAAGGTGGTATAGAACCCTCTCATATATATGCATAAACACAAATTTCACCCATCACTTACTGGCACTGTTATAAAGCAGGATCACCAACACACTCACCTCTTACACTGTACAGACTTGTACAAGAAAAGGAAAAGCAAAAGCATTGCCCAACTTTGAGCTGGTTTTAGAAACTGAAAGGGAAAATAATTTTGTTCACTCTTAAGTAATTGCTGTTCATTCTTACAAACTTTCCTCTCTCCACCCAATTTTTTGGGTTTCTCCAACAGTATCAACAATTTCTAGGAGATTGGCTTGCAATCTTCCTAGCCAAGTTAAAAAAGACTAACAAGTTTCTTAAGCAAATATTCCTTCTTTATGAGTCAGGAAGACTGAAAAAATTAGGGATAAACCTTTAAAGTCAAGCCCAGAGCTTTTGGATGTGTCCATTCACCTTTTTATTAGTCTAGCTGAATTAACATCTTGGTATCTTTTGACGCTGTCTGAAAAGCTTTAATGCCTAAAACTAATGTTGTTTACTGTCATGTGAGCACATAAAGGATACTCAGCACAAACCACATCTGGTGTCCTGAAACAGAGGCATAATTCTTGGAGACAAATTTTGCTGCTGCCTTGTCATTGACATTGACATTTCAGTGAGATTCAGATCTATCTACTAGTGCATGAAGCTGCTCAAGACTTTGTTTCCAGCAGAAACTTATTACAAGTTCAGGAAATCCAACAGCATCCTTTCCTCTTTGCACATGCCTTGTGCAGCCAGATCCCAATTTATTGATAATGTTATGTAATTGCTGCTTCAGTTACTATAAAATTTGCAAAACAAAGGGAAAACAGATATTTTAAGATAAGAATTACTGCAGTGAGGCGCTCAATATTTTAATGGATGAAATGTGGATAAATGTCATATGTTGTACAAAGTCATATATCTCTCCTGAAAATCCTAGGAAATGTCATGTCCTTAATAATTTCTTTAAAAATATATCCATCCATAGAAATGAAATTTTATAAATTAATATTTCTGCTGACTTCAAGATTCCTTTTAACAGCATCATAAGAGCTGTGTGACCCAGCAAAAAAACTGACAATAAATTTCACATTAATCTACAATGGCTGGGTTGGAAATATGGAATTTGTGGGCCTTAGAAATACATATTATTGTTTATATTGTGTCATCTTCCATATTACAGTGCCAGCTGGGGACAATTATCCCAAACAGAATACCAGCTGTGCAGCTCCATTAACAAAACCAGGGATGCACAGCTAAATCAAGGAAATGAGGAAATGTCTGCAAGGCACTTCATTCTACCTTGTAGACCTATAATCTTTGTTAGAAAGGGGAAATGATATTTTAAACAGTTGATGCCTTTTAGGAAGGGAATAATGACTTACATGTGAAGTCTATGTATTTTCTTAAATTGTCCTGACACCTAAATTAATGCTGCTTTTTTTTTGGTTTTTTTTTAGTAGGGTCTACAGCTGATTGTGCATTTGCATGATTTTTCCTTAAAAATTTTGATAGGATAAACAAGTTTAATACTACCAGAACAAAATACACATTCACGGATCTTCCATTCTCCTGAAATCTGATCTCTCTCCCAGGGGATAACATTCCACAGCATTGTTCCTTAATGCATTAGAAAAACTACCTCTTAGAGAGTAAAAAATGCCCTTAAATGTCCATTTCTAATATTTACCTTTCAGTTACAAACCAATTTAAGGTTGTGACCATGGTCCCTGAATTGACTGGGGAAGGTTTCTCTTTCCATGAACCACTAAAACTGACAAGAAAGAGGAAGCATTAAATTTTATTAGCCTTGGTCTACACAGACCACAATGAATTTTCATATTTGGGAACCACTTCCTCCAGATCCTGTTCAATAAAAGCTTCACCTGCCACTGTTCAGGGAAGCCTGTAAACTCACCTGCTTTCTGTAAAATTCACATAAGTCAAAGCATGAGAGGACCAAAAAGGAGTCCTCAGAGCAAAAATGAATGCATTTTTTATAAACCTAGATATTTTGACTGTGAAAAAAATGTGTGGAGCACACTGAAGACCATTTTCAGAGTGTGCAGTGGCACTTGGATCACTAGAATATCTAGAACATGGGACAGACAGCCTTGAGTGTGAAATTTAAAGTACATTGTTTTAATATAACATACTGGGCTGACTTCATCACATACAAGATGTTCTAGGAGTACAAAGATAATCTGAGATTTTTCAGCAATAGGGTTTAGAAGGTTTATATGTTTGGCATATTTCTTGAGAGTATTTTTATTGTCCCTCTACTACACCTTACTTTTTCTAAAATCCATATAAATTGTATGCTAGAGCTGAGGTCTTTGGCTGCCACAATAAAATTTAATCATTTTTCCTAGAATTAAGAACCATTCTGCAATTCTTCTAGTTTCTGCCAGCAACTGATCCCTAAATATGGTGGGGAGGAGGGAGTGCACTAGCAATCATCTCTGTCTTCATTTCTGCCACACAAGTCACTCTAAAGTAGAGCCAAAAGCACAACTGATGTTTATTGCTTTAGCTCGTGCTCCATACACATTTGGAAAGCACAGTCAAAGCTGAAGTTTAATGTTGTGTTTAATATTTGTGAAATGGGAAAGATTATGCACTCTCTGCTTCCAATAAACAAGTCCCTGAGGTATAAAATCTAACCCTAAATCTCTCAACTAAAAGCAACAGTTCCAATAAACTTACTGGTAATTGCCTTAAATAAATGTTTGCAACTTTAGGTACATATTGCTGATAACTTCTTTTACTCCTGTCTTTTCAAAGATGTTTTATGAAGGTTAGAAATGCTTGCCTTGCTATCTATATTATGTTGCCTTTTGCATGTTTAGTTACTGGACATTCAGAAGTAACAAGTCACAAGGAAACTGACAACTTCTATTAACATGAGGGAGATAAAATTTAAAATAATCATAAAGGAAGAGTATTCCTCAACATTTGTGCTTTTCCCTCTCCAGACACCCTAAAGCAAATGGATATGCATGTGGTAAGTGCTCTGATGTGCTGTAGAACAAAAGAAAGGTGCCTAGCTTCCAGCCATTAACTTTTATAGTTAAAGCTACAAAATGTCAATATACCTAAAATTCCAGATGACCTTGAGCTTTCAGTGTACATTACATTAGATATAAAAGCTTTATTAAATAGGAAGTGCAAATGATCTTACATGATGATCCTACATTCAGTCCTTTTTTTGTTCTTCCCTAAGATCTCAGAATACCTGGAAAATATTAATCCTCACTACTCCTGCAACAAGCATTGTTGTGCCTAATGCACAGTATAGTACAGAAAATCCTGTACATCATTCCTAGTGAACTGATTCAAAAGTGACACATAGGATGAATCAGGTAAGCCAGACCCAGTTTGAGTGATGGTTATGAAGTAAAACACTGGATTGGTGATAGAATTATAAAGAGATCCCAGGAGTATCAACTGATGAAAAGGAAAGCTAACCTTTGCCACAGAAATCCTATCAGTCTCTAATATCTTAATTATTCCATGTCTCACATCTTATTTTTTCAGTTTTTATTCTGCAGTTTTCAGCCTGGAGCAGACACTCACAATGTCCCTAACTGACCACATCAAAAACACGGCAATTATTACTTTTATGCTCATGCATCCTCTCCTCCCCCTTGTTTTACCAAGACCACTAGCATTACAATGATGAGGGTAAACTGATTCATTTCAAGCTAGAAAACTTTAAAGAAATCAATAGGAAAATCCTTAGGGATTTAACAGATTTCTCAAAAGGTCAAATCCTGATAAATCAACGCTTTAATAATTTATTTTTCCTTTTCTTTATTCCAGATAACAGGATATAGAATTCTTGACATGGGTTAATCTCTTCCATAAAACAGCTCATGGAATTCCATCAGTAATGTCTGACATGGAAGTTAGAGATTAATCTCTAACATGTAATACTGGAGCAGAGGCCTACAAGAAGAGGCATCATTTTGATATGAATGTTTCTGTCAAAAGGAATCAACCACACAATTCTCAAGACTCTTTCACTGCTTCTTCTATGATTTGTTAAAAGCATGTACATTTCCCTTATATTCTACTTTGTAGCTGCATCTTTAGGCAAACCATCTCATTTCATCTGTGATATGTTCAAGTATAGTAGATTCTCTCAGTGAAACGAAAATCCTCAAAACAAATACCAGTAAGCAAACTTTTCCAAACAGCAAGAACTAGTGGTTCTCCTTGAAGGATCTGCTAATGCCACTTTCCACTGAAATTCTTGACAGCAGCCTTAAACAAACACAAATATTCCCTGAGCAACACCCCAATAAAACAGAAGATAAGGCAAACAAGGGGTTCGTATCCTCCTCAGTCTCTTCCCATAATTCATTACAAGAACAGCATGCAAAGCAAATATGTCTTACCAAGTTCTGTTATGTAGTTTTTTCCTTCTGAAGGTAAAGGAATGTACTGATTAGAAAAGAAGTTGCTTCCATAACCCAGGACAAAACCTTCTAGTTTGGTGCTTTGACTTGGTCGAAGATACCTCATGCAAACAGTGTCATCTGTTGCATTGATCTGAACCTTCAGACTCTGCCTTTTCACTGGGGAAAGAGTGAAGAAGAGGAGATCAGAATGCATCATCTTGCAATCACATGTTCAGTAATGGAACATGACAATATAACAATATGTTTAATTTGCTAATAGCATGCAACTGAAAAATTTCTTATAGGTGATGTCTCCTGGAAACACAATGTATTTTAAAAAGTGAACTAACAGTCATGTGAAATAGTGGTTGCCAATATGACTGTTTTTCCACTAGTTTAGCATTATCATTTGCTTTAACATCTACAATCGCAGTGGTAAAACCATGCATGAAGTAAGTGGAAAAAATGCAAGTATTTTTTCCTTTAAATGCAAGAGTTATAGTATTATTAACCAAATGAAGGACCCATAGGAGAAAAATGTGCAAGTTTCTGGTTTGATTTTTTTTTTTTGTTTCTTAGTAGAAAATATGAGGTTGTAAAATTCAGTTAATCAGTTAATCACACTCAACAATTATGGTAGAGGATAAACATTAACTAAATCTAAATAAATCTTGTACATTTTTTTCCCCCTACATTGGGCTGGAAATGTAATTTTGTGTTTGGAATTACACCAGGACACCTAACTAACATAAATACTTTACTCAAAACTACCAAGAAACTCTTTTTAAATGTTCATTTTTATGCTTTCCAGGGGAACAGCACATAAAGTAAGAAACATCTTGTATATCCATCTACAAAAATTTAACTTGTAGCAACAGAGAATGACTTCACAGCAGAATAACTAAGTTTTTACACTACAAGTTGGTGTTTTGGCTTTTTCTTGGTGGGGTAAGGGAGGATTAGCTTTTTCCTTTTCCTTCCTTGGTATGTACAATTTTAATACTCCCTTGGTACTGTTAGGCCTATCATATTTTTCAGAACTGTTAAATTGCTGGCTTTTCCCCAAACTTACAACACCAGCACTAGACTAGTACATTTTGGGTTGTTATTTCTCTTCTCAGTCACAAAATATAAATTTTTATCCCCAACAGATTTTCAGGCATCTGTGAAATTGTGAGGGCTGAAATTAACTTATCAAGGGAAGAAAAGAACTTTGCAGACAATCATTTTACTTCAGAAACTAAATCCTGAATGAAACTATTAGATAAATGATAAATAATATATCATTAAATAACAGGGTAGAGCAATACTAAACTTTTCTTTTTCTTTCTTTCATCTTTTCTTTTCTTTCTTTTTTTCTTTCTCTCTGTCTCTTTCTCTCTCTCTCTTTCTCTCGCTCTCTCTTTATTTCTCTCTCTCTCTCTCTCTCTCTGTAATTTCAGACTGATATTCAAAGTTTCTCTAGACAAGTAGATACTGATTCTCTGGTATCACCCCAACATACCCTGCTTTTTTTAGAGAAATTCTAATGACTAGAGTTGCCAAGAGACCAAAAGCCTCACTTTGTTTTAGTAGATGATTTGAGCATCTGCAGTTGTCTGCACAGAGAATGTAAAGCCTTAAGCCAACACTTTATGCCTCTTCCCTTTACATAAAAAAGCATACAAGTAAAATTGATGGAAAACATCTGCCTCCCTTCCTTTATCTAAAGACTAATCAAGAAAAATCACTCAGCCAGGAAACTGTCACAATTTTCCAAAGGCAACTCTGCCAGGTTCCAGAGGACTGCAAGGCTTCTAGAAAACTCAGATCTCTGGCATTCTCAGCAGTGCAATACCTTCATAGGGAAAAGGGTGGCAGTTACCTCTAATCTCCATGACATCCTAGCTCATTTATTTTCAGTACACAAGACTGCTGAGAATGTGCAACTCTGAATATTGACAGGGCTCCAGGTAGCACAAACCAGGAGTAAAACACAACACACTTCAAATACCTCTAATGGGCTTCATAAAGGCACTTAGTAAAATCTGGTAACAAAGCTTAGGATTATTATCTCTGACGGACAGTGAGCTACATCTGTTTAAATTATGGATTCTTCAAAATCCATTAAGCGTTACTGAAATGATGGTCTCCTGGTCTCTATTGAGTGTTCTTGTCTAAGAATAAAATAAGACTTACAGAATTTAATACAAATATGGTAACTTGATTTCCATAGCAAAGTTCTTAATCAGTCTCAAACCTGAACTTACCAAAAAAATAAAATTAATGAAGATCTATTTAATTTTAAATTTACAATAATTTAAAAAATTTTCTCCCCACAATTGTATCCAGGTATCTCTCAGTTATACTTCACATCAATTTGAAGACTTAATTCTATATCAAGATTATATCCAACTGGGTCTGATTTCAGATAGATGGATACGGTTGTTTAATAATGTGGTGGGTTTAGTGCTGGTACTTATGGTGCTAAATTACAGAATTATGACAATTCATAAGCAATCAATTATAGTGACAAAGAGTCTTGATTTTATTAAAGCCTTAGAATGCTCAGTGAGGCTTCTGTAATTAGAAAGCTTAAATGGGATCCCAAAACAGTAGCAGCTTTAAGACCCTTTAGACCTCTTTTTTATAGCTATCATATCAAAACCACCAAGAGAGCTTTTAAAATCAAGGACAGTTCTAGCAGAAAATAATCAGGAATAATGTCTTTTAAAAAAAATATAAATAAAAAAAATAAGGCAGGAAAGAAGAAAAGGAGATACACTTGAAATTTAAAAAAATAATTCCTTGTCCTTGCCACCCTGTCTTGACAGGGCAGGTAATTTTCCTCTAATTTACTTTTAAGTACAGTGATGGTCTGGATGGCAAAAAGTATTGCAGAGTCCCTGTAGAGTTTAGGAAGAAAACATCAGGAAAAAATTATTTAGGCTGGAAATAACCACCAAGGATCAAGATATCAACTTCAACCACAAACCCAGCACTGTCAAGTCCACCACTAAACCATGTCCCCAGGAGCCACATCTATACAACTTTCAAATACCTCCAGTGATGGTGCCTCAAACATGGTCAGTCTGTTCCAATGTTTCATGATCTGTTTGGTGAAGATATTTTTCCTGGTATCCACTCTAAAGCTCCCCTGTCACAGCTTGAGGTCATTTGCCCTTGTCCTGTCACTTGTTACTTGGGAGAAGAGGCTGACTCCCACCTGGCCCCTACACCCTCCTTTCAGGCAGTTGTACAGAGAGACAATGTCCCCTCTTGAGCCTGTTTCTCCAGCTTCCTCAGCTGCTCCTCATAAGACTTTTTCTCCAGTCCCTTCACCACCTTTGTGTCCAATCTGTGGACATGCTTTAGCTCCTTGACATCTTTCTTGTAGAGAGGGACCCAAAAGTTAATATAGGATTTAGAGTGCAGCCCTACCAGTGCCAAGTTCAGGGGCGTGACCATTTCCCTGGTTCTGCTTGGCGCACTATTGCTGATAAAGGCTTGGGTTCCACTGGCTCTTGGTCACCTGGGTACACCCTGGCTCACTTTTAGCTGCTGGTGACCAGCACACCTAAGTCCTTTCTTGCCAGGCAGATTTGGGTTGTCATGAGCCAGATGTAGGATCTAGCATTTGGCCTTGTTGAAGGTACACAATATCCACATTTCCCTCATCCAGTAAGTGAATGACCTTCTCATAAAAGATCAAGTTAGGCAAGCAGGACCTATCTTTCAAGAAGCTTGACCCAAAGAGCAGCAAAGAGCAAGGCAGACAAATCTCCTTCTTAAATTTGACTTAGCTGAATGTTTTTCAGGGAAAATAACCGCTAAAGCAACAACACAGATGCCACACTTCATATGACTAAACCACATTCCTATTCACGGGCTGTATGCATTCCAGAATCAGTGAAAATGAGGGATGAATATTAACTGGTAAAACAATAAATGACCAGTTTCTGGAAGCGTATGAGCAGAAGTGGAGCAACCAAGGGCAAGGAGAGCTCAATCCTACTTGCACAGACACTGCCAGTCTAGTCAAGAGAGGGTCAGCCTGGAGAGATGAAGATATAATTGATATATAAATTATATTGGTAAATGTGGCCTGCCCCAAGAGCCAGTAGCAATATAGATTTCACTTGTGTTAATCTCACAGTGTTTTGAACAACTAACCAGGAAAGCATTCTTATTCTGAGTGATATATCTCTTTTAGTCACCACTCAGATAAATATTCATTAAATATGATTGAATGGACAAGGGAAGTCATAGGAACTTAACTGTTAAAGTACAGTGATAAGAATATATTTGATTTTGAGAAAATTATTTTTTCGTATTAGGATTTCAGGAGACCTTTTTTCCCTGCATCTCCTTGATGAAAGACTTGAATGATGCCCTCTAATTCCATTCATTTGTGTCAGTGTTTGGCATTTGTTGGTGAAACCCTGGTCTTAAGTATTTGCATTTGTAATGTAATTCTTTTACATTGAGGCCATTTCCAAATGGAAGATTCTGAGATCTATAGCTACCTCTGAAACACAGTCTTTCCCTCCATGCTTGCCAACAGAAATTCCACACTGATGTGCAAGTATTCTCTTCAACAAAAGTCAGTTGATGGCCAAGATCAGCAGGAGAAACTGTGCAAAGTGAATCTGAAGTAAAAGCACGAAGTTAAGTGCATCAGAGCGCTTGGAATCACTCTAAGGAAAGGAGTCTGCCTATACTGTGAGAGAAGGAAAAACAGCTTGATGAATCAGCTGCATCCTAAGAGAACCAGCCACCACCAACCCTTCAGAAAGAAAATAGCTACCAATGACCTGGACAATCCAGCTGGAAGCAGCATAGTTTGGCTAGTTGGAATGTATAGGCAACAGGAGACAAAAAAAAAAAATATTGACCCTTTTAAAAGTTTAGATGTTACTTTCACCAGGAGTCTACTGCACAATTTAAGACTGCATGGTCTCTTGTAATCAAATACAGTCCTATTTTTTGTTTTTATCCATAGAGTGGGGATCCTTGAACTCTGCCCTACAAAACTAGAGGGTGAATACAGCTGTAGTGATTTACAGCAAATTTGGCTTTGTTGCCAGAATTCCTTTTGCCTTACCCTGAAATTGTTTATTTTCCATCTTTTCAAAGATTTTAAGGGGCATGAAGGCAAGACACAGCACTGCCTCCCAGAGTGCTAGACAAATGAAGTG